TGGCCTGATCTACTTGGTTAACAATTAAGCTTCTCTAATCTTCCGATTTTCTTGTGTTGATTGGTTGCTCTTTCCAATTTTTGTAATTACTCTAGTATAAAAAAAGTATACATAAATTATTCTAAATTGGGAGAAATTTTAATAAGAATTAAGGCACAACAAATTGTTAAGTATCCAATAAAAACATAGATCTTTACTAAATTTTCTTACTTAACAATAACTTTATTTTCATTTTGTTTTAAAAGTGTAAATATATATTAAATAATATATGTTATTACTAAATTAATATTTTAAGTGGAAGAGACAAAACAAATAATTTGCAAGGTTAAAAAATTATTTAATAAAAGTCATAATCATTGTTTGTTTATAAAAATTAAAAATAACATTCTCTTATATTTTGAAAATGATATAAGAAAGATAAGAGAATAATGAATAAGATTTGTGTTTAAAATATCTAGTAATTTTATTTTGTTTTGTATTACGCAGTTTAGTTTCTACAATAATTGCTATTTTAAATTTTGGGTAAATTAATTGTATAATTATGTAATTTTGGGTGGTTAATACCTGACAAACAAATTTGATATTTTTTTTAATCTATGAAACTCTTTTACGTCTAATCTTTTAGATGTTCGACTTTAACATCTATTTTATATATATTTGACATACATTAACATTAATTATTTTGTCTTACTTAAATTTACTAATATCGGATCTAAATCTGAGGTAAAAAATTTTAAAATTACATACTTAAAAAACTTATTTGATATTAGTATTTGTAAAGTGTTGAAGAAATACTTCAAAAGAATTGAAAAAAAAGTCATATTGGACAATTTAAGCCCATTAATATAAAGTAAAAACTGTTATAAATAATGTAAAAAAGAAAATGACCATTGTACCACCAACACTATTCCAAGTTCACTATGGAAATAATAAATTTTTTCTCTCTCATTTGCTACATTTTTCCATGGCTTTCTTAAATTCCATCCTATATGGTTGCAAATTCATCATTTTATGGCCACTATAACCATTTACCGCAAAAACCGGAAGAAAAACTCAATGATTTAGTTGAGCAATCTTCTTTATAAATATTTCGAAGAAAAATAATTAGAAAATTTAAATTCATGGAAAAAATTGTTGAAAATCCCATATCAAATATATAATTATAAACATCTTTATTGACATTCTTATTATATTTTTTATTTTAATTTATTCAAATTTAACATATGTATTAATTTTAAAATATAAGTATTTATTTTTAAAATATTAAATTATTAGAAATAAATAAACGTGAAAAAAATTAAAAATTTTGAAAAAATTATATATTTAATGAAATAAAAAATAAATGATAGTTTTTATTATTTTTATTTATTATTTTACATTCGAACAAAAATATTATAAAAAAATATATGATTAAAAAAAATATAGAGAAATATTATATTTGTTTCCCCTATATTATGATACCAAAATATGATTAAAAAATAAATATTCTTTACGTGTGGTTATAAATTATATAAATTAAGTGAAAGTCTTATTTTATAAATTAATTTTTATAAAATTTTATTGTACTTTTATTTATTTTTTAATGACATTAGAATCTATCTTAAATTGCTGAATCTATTTTTTTACTCATTATTGTTGGACTAAATATTAAAATATTTATCACCAAAATTTGATTTTGGCCAAATATATTATTTTAAAATTTTTCATCTCCATAAAATTTAAATCAATGTTTTAAATCTTTAAAAATACATAAAATTTTATTGAAATTTTTAAATCGTTATTTTTAGTTCATAATATTCATTTAAACATTGATGTATAACAATTATTTTACGAAATATAAGAATTTTCCAACGTACCACACAATATTAGGATGCGTGATTTAATCAAAAGTAGCACACAACATTGATGGAATAAACACAACATTTTATTAACTCATAAATAGTTAAATAATATAAAAATCCATTAATCAAAAGTAGCATTATTTAATTTTAAATGAAAAAGAAAATAAAATTATAAAAATCAAAATAAAAACCCATCAAATTAACAAGAAAAACATAATTATTATTATTTATATTTGTTAGATAATTTAAATGTGAGTCAAAGTCTCACCTTAGATTAAGTTGAACAATATTCAAGGTTATTCAACTTTCTTATATTTAATTAAGTTGGGAGTTACACTTACACTATCAATAATATATAATATGTTTAGTATATCAATTATTATATCATACACTGTATGATAACGAAGAATTGTATAATTTATATTATATAATCATTCTCTTCCGTACCTTTCTTCATCACGTAAATTATTATATTGATAACTTGAAACTTGTATAATTCTTAATGCATGTTACAACCGAATCCTTAGCAGACACCAGTGATTGGAAGAATTATTATCTTAGATGCATCCACTCACTGCACACTTACAGAGAGTACTTCTAAAACTACATATTCTTCTCTTTCTCTTTCTCAGATGCAGAAATATATTTATTGGCAGGTCATTGAGAAATACACACATACCATAGTCAATATAATTAACCTATTTATGCATGGATGATAGCATATATGGATCTCTTTCACCACTCCATTTCAATTCTTTTTTACGCCATCTTTTATTGGCGTCATCTGCCTCACCAGGGTTCCTTCCGGTTGAACTGTTGAAGTTATCAGTGTTCCTTCCTGATGGACCGTTCTTCAACATCCTTTCATCAGAAAACAACTTATCAAACCTAACTCGGGTATCTCTGGGGTATGTTGGATAACATTTTGTTCTTAGATAGGGAGCTACAGATGGATCCATGGATATGTAGGGAGGAGCAACAAATATAAGAATGTAGTTGCTGGTTAATTAGGTTTTGTTGTCTGCCTTTTTACTTCATAACAAAGAGACCTAATGGCCTTTTATAGAAACTAGGAGAAGTGCAGTCTTTTTATTAGCTTCTTCTACTCTTCTTCTACAATATTTAAGAAGAATATTTTATCCAAAGTTAGAAGTTTCAAAATAGATAAGTTGATCAAAGGCTTAGTTAGATAAATTGCCTTCACATGTTTGAGATATAGGTTAATTATAAAAAAAATTTAACCTAAATTAAATCATGTTTATTTTAACTTAATAAATTACTATGAGTTATATGTATTTAAACCAAGTTAGTTCCTAATTTTATGGTGAATCCGTTTTATATAATAATAATAATAATAATAATAATAATAATAATAATAATAATTATTATTATTATTATTATTATTATTTCAAATAAAAATAAAAATAATATTATTTTATTAAAAAAATATATATCATAAATTAATTTGATAAAGAACTTAAATTTTTTTTTAATATTCACTTATTGGAGGATTTAATAATTAAAATAAATTATAATAAAAAATAAGTTTTAAATTTTATTTTAAAATTAAATGGACTTTTTTTCTTATAATTTATATATTAAATCATAATATTTAAAATAAAAATAAATTTTATTAATATAATTTAAAATTTAAAAATATTTTTTTATTTAAATATTAAAAACATAGATAACTAATCATCAATTTTTGTTATGGTTCATTTAAAAATATTGATAACTAATCAATTTTTAATACATTATTTATCAGAAGTTTCAACATACTTTTCAATACACTAATTCATGAGTTTAAATCAATTTTAATGAACAATAGAACATGTGTCAAATTCATGTTTTTTTTTTTCCTTCTGAGAATACGAGAATACGGATGGAGTCAACAAAGTTATAAAGTGATTTACTATTAGCATATATACTCCAATAATTCAATTAAAATACGTCTAATATTAAGTTAAAGAAGTTGGTGTCATCTGAATTGTTCCCTCCGGCATCGTTATCATGATTTTGAATATATGTGGTCCTGTTGATAGTGGAAATTTGTTTCTGAAATTTAAAATCTCAAATCAATAATCTTTTCATACTAACTCTTGTCAATATAAACAAGTTAAAGTAAGGATTCAATTACAATTAAGAACCCTAATTGGAAGACATAAAAGAAAATCTTGGAAAAAAATTATATAATCGATGATACTTGGGAAAATTGTATTTATACTTCTTATATTTTTAATTATTCATATATTTTTATCTTGATAAAATTGGTTTCTAAATTTTAAAAAACATGTTTATTTTTTTCTCTGAGAGTTTATATTTTTCTTTTACAGTTTCAAAATTTGTGGACCACATTCACTACAGAAACTTCATCCATGTTTAAACAAAATTAAAGTAAAGAAACACAACATATGTGTTTTATGCCTTCAGTAATCAATGTAAGATTTATTGAAATCTCAAGTACATATTTTTAGTTTAAGTTACTGTGATCTATACATCAATTCACCTTATTATATTGTCCATAGAAATAGGTATATTTTATCATCAATATATTATGGTTTTAGTGATTTGATTTAGGGCTTTCTTTCTCAGCTACCCTCAAATGATAGATGATGAGAAATAGAGGTTTTCCTCAACCACATCCTATCTCTGATCTTAATATTCCGATTCAAAACGTGGGAAGTGGAAATTTGTGTGATTGGGATGAAGCAGAGTAGAGGTTCTTTTTCAACCAAATGAAATTTATCATAACAGTGTTAAAGGTGGAAAATTACTATTCAGAAGGAAAACAGAGCATAGAGGTGAATCTAATTCGAATTCTGCTTTTTATCAGTAAAGAATTCATTTAATTTCACTTCTCACTCGTGAAAAAAAGTATATGAATCTGTGTTGTTCCACAACCCGTGTTAGCAGTATTCGAGTCAGCATTTAACTTCCAAAATTACGAGTTACTCATACTTGCTGATTATGAATATATATTTTTTTCTTTTAGGTATTCTATTTGTAATAGTTTTTCTCTCTCTTCTTTCCCTTCTAAATTAATTGAAATTCATGTCATATGAGTACTGGTTTTGTTTTTCATAAATTTTGAACGAGTAGAATTTTCTTTGGGGATTTTAGGATGTTGTGTATTTATGTATTTTTTTTATATATGATCTCTTACTCATTTTATTTATGTATTATATATATATATATATATATATATATATATATATAATAAAATATTAAATAAAAAATAATAAACATATTAAATAAAACATAATAAATATATATTTCCAATGTTTCTTATAATTTTATGTACCTATATATTTTTTTATATATTACATATGATATATATGGTGAAATTTTCCTCTAGCTCATCTTATTTATGTACTCTCTCCCTCTTTCACCCATATATATATATATATATATATATATATATATATATATATATATATATATTAAAAATGTAATAAAATATTAAAATATTAATTATATTTATCTAAATCAAAATAATAAGCATCTTTTTTTCTCTTACTTAATTTAAATAAAAAATAATAAACATATATGTTCACAGTCCTTCTGATTATTTATTGGTTCCAATAAATAATAATGATGTCAAGATCATAAAATATATGGTTCCATTTTGTTCTTTTAAAAAGTAGATTTAAGTCATATATATAATGGATTAGAATATTCGTTCAACTTGCAACCTCTTCTCCTTCCATGATTATCCAAGAGAAAGCTAACTTAATCAAACAAGTATCCACCCAAATAAAGCAATTTATCATCATACATCTGCGTCTAATATAACTGAGTTCAAATAAATCATTCAAAAAATGGCGGTTGCAGTAACAGATTCTTCCATTTTTAAAGTTTGCTTGTTCAAAATTGTGTGATTACAATCTTCAAATTTTTAGTTGCCTAAATCTTATTTTATACTTTAATTACCTTATAACTAAATCCTAGTTTTGTAGTCAAAAGATTCGTAAATAAAATTGACTTAAACCTTGCTTTATTCCTTGAAATAAATTTGAATTTTCAGTTCTTTCCAGACAGAAAATGTGATTTATACAGTAGCAGTAATACATCATTAATTTACTACAAGTATCTGCATAAAAAGGAAACACATTGAGAATATACTTAATGGTGTATCAGATTCTTGGACATTATAAACAAACTCTACCAAACTTTCGGACCACTTTGGTGCTTGGTTAATTGCTATTGTCCCCTAAACAATTTAAAGTCTTTTGTAGTTCCGTCAAAGTGTCGAACACAACACTTGCTTTTGACTCTTTAAATCTTTGGTTTTCTTACGTAAACTCCATGACGTATGAAGATTTGACCGTGTATGAAGTAATATGCATGCAGGAAATGGTATGATAAAAGAAAACAATTCTAACCACAGTAATATATAACAGAAGCAGCATCCATCCCTAGCTACAAGGACATCCTTAGAATAATACATATTTTAAAGAGAATTACTAGAAATATGATACGAATATTATTTGCTTACAAGATTGTTTTACTAGTTTATGGACTTGTCCAATTTAACAAATGTTTTAATTTTTAGTTTAATCTCTTTTAATATGTAATCATAGATTGAGTTTCAAATTAGACTATTCCATTAAATTGAAACCAAATTGAGCTTGGATGTCCCAACCAAAAGAGGGAAAAGAACCTAAGAGAACAAAGATAGCATGATGAATTAGGAGCATGGAAACTATGAACAATATGAATTGCATTATATATTTCTTTGTAAAAGCAAAAGAAGGGATTTTTACCATACTGGGTAAAAAAAACATTGATTTTATTAGAGGGGATAGAAATTTTTTTCTTTTTTAAATGAATTAAATCGTATTAGATGAGATGATTTTAAATCGTACTTCACTTTTGACTAGAATCATTATTTCAAGCATGATTTTGGTTTAAAAAAAAATGTTGGATAACATAAGTTTCTTACTTTTTTGATGCATGAATGATAAACGGGATTAAAATAACATGAAAACAAGACATTTTTGATAGCCCGAAAACAGGACTGGAACATATCAGTTATTGTTATATTAGAATAACATACTTCATCAAACGTTTTTTATAATATTGTTACATCAAAGAATTAAAGAGAGTAAATACAATACAGAAATATGAAGAAGATGAGAGTGATTATAAACATTGGAATAAGGTGTATTTATAGGTAGAATAAACTATTTTCTCATGCAAAAAATTAATATTCCAATAAATGCCTAATTGAATGTTCAACCACATTTTTACAATATTTCGAATGTTACTTTTCATGCTGAACTCCACGAGGAAGGATGCAAATACACTTAAATCGTATAATGTGGATCGATTTTTACTCTAAATACGTACAAAGTGGCATGTTTTACATTTTTACTTCTCCCCGTCTGTTATATATTTATTTTCGTACTTTAATTACTCATATTCTTTATAGTTCGTGAGTTCTCTCTTAATTTTGGTTATCTTTTATATACTTATTATGGTTTTATATTGTTTGATATCATGAATTAAAGCGAATCAATCATATAATGATTTTACAAGATTAAAGCTTACGAAAAGTTTGTATACATAACTCAAATCAAATTTAGTTCTATCGACAGTGTAAAGCTAGAAATTTTTCACAAAAAAAGAAATCAATATTCTTAACATAAATATTTTTTATAATCATAAAATAATTATATTGATATAAAATTTGTAGAAATGAAAATGAAAGAAAATAATTTATAAAAACTAAAATCAAAATTTACTTAAGAATAAAAAACAATTTCGAATGTAGAGTAAAAATATATATTTTTAAAACAAATATTAAAATATGAGAACACCCATAGGAGAACTTTCATTCATTACATCCCTTGAAGGCTTCATAGAAACACAGAGTACACAGTACTATTATCTTGTTTTTATTCAATTACATATACAACTTCCATTCCACAACTACAGAAGACCTTGACTTAAAGTCTTCGAGTTTTTTCTACATATATTATATACAAGAGTAATTAACCTAACCCGAAACACAGAGCCACTTGAAGATAATTTGCAGCATGTTTAGGACAAAGGTCTTACAGTTTAAAGGGTCTACCCCAACGATTTTGGGGTTTAGGCTTGGGATAATTCACAACAGATATCCCAGAAAAAGGACCAACTGGCTCCTTGCCAATCACAGAAGACTCATCCATGACATCTTTAGGCACTTGATAAACCACCGAACAACGTTCTCTTCGCCCATGCAAATACACTGCATCGATGCCACTGCTCCTTCTTGGTGGGCCATAGAACTTGTCTATCAGAGCAAACCCTTCTGCACCAATCTGCCTGAGGTCTGCCGGAGGAGGTGCCATAGATGTTGCTATATTGAAGATATTGCAACAACTTTTATCCAAGTAATTTCTAGTTGAGTTGTTGGTTTGTTGCTTCAAAGGTTGAGACCCTACTGTCCTTTTATAGTAAGAGAAAAGCAGAAATGGTTCTGCGTCCTCATCTGGAGCTCTACGCGTTCAGCACGAAAGAATATCTTTATTCTTCTAACCATTAAATTAAGGAACAATATCTAGGTGTGTCCGTCTTGTGATTAAACTATATATATCGGAAGACACTTCTTCCAACATATACCAATAATTGTAGTAATGTTTAGTTCAGTTCTTGGATTTACTTATTTGGTTTTGGCGTTTATCCTTAATCTATACTGGGAATATATTCGAATTTATCATTTTCACAAAGTGGAAATTTGAGAGAAAGTGAAGGTGGTCGGTCAGTGGTCACAGACTTCTAACTGAAGATACAAAATTCTCTTCTTCTTTCACTCAATTTTTATCAATTAAATTAGTTAAATTATTACTGTTAACACTTTCTTACTTAGAACTAACCAACCAATATATCAAAAATTCTCCTATTCGAAGTTCCAACTCTTATCCTGTGTCATATAAATTAAAATCCTTTAAATTTTACTGTCTTTTCATAAAACTTTCAACTTGTAAACTTTTAAAATTTCATCATTATATATAAGCTCCCAAATTTAAGTTAGAAATACTAATTTGTGAATTTCAAATAGAAACAAAATAAACAAAAGACTAATTTTACAAAAATTATTTAAAAGTTGGTTGAAAAAAAAACTAAAAATAGGAATCCAAGATTGAACACAATTCAAACTAAAGAAACTGAAAACACAATTTGAATATTGAAGAAAGTTTTGGTTTTTATTATTATTATTATTATTATTTACTGATTTGCATGTTAGAATTCTTGCACATATGAATCACCGGAAGAGATCTCTTCGTTGTTGTATTGCTACTTTTTTCCTATACATGACAAAAATTGTCTCACGTATTGCTACCTTTCTCCAGTGCTTAGCTTGTCGAAAATCGTACCTTTTGTCCAACTCCGGTTTCATATCCTCTGAGCATCTTAATCAGTCCTAGAAAAAAATTCATAATGTTTTGAAATTTCTGATTCAACAACAGTTTATGAGGAACTATCGGTTGGCCACACTGTTCCCTGGTAGTTAGTTTAAAATTATTATTGTCTTAAACATCAACAATTATTCAATCGAATTGATTTAAACTGTTTTCTATTCATACCATTGTAGAACAATGAATAGAGTTGAATATGTCCTTATTTATCGCCAACATTGTCGAAAAATTCTATATGGGATATATCATATGTATAGAGGTTTTCCGCAAGAACATGGTGATCTCAGGATCAGAAACTACTTCTGTCTTCAAGGAAAATTGAAAAGGAAACGAGTATGACGGTACCTCGCGTGAATCTCATTCCATCTTTTCTATATAAATCAATATTTTTGTGTTCACTTTAAATTAGGGAAGAAAGTGGATGAATCTTTTGGCATTCCACAAACATCGTGTACAGACCACATAAGACGTGTGTATGAGTAGTTTGTTCCTTCGGTTCTATCTTGGCACATAAATATTTTTGTGTGCTTATCTTTTTTACTTCAAAATCAATCGGCATACACGTAATGTGTAGATTATGGCAAGGATGATTCATTCCAATAAATAATTAGAAATGCTAGATTTGGTAGCTAGCAAAGCCCGTTTCTAGCTATTATATAATACATGTTGATCATGAAGTAAAAGAAAAAAACACGATAGTATTGATCTATCACAAGATTTTATTTAAATGGTTGCAGTAACATTATACAACAGCTCTTGTATGCAGTCTAAAGGATCTTACTAGAACTCTTTGAGCTGCTTCCCAAATATATACTGATCAAGTGATCTATCTATACGTACATTTTATGAGATGACTTACAAACACACCACACATTATACCTATATAATATATCTAAACCAAAATGAAAAAGGTTTGAATGAACTACCAACTAAAACGAGTTTGTGGTTTAGGGTAATTCACAATCATAATTCCACCATAGCGAGAAGCAGCCTCTCTGCTATTGATTGCAGGCTCTTCCAACTCGTCATTGGGCACTTGAACCACCCAACGTCCTTGTCTTGCAGGAAATACCCCTTTCGGATTAGGCCTTCTTCGTGCTGATGGTCCATAGAACTTGTCTATAAGAGCAAAACCTTCTGAACCTATCACTCTCAGGTCTGCAGGTGATGCCATTGATGATGCTCAATAGATAACACTCCAAGAGACACTAGTTTCGTGGAAGTTGATGATGCTTTGTGCTTATGAGTGTGTGTGCTTGTAATCTTGTTTCTTGCTTCGAAACAAGAGGCCCTCAGTGCTTTATAATGGAGGCAAAAGTGGTTCTTGAATAAGAATATTTTGACACTAAGGTTGTAATTAGATTAGATTATAACTTATAAAGAACCACCACTAAGGTAGGCTCATTTCATCGTAATTATAAAACACTAAAGTCATTGATTTAAGCTTTTTCTCATTTAAACGGTCAAACTAGTAGATGGAATATTTTACCAACACTGTTATGTGATGAAGGTTTTTCTCAAGCACATCAGAGCTTGATCTTTCACGTGAGTTCAGATAGGGAAAATGAAAAATAGTGAATGGGGATAATATCGTATAGGTCGGAGATTCTTTTTCAACTATAATAATATGGCGGTCCAAAAGCAGAAAATTATGATGAACAAGAAAATGCAGAGCATAAAGACACTGTGAATCTAATTCCTTTTCTTTTTCTATCATTAAAGAATTCTTTCCGATTTACTTTTCTACAGTGGAAGAAAGTTTGAATCTTCAGTTGTTCCACAAACCGCGTTGGCAACACTACTTAAAGTTCGCATTTAACTACAAAGATTACTAGTTACTCATTACTCAATGCTTCCACTGTTTATTATGAATAGTTTTTCTTTCTTGGTTCTAACCTTGTTGTTGTAGTGCTGCTTTTATCTTCTTCTTTTCCTTTTATATCAATCGGAATATATGGTCGTAAATAAGACTTGAATCTAGCTTTATACGGTTCCAATATTGGTTTTTTTTTTTTTCTTTAAGAGTATATTTAACCCTTGTATATAATGGAGTGGTATATTCCTCCTTTCATGATTATCCAAGAGCTAACTAATTTATTGACCGAAAAATCAATTTATTATATGATATCATGATTTCGTGTCTAACACAGAACTGCATTAAAATAAACTGATTTAGGATATGCCGGTTGGTGCATCAGATTCTTGTTCCAGCAACTTTTTCTTACTTTCAAAGTTGATGATTAACTATTCTAGTTGGAATGCCACGAGCCCGATTCAACTATATCGCTTCATTGTGATTTATGTGGTCAAAGTGTAGAACACAAGATTTCCCTCACACCCTCTTCAAATCCTTTGCTTTCTCAGTTACGTAAACTCCTGACGTAGTTACATTTGGCATCAGTGTTTGAAGTAGAATATTATATCTGCAGAAATAATTATAAAATTGGAATACACATAAATACTCATATTGTGTTTACTTGTCTCTTAAATATGAAGTGTTGGGTCATTTCAAGGAATACACTGGGACTAAGACTCACAAAGTAACAAGGGAGGAGGTATCCCTACCAGGGAGGCCTTATAAGGTTGGAGATCCTCTTACCTTATAAGGCCTCCCTGGCAAGGAGACCTCCCCAATGTGGGACTTGTTACAATACCATCCCATTCGAAAGTCAGCGTTCTCGATGGCTTCACTCCACGACATTTTACTCGGCCTTCTTACCGGTCAGAACCCTCCATAGGTAGCCCTTCTCGAGTTGGCTGACTCTCAACGAGAGCACCATTGAAACAATGGTAAGGCTAAGAGAGGAACCATCCCTCAAAAGCTAGCTTAAGAGGTTGGAGAACCTCCTACCTTATAAGGCCTCCCTGGTAAGGAGACCTCCCGAACGTGGGACTTGTTACAGACACCCCTGACGCATTTATATAGAACCAGTCATGATTTACACAAATTATTTGTTTTAATATGAGTGTTGGGTCTCACAAGAATGAATTTATTTATTATGAGGATAAAACGGGTTACGCAACATTGTTTGAGCTCAAATGCTTTTCTTGATTTGGATCGAGACGTCTTCATTTTCTCTTCTACTTCTATCTTAAAAAATGATAAATCAAATTGGGGGTAAGAGACTGCGTTTCTTTGCCTTCGTATAAATCATTATTTTCCAACTGTGCGTATCATCCACTAGAATATATTTCTGTTTTTATGGTTTTTTCATTTTTTAAATATTATTTTATTAATATTCAAATAAGACTAATAGAAATCCTCCCAAATGAGTCACCCAATCACACCCCATCCATGTTTTTTTCACAAACCAAGAGAATTATTCAAAGCCCACCAAGTATGGCCCAGAAGTGAAAATTCCAAATGGAAGCACAGAAAGCCATTGTTTAATAAAATTTAACTATTTTTCATGTTTATAACTTAACATAAACGTATGAATAAAAAATAACTTAATATAAACTATTTTTAAGTGATTTCATGTTTAAAATCACTTAAAATATAAATTATTTCAATATTTGATCATTTATATAATCAATTAGTATAACTAAAATCAGCATTTTAAAAAACATGGATTGTAACAAAAGGAGAAAATGCAAATATATCAATACATATAACATGTCAGATTTCACTGCACACACAGTAACCTTATACACACAACCACAAGCTCTTTCACTACTTTCTTTGGGAGCATGCAACAGTGTTCAATGGAACCAATGATCTGCCACTCCAATTACGACGTGGTGGCTTTGGCTTTTCATTGTTATCACTATTAGCCCCCCCAAATGGAGCACCTGGTAGGTTATTGCTGTTCACTATAATCGGCACTTCAGTTGGGGGAACTTGGTTCCTTCTGCATCGACCATTCTCTATCAGAGCAAACCCTTCTGAGCCTATTTTGTTAAGGCTTGATGGAGATGCCTTTGGACACATTGTAATGAAGTTACTTCTGAGGTTATGTTCTTTCTTGCTCCACAGAACCAATCCCATGGCTTCTTATATACATAGAAAAAGTAACTCCTTTTACTAATATCTTGCAGAATCTATATGATGGATGTACGAATGAACCAAATTAGTTGTCAAAAACTACAAGGATAACAGCACTGATGCGTTTCTTATATAGATGAACTTTGACACTTTCTTTGGATTATATATATATATATATATATATATATATATATATATATATATATATATATACTGCGTTAATTACAAATATTTTGGCTGTCTTAATTTCTTAATCACCCTATTGTATAGTATTAATTAAATATTCATAACAAAAATAGATAATAAAAAAAAACTCTTCTTTTTAAAATAAATAAATATTGTATATATTAAATTAACAACACTAAGAGATATATAATAATAAATGGGGATGCCATGTTCACATTGATGGCATGAACATTTCTAAAAAATTTATTTTACTTCTAAAATATATATATATATATATATATATTTAAGTTTTTTTTCTTTAAAAAAAATATTTACCCGTGATATCAATATGATGATTTAAAATAAATACTATAATAACAAAGACCATCAAAGTCCAAGGACTTGAAGATAATTATTGGTAGTTTGACATAGGACACTCAACACCTATGATTCAAATAAAGACTAGTTTGAAAGCTTGATGAGTCAATAAAAATAAAGAAATTTGTTGATAATCATGTTTTAATGTTAAAAGGCATTAGAAAGAGTGTGATCAAGATGAAGAATAACAGTCAAGTTTCCATTATAGATGTGTTATTTATTTTTTAGATGAAGATTAATCTAATAAATCTTATTACTCTAGAGAGGATAATCCTTAAAATTGGTAGAAATGCTTAAAGTTGAGAGTGATATAATAGATCATAAATATTTTGTAATTGCAATAAGGAAGGAGAAATGACTTTAACTATCATTTTAGACATCTTAACTTTAAAATCTTGCAAAACTTAAAAGACCAAAAACATGGTGCAAGGTTTACCCCATATTTTTCCCACCTAAAAAAGTATGTAGATAATGCACAAATTCCAAGTAGTTAAGAAATATTCTTTCCAACATGTTTCATCAAAATGAAAGAGAAGCTACAAGTGGTCTACTGAGATGCTTGTTTTCTTATTCCAACTAAGTCTCTAAGAGGTAATAGATATTTTGTTTCATTAATTGACAAAAATTTCAAGAATTATGAGTTTAATTTATCTAAAGAAAGATTGAAGTGTAGGAAGTATCTCAGAAATTTAAAGTCATGTAGAACAAGATAATGGCCAAATGATCAAAGTCCTAAAAACTGATAGTGAATGTAAATATATGCTCAAAGAATTTCAAAAGTTTGTGAATGAGAAGGAATTAAACATCAAATTACTCCTTCACACTGAAGCATAATGGAACACTTGCTCATTAATTTAGTGTTAGAAATAAAGGAGTGATGAATAAGTTGATGAAATGGAGTATAAGAAAATTGTGGACTTTATATATATATATATATATATATATATATATATATATATATATATATATATATATATATATATATATATATATATATATATATATTAAAAGTAATGTAGGTTTTGGGTTCTTTATTGAAATATCTCGTGGAGCTTTAAGAAGTGGTTGAGTTACCCACATACAAAGTGGAGTATACAGTTGTTTTTATGTGTACATATCATGTCACATGGTTAGACAAATGGTTGATTGAATTCAAGCAGAAACCTGAAGTAAAAATGAAGTTTTTATTGAAAACAATAAAGAATCTCTAACTTGTAGAAAGAATAAGTATATTAAAATTGAACATGTAATATCATGATTAATTAGGAGATGTTTTAAATAAATCAATGAAAATAGAGGTTTAGATTTATTTTGTATAAGAGATAAATTAAGTGTTTTTTTATGTTAGAAAAAACTAAATTTGAGAAAAAATATCAAGGTTTTTTAATTGTATATAAATAAATGTAATAATATGTGCATAAATGCACTTTATATTTTTTCATGCAAAAGTTTTTTTGTTTCTACATTTTTTTTAAAGTCTCTTTTCTGTTTTAGGACTGTGAGACTAAGTTATAATACAGTTTTTATAAGACTTTACTGACATTTTTAAGTGTATCCTGCTTTTATTTTCAAAAGACTCCTATTCCTCTTAATTGATTACTTATATTATTTAAGTTATATGATAATTTAAATTTAAAATAAAAAATCAATAAATAGCCAACATGTATGATTTATTTAAATAATATTTTATATTTTTAAAAATTTAACAGCCTTGTCTTAAATTTGTTCCTATTGAAACTCTGAAAACACATGTTATGATATTTTATCTAATTTGACTTAAAATGCCTAACTTTGTTATGATTTAGTAATAATGATTTATTTTTTTATCTAAAGAATATTTTAAACTAAATTTAAAAAACATCTACATTAACAGTGTACCATTCCAACAAACAATTTTCACGTAAAGATGACACGTATTAAGTTCAATACCAAACGTGTTATCATTTCAGAAGAAAAAAAAAATCAGACAAAAGAATAAATCCATACAGAAAGAACAAATTCACACTCTGATCGTTCCACCATTATTAAGATCAACAACACAAAAGAACAAGTCCACCGAGTTTGAGAAACTTAAATTACAAGGGAAAGAAACACGCAATATTTATTGTGCATGCATCTAGCCACCTATTCCTTCTAAGTGTCAAGTGCAAACAACACTGTCTACACTCTCTTTTTCTTCCTCTATAAATACACCTTAATCTCCTCTCCCATGTCCTCTTAACTCACTTCACTTAGTGTTTTGTTTTTGTTATTTCCTTTCAATTTATTCACCCTGATTTTGCCATTTCCAGTTAACAATGTCTGCTTCCAAATTGGACAGAGCTTCCAGTGTGAGAGAGACCCTCTCTAGGTACAGGAACGAGTTCATCTCTCTTCTCTCCCGGTAAAGTTTTTTTATTTTGGCAATTGAGTATACCTGAATTCATCTTATGAATTTTGAACTCAAAGTATGTATGTGATAAGTAGATAATACTAATTTACAATTCTTGTTGCTAAGGTATGTTGCTGGGGGCAAAGGATTACTACAACCACATGACCTACTGGACCATGTAGAAAAGATTCTTCAAGAGGATGAAGGGATGCTGAAACTCAAAGAAGATCCCTTTGTTAAAGAGCTAGAATATGCACAGGTATACTCCATATATTCAAGTTATAGCTTCGGTAAATGACAGATAATACTTGAAAAAAAGAATGACTAAGAAAGATATATATATATATATATATATATATATATATATATATACATATATATATATATTCAAATATTTGAAAGAAAGATAGGAATTATTTCTACTATTTTCTCTAGTTTTCCTTGTTTTTGCAGCTTTTACAAACCTCCTGTTTCTGTTGTCCCAGGAAGCCATTGTTCTACCACCTTTTGTGTCTATAGCTTTGCGCCCAAGACCTGGTGTTTGGGAGTATGTTCGTGTTAACGCATTTGAACTCAGTGTGGATAGTCTGAGTGTTGCAGAATATCTTCAATTCAAAGAAGAACTTGTAGATGGAAAGTAAGTGTTAACTTTGTTATGTACGAATTCTGAAAATACTTTTAATTTTATATTCATATACACACTACAGGGAAGGTTAATAGTAAAATGAATTGCTTGTCATTCTATTATAGTCTCAGTTTGTCTTCACAGGGAGAAAATTTTTGACAATTTTATTCAGGTACAATGACAAGTATATGCTTGAACTAGACCTTGAACCATTTAATGCAACATTCCCTAAACCAACTCGATCATCCTCTATTGGTAATGGTGTTCAGTTTCTCAACCGTCATCTGTCATCATTCATGTTTCGTAACAAAGAAAGTTTGGATCCTCTCCTTGCATTTCTACGCACACACAAATATGATGGCCAAGTAAGTTTGTCTACTATATTGATGAGCACATTAGAAAGCCGCATATTTATTTGCAGCAATTGTGAATGATGTATAGAAATCTTAAACTTACCCATATATAAATAAATGCTTTTGGTGTTGAAGATTTGTTCTTTTAGTGTGAACATCAAATTATAGTGTCATTATTATTTGAAGTTCTCCTTTATTATAGTCTCTTCAACTGGGTGGATTAGGTAACTTATTAATGGCTGTAAATTTACAAATATTTTTATGACAAATATATTATGTAGGCAATGATGATAAATGACCGGATTCATCACATATCCGAGCTCCAGTCTTCCTTGGCAAGGGCAGAAGGAATACTTTCTAAGATCCAACCGAATACACCATATTCTGACTTTGAATATGAGTAAGCAAGAATATCTTAAAACTGATATGATTCTAAATTTTCGTAAGTTTTGAATGTAGAAATTACTAATCGTCTACTGAATACCCTTGATAAGAATTTTTTTCTTTTCTTCATTATTTTGGTGAAAGATTACAAGGATTGGGATTTGAGAGAGGTTGGGGTGATACAGCAGAGAGGGTGTTAGAAATGATGCATCTTCTACTTGACGTCCTTCAAGCTCCTGATCCAAATACCTTAGAGTCTTTTCTGGGAAGAATTCCTATGGTGTTCAATGTTGTAATTGTATCACCACCCGGTTACTTTGGTCAAGTAAATGTCCTGGGTTTGCCCGATACTGGTGGACAGGTATTATTTTGTTGTTACAGTTTTAATCTAATTCATAAATTTTAAAGAAAGAAAGATGGGACTTCTTCTAAGAAAGAAAGAAATATAAATAAATTTTGAAGAAAGAAAGATAGGTACATTGAATAAACTTAGATGTAATTTAGTAGAATTTTATTTTATTTTCTTTAACGTGAAAGGTCATGAGAGAGAAATTGTGTCTATGTTTTGATAGTGTATCATTGATAAAATTGAAGGTTGAGAATTAAAAGTTCAAATATCAGTCAATAAATTTATAGTTGAATTATTTGATAACGTGAAAGGAAAGAAATAAAAAAAAATATTCAAAAGGAATTTAATGTGCGGTGGATTATGATAATTGGAGCATTTAGACCAAAGTTTATTTTTGTCCCAAGATAATTGGGAGGTGATTTAAAACAGTTTCAAAGAATTGAAAACCAACACCACATACTCACTGTCCAAAACAAGGTATTGAAAGAGACAAAATGGTGAGATGAGTTTATACATGTTGGATCAAGTTGTTGATCAACTTGATTTTGAGAAGATAACAAACACTTCAACATGTGGGATATTTTGGTAAAAGTATACAAAGGAGCTAGTCAAGTTAAACAAGTTTATCTTCAAACACTTCCCAACAAGTTGAAAAGTATGAAGATAGAAGAGTGGGAACGAGTTTATCAACTCAACTGAAATGGAAAAACATTATTTAATGCCCAAGTTGCCAAGAAAATTTTGAGATTGTTAATCGATAACTTCAAGAATGTCATATGTGTGATAAAATAGTCCAAGGACCTTGCAACATTTATGATAGACAAGCTAGTCATTTCTCTTGAGGTACATGAGCAACAAAAGAAGAAAAAAAAAAAAGGAAACACTTGATCAAGCACTCCAAATCAAGTATCAATTAAAGACAAAAAGACAGCTTACTCTCAAAACACTTATGACAAAGAACAAGGTCGTGAAGGTCGAGAAAATGGTTGTGGTGATAGAGGTTGTGGTCAGAAATGATATTATGAGGAGAAAGAACAATCAAGCCAACAAAATTGTTATGTGAAAGAAGACACAGTCATTGGAGTTGAGGTCGATCGTCAAGTGTTACAAGTGTGATAAATATAGTTACTATGGAAAGAATTGTAACTCTAACAAGTGTTACCATTATGATAAGGTAGGACATATTGTTAAAGAACTTCAAGCAAAAAAAAAAGGTGAAAGAGACGACCAATTTATTTACAAAAGATGTGATGAAAGCTAAAGAAGTTTTATTGGTGATGATAAATAACTCATAAGGAAACACGGGTGTCGATCACAATACAGTGTTGTATCTTGACACGGGAAACAATTATATGTGTAGAGATGAGCATCTATTTGAATAATTAAAAAAGGTTGAAATCAGATGTATCATTTGGATATGTTTCAAAGCTTAAAGTCAAAGAATGAGATACAATTTGTTATTTACAAAAGGATGACCTAATTGGATCAATCCAAGATGTATATTACATGCTAGATCTTAGGAGTAATATTTTGAGTATGAAATAACTTATAGAAAAAAAAAATATTCAGTACTTATGAAAGACTAAGTACTACATTTGAAGGATAAGCACATACATTTGCTCGAGTTGAAATGGGGAGAAATCATATGTATAAGTTGAATTTGAAAGGTGTTAAAAAAATTGTTTGAAACTCAACATAGAAGATAGGATGATGATGTGACATATTCGATTTGATCATATAAATTATGGTGATCTAAACGAGTTGGCGAAGAAGAACATGGTGCACAGGCTATCGAACATGGATTACAAGGGAAAATTCTATGAAGAATGTGTGTTCGACAAGCATGCAAGAGCCTCGTTTCAAAAGAAGATTAACTATCGTGCAAAGAAACATCTTGAATTGATTCATACTGACATATGTGAACATATTACCCTTGAATCCTTTAGTGGTAAAAGGTACTACATTTCTTTCGCTTTATGATTTCTCACATGAAACTTGAGTTTATTTTTTAAAAGAGAAATCCAAGATGCTTGAGGTATTTAAAATATTCAAAGTGATGGTGAAAAATACAACTGATAGACACATCAAATCAATATGATTTGATAAGTATACATCAATGAGTCTCATGAAGTATTGTGAGGAAAGAAATAGGATGATTTCTAATAGTATCATACTCATCCCAACAAAAATGGTGTGGCCAAGAGGAAAAAATGGATTGCTCTTGATATGGTTCTGTTAATGCTTAAGAGTAAGAATATATCAAAGGAGTTCTAGACAAAAGTTATACAATGCATTATCTATATACAAAATCGGTATCCACATGCAAACTTGAATGACCATCCATGACTTATCTCAAAGTGTTTGGTAGTATAACATATGCACAAGTACCATATTAGCAAAGAGCAAAGCTCAAAGACAAGTAAGAAGTATATTTTTATTGCGTATATGATGAGAAGACTAAAAGTTATAAACTACTAGACCTAATAACCAAGAAATTTGTTGTGAGTCGTGATGTCCGAGTTAATGAAGCAAGTGAATGGAATTGGATTCATTGGAGGATATCATTGGAAGTAGAGTATCATCAATTATTATACTAACAATCACATCAAATTTTGAAATCACTAATGATGAAGATGAGCCATAACATCCTAGAATGTGAAACTTGCAAGACTTAATAACTGAGGTACACATATTCCTTCTGGCGTGGATTCTGAAAATATAAGTTTTGAAAAGACAATATAAGACGAGAAGTGGCAAACTATCATGGACAACAAGATTAGAGAAATTGAATGTAACAACACATGGAAGTTGACGAAATTGTCGAGTGATAATCGACTCATTGGTGTGAAGTGGGTGTTCAAGAAAAAATAAATGATAAAGGGGAGATAGAACAATATAAGGCATAACTTGTTTCAAAGGGATATAAGCAAAAGAAGATAATTGATTATGAAGAGATGTTTGCTCCAGTTATGAGAAAGGAGACTATTTGGTTGCTCATTTCACAAGAAGCTCAATTCAAATGGTCGATTTTTCAAATGGATGTCAAGTAAACTTTTTTTAATGATGTGCTTAAAGAAGGCCCTTTATGGGTTGAAGCAAGCACCTGACATGGAACATTTGTACATACTTCAAGGAGAATAAGTTTGAATAGTGTTCCCATGAAAATGCTCTTTACGTAAAGAAAAGTGGAAATAATATGTTATTTGTTGCTCTTTATGGGGATGGTTTTATTTTATGGGAAACAATGTTGAGATGACAAAAAATTTGGGTTTAATGAAATTTTTTTCTTAGTTTGAAAGTTAGACAAGATGAGACGACCATTTTTTTTTTCTCAAGAGACCTATACAAAAGAGATTTTGAAGAAATACAAGATGTTATAAGTTGCAATCTCGATTTCAACACCAATGGAATCAAGTACAAAAGTTTCAAAATTTAATAAAAAAGACCAAGTTAATGCTAACAAATATCATGAGAATTCTTTCCTATCTCACATACACAAGATCGAATATTTTGTTAAGTGTTGGCATTGTAAGTCGGTTCATAAAAGTGTCAGGCTATACACATTGGAAAACATTGAAGCGAATAATAAGGTATGTCTAAGGAATGGTGTCACTCGGCCTATTCTATACAAGGTCAGAAGATTACATGTTGGTTGAGTTCTTGAATAGGATCTGGTGTAGAGACTTAGATGATAAAATAATACATCGAGATATGTGTCTTTTTATGCGTAACATGACTTTTACTTGACTTTGAAAGAAACAACCAATTGTAACACTTTTAATATGTGATGTTGAATATGTGATAGCATCTTAGTGTGTATGTCATGTAATATGACTCAGAGTCTGTAGAGCAAATTGAAGTAACAACAACTCGATATGATTGTGATACGAGTTGACAACAAATCAGTAATTGAATTGGCGAAAAATTAGGTTAATCATGAAAGAAGCAAACACATTAATGTTCTCTTTTATTTCATGGATAAAATGTGAAGAGAGACATTGCGCGAGTTAGTATAAGTGACAAGTCGAGATTAAATTACATATATATATATATATATATATATATATATATATATATTCATAAAGTCATTATCGAGGATACTTTTCGATAATTGTAAGGAGTTGACCAGAATAACAATAAAACATTCAAGTTTACAAGATAATTTTGTTAAATAAACTTAAATGTTAGTTTTAGTTACCGATTTTTTTTGTTAAGGTGAAAGTTCAATAGTCAATAATTATGCTTATGTTCTGATTGTACATCATTAAAAGAATCTAAGGCTTAGAACTCAAATATCATATTTTGGTCTATACATTCATAGTTGTATATTGTATGATGATGAGATTGAAAAGGAAAAAAAAGTATTCGAGAGGACATTTTTTTACAAGGTACAGGAATTCTTGGATGAATGGAAGGAAGAAAGATATATATATATATATATATATATATATATATATATATATATATATATATATATATATGAAGAAAAAAAAGATGAGGAATTATTATTCTTGCCATACTAGTTGAAATGAAAGAAAGAATGAAATATATAGGAATTCTTATAAGAAATTATTTAAAAATTAAATTAAAGATATAGAAATTCTTGAAAAAAATTACAAAAGATGTATAAGAATATATTTAAAATGGTGATATATCTAACTAAATCTTAAAAAATCAGTTTGGTAAGATGAGGATTATATTAGTCAATGTGAAATTTTATCATACCTCCTAACTTTGAGAGAAATTTTTCTATGTCCTAATATCGTAAAATTAGCTCTAATACGATATTAGAAATGGTAAAATAAAATTCAATAATGTGAAAATTATATATATATATATATATATATATATTATAATATTATCATGAGATTTTTCATTATACCTATTCATTTCGAAAGAAATTTTTCATAATGATTTTAAGAAAAAAATTTATTATATTGTTTCTTGTCCACTAAATGTCTTAAATATACATAATATTATATTATTATTAAACTAGAATTTCAAATCTCTTACAAATCCTTTTTATTATAACATCTATTTATAAGAAATCTCAAATAATTAAAATTAATCATAATTAATTTATAAAGATTATTATATATTTTTTTCCACAATAGAATTAATTATAATTACTTTGTAAAAGTTTAAAATATGCATAATATATATATATATATATATATATATATATATATATATATGAATTTTTCTTAGAATGGAAAGAAAGAAATAATAAAGAATTTTTTTTGAAGAAATAAAGTATTAAAGAAAGAATTAAAGAAAGAGATAGATATAATCATTATTTAAAAGAACTTTTGTAAGAATGGAAGAAAGAAAGTACGAAAGATATAAAAATTCTAGAAAAAATTGACGAGTAAAAGAAAAGTATAAGAATTCTTATCAGAAAGAAAAATAACAAGGAAAGAAAGATACAACTACCTTAAGATAGAAAGATAAACAAACTTTCTTAAAACCACAGTGAAAGAAAAAAAGAAATAAGTATTACTCTATGAACAAGGAGATAAATAGGAATTATTTTCTAAGAAAGAAACATGTAGGAATTCTCTTAAAAAAAATTAAAGAATAATATAAGAATTCCTGTAAGAAAGAAAGAAAATGAAAATATAAGAATTCTCATATGAAAGTAAAATAGATACACGAATTCTTGTAAGAAAGAAAGATTTAGTAATTCTGGGAAGAGTCAAAGAAAAAAGAAACATATAGGAATTGAACCAGAAGTTAGTAATTCTTCCACCCCCCCTCCCCTGAATTTGAATTGTGAATTGACATCTCATCACATGAACTTGAATTGAAATTGGGTTCCTCCCAGTCCCCTGAATTGAATTTAGCTACCCCGGTGAATTGAAATTATCAGATCCAATGGTTACAGGTAAAATTGAAAAATTGTGCTAATGCTATTAGCTTCCTAATAATGAGCAGATTGTTTATATACTTGATCAAGTGCGTGCTTTAGAGAAGGAGATGCTGGTCAGAATTCAAAAACAAGGACTTGATGTGTCTCCAAAAATTCTGATCGTATGTGATTCCAAAAGTCCTCCCACTTCTACGTATGACAAATGAAATATTCGTTAATATTTTGTTGAAAACCTTGTTGTACTTCCAGGTTACTAGATTGATACCAGAGGCCAAAGGGACAACATGCAATCAGAGACTGGAAAGAGTTAGTGGAACTGAGCATACATATATACTGAGAGTACCTTTTAGAACTAAAAATGGAATTTTGAGAAAATGGATTTCAAGGTTTGACATGTGGCCTTATCTGGAGACATTTGCAGAGGTAAGTATCATCTGATGCCTAAATTTTGTTCTTTTCATGTCCCTTTCTCCATGCAGTAGTGCCAAAGTTAATATATTCTACTAAGGTAAGTAGTCTAAGTTGAAGAATTTCATTAGTGGAATATGACTGTCGCTTACTTTTTACAAAGGATGCATCAAACGAAATTGCTGCTGAGTTACAAGGAATTCCAGATCTGATAATTGGAAACTACAGTCATGGAAATCTTGTTGCAACCTTGTTATCTTATAAGCTAGGAGTCACACAGGTGCTATAACAATTCAATATTATCTTATTATCATATGAATAGGCCAACCTACTTATAAATGCATAATTACCCCTACTCTTTGGCCCTGGAAGGATGCCAAGACTGTTTGATCTTTTACTAATTTTGTTTTACTGAACTTTCCTTGTAGTGCAACATAGCTCATTCATTAGACAAGACTAAGCATCCTGGTTCTGATATATATTGGAAAAAATATGAAGACAAGTACCATTTTTCTTGTCAATTCACAGCTGACATTATTGCAATGAACAACGCGGATTTTATAATCACTAGTACATACCAAGAAATAGCAGGAAGGTAAGTTATGTTGTAGAAATATTATACTTGAAAGCTTCATTTCAGTGTAAGACAATTGTCACATTAGACTGTATATAATCAAGTGTTTTTTGTATGGTACTCTAATCTGGATTCTCCTGCAAAAATCTAACAATTTCTCTGTCTCTTACTATCTTGATAATTTGGTTTCCCTTGTCATATTTTCCCTTCTCCGAAAACATACATAGCAATATAAGCATTCATGATTCTTGACCATGCATGTTGAGTTTCCACCAACTTCTTAAAACTATAAAGAAATATCAGCTTTAAGAAATATCTACGAATATCTGTTTTCCATTCTACATAAATCTTGGTGATGGTGTATACCATGAGGATTTGTAATCTAACTTGAAGTCGATAAGATTTCATCGAAGGGTAATTGAATGGTATCCGTAAGTATTTAAGCTGGTATTTGATGAACTAGCATTTCGCACTTTTTTCTTCAGTTGGCTATGTGTGATTTTGTAAAGATATTGTTTGGTTTTCATATCACATTATTCCCTAACATTGATTGTTACTTTTCCTCAGCAAGAATAACGTTGGACAATATGAGAGCCACACTGCCTTCACTCTTCCAGGACTTTATCGTGTTGTTCATGGCATTGATGTTTTTGATCCCAAGTTTAATATCGTGTCTCCAGGTGCAGACATGCGCATATATTTTCCATTTTCAGACAGAGAAAAGAGGCTAACTTCTCTCCATGGCTCGATTCAAAAACTTATATATGGTGATGAGCAGAATGAAGAACATGTGTGAGTATTTTTCAATAGGACAAATGTTTGCATGTAAAAACAAAAACACATCTTGTTCTCTTCCTTTTGTTTCTTAGTTGACTTTTCTGCACTGCCATAGCTAGACATACACCTAGCTTCGATATTTAAAGATCAAAGACTTTTTCTGGATTATAAGAACCTGGCATTGCTAAGTTGATAAGAAAAAATACACTTAAACGTAATGTTCAATGTAGCATATACTCTACAGTAACCTAAACCAAAATTTGTTTTATTATCATGAAGCTTTTGATTAGAGCTGTTTTACCCTCATAATATGACGGTCTATACATAAATCATGTAATAGTTAATAAGAAATTTTATGGTCTCTAATTTCAAATTTGGAATATATGGTTTTAAACCTGACTTGGTTAAAATAACACTGGCTGAGTGAAGCAAGTTTTATCTGAAATGTATTTTCTTATGAATTAAGTCAAAACATCTCTTGCAGTTCCTCTATTATTCCTCTTGTAACAACAATGGGAGATTAGAATCTTGTTTAATATCTCTTTTTGTCTGACGCAGTGGCTTGTTAAGGGATAGATCAAAGCCAATTATCTTCTCTATGGCAAAACTTGATCAGGTGAAAAATATGACAGGGCTTGTTGAATGCTTTGGTAAAAGCTCAGAGTTGAGAGAGCTTGTGAATCTTGTGGTAGTTGGTGGCAACATTGATGTACAAAAGTCCAGGGACACAGAAGAAATGGGGGAGATAGAGAAAGTGCATAGCCTTATAGAAAAATACAACTTACACGGCCAATTTCGTTGGATAAAGGCCCAAGCGAACCGTGCTCGTAATGGAGAGCTCTACCGTTGTATTGCTGATGTGAAAGGTGCTTTCGTGCAGGTAGGAGAAAGATAAGTATTCATTTAGTGATGACTTTTCATTCATATTGAACCATGTTGTTGTCTTGTTATACGTGTTGCAGCCTGCTTTTTATGAAGGGTTTGGCCTAACAGTTGTGGAAGCAATGACTTGTGGTCTTCCTACATTTGCCACTTGTCATGGTGGCCCTGCTGAGATAATTGAGCATGGCGTTTCTGGATTCCATATTGAGCCATATCATCAGGATCAAGTTGCTGCAATTTTAATAAACTTTTTTGAGCAATGCCAGCATGATCCTGGCTACTGGAACCAGATTTCTGATGCAGGACTAAGGCGCATTCATGAGAGGTCTGGCTTGGTAAACATTACAAGAGATGAATCTTCCTCTACTTAGAAACTGAATTTCTATTTTGTTTAAACTTTGAAGGTATACATGGAAGATATACTCTGCGAGGCTTCTCACTTTAGCTGGTGTCTATGGCTTCTGGAAGCATGTCTCTAAGCTTGAGAGGAGAGAAACTAGGCGATACTTGGAGATGTTTTACATCCTCAAGTTCCGGGATTTGGTATGCTCTGTTCCCCTTATACAAATGTTCTACATCAGCAGAGTAGATAGTTGTATTTACTCTCTGCAATGCACATGTTAGTGTGCCTTGTGCTTCTTTGTTTTCATAAATAACTACTATAAATTCTTGAAATTTCATCTAAAATGAATCGAATAATGTTGATGATACCTTGTGTTTTTTTTTTTCAGGCACAATCCATTCCACTGGCAGTCGATTAGCATCTGTAGACTTAGTTGGAGTTTTTTTTGCTTGGTGCTCAACTCATGATTTCAATTGTAGAACAAATGACAATGCTTTTTTTTTTTTTTTTTTTTAATTTAATTATAATGGAAAATATAAGGAGTTTTTATATACAACTATTCTTTTGTATTAATTGTTGGTATTTTATTAATTATTATCTCGTAATTTTTCTTAATCAAAACGAATTATACATTTCATCTCGTTTACACGTTATTAACTAATGGATAAATATGTCAATATTTATTTATATAAAATTTTTAATATGTATTACTTTAAAAATATATCTTTAATTATATAAATATTTTTTAAGTTTTTATTTATTAATTAATATTTTTATTAAATAAATTGAAAAAAATTATTATATTTATATATTAGAATAACTAATTATAATTAATAATTTAAATTTAATTAATTAATATTTATAATTAAAATTATAATATATTTATATATTTTAATAAAATAATAAAAAATATAATCTTTTTAATTATAATCTTTTTTATTTTAATTTTATTATATAAATAATTTTTTAAAATAATTCAATAAGTGACTTTTTTTTCATCTAATCCTTGTTTAGTGATATTAACGAAATAAATAAGACAAGTTAAAATAAATTGAAGAATTAAAACTACCATCACCTAATCCATTTTAAGGTGACTAAAAAACAACACGTTGAGGAGGATAACCACCATTCTATACGGTACACTATTGAAAGAGATGGGATAAAATGAGTTAAAAAATGATAAAATGAATTGAAATTGGAAATTAGTGTCAAATCAAATCATCAATCACAACAACAACAAAACTTGGAAAACATGATGGAATAAAAGTCAAACAGAACAAGCCAAAGAAGTTATCTGCAACCAGTTACTTTAAATTCCTCTAACACTACGTTTCTTTAATTTTGATTCCTGATTGTAATTCAGTAGTTTATTTAAAATAAGTATAATTTTATTTTATTTTAGAATATTCTATCTTCTTGCATCATTGGGTTGGGACTAATTTTTGCATACTGCAAGCTACTTCTTCAATTCAACCCAACGTAGTTATCTCCGTGGAGAAGGGTCCCACATAGGAGTGTGTGTGTGTTGTGACGTTACACTTGCCTGCATGTCAAAGGCTCATCAAAACCAAGTCAATCGACCGACACCTTTTCATCTTTCGCAGATCGAATTCGGATATGGAGAGGAACACAGCAGACCTAGTGACGCAACTCAACGTGGCTCATGACTTTCCTTACGATTCTCTCGTACGCTACTGTACTTCCAACGTTTCCGGCTTCCCTCAACCCCCCACTCGTTTCACCGTTTCCCAGGTTTTTGTCTTCTCTAGTGTTTCGGGTCGCATGGGTTTTCATCAAGATTTTTTTTTTTTTTTTAATTTTGCTGTGTGTGATTCTGTGGTGAAATGGTTTCCTAGTTTGGGCATGGACAATCCAACCCCACGTACTTGTTGGAAGTGGGTTCTCATGACTCCGTCGTTAAGCGCTATGTTCTCAGGAAGAAACCTCCCGGGAAATTGCTCGCTTCAGCTCATGCCGTTGAGAGAGAATTTCAGGTTTGTGTTTTGTTGATGAAAATTGAATGCTGAGTTATTTTGAATTTGAAAAAAAAAAAAAAAAAATTGTATCGTCTCTGGGTTCACATAGATCTTATAGAATCATGTCCAAATACTAGCCAAGATGATGTTGGGCAAAAACTTAAATGTTTGATTTCATATATGAGAAATTGATTTTAATAAAATAAATGATTGAACTGGAACAACTTTAGATTACTTTTGTTATGAATAAGAAATTCTACGCTTAATTTTACTACTATTTAGTTTTTAGAATAACAGCATCCAAATATTGATCACCTTACTTCAAAATTAATTATTATTCAAAATCAATGTTGCAAAAGTTCATCCAAACTCATACTTAACTGTATGAAGTTTTGGCAGTGAATCAACATACTAGTGAGAAAAGAAAAATTGATTTTGTGTCCGTATAATTCACAGGTTCTCCAGGCATTGGGTGCTCATACCGAAGTTCCGGTTCCTAAGGTTTTCTGTTTGTGCAATGATCCAAATGTTATCGGAACCGCATTTTATATCATGGAATTTTTGGAAGGGCGCATATTCATTGACTCCAAGTTACCGGTATGATTTGTTTTCTAGTTAGCTTTGGCATACTTAAATGCAATTGGCGGTTGCTAAATTGTCATTGGTTTGATTGGTGACATGTGTGGTGTAAATAATCAGGGTGTGGCACCTCAGAGGAGGAGGGAAATTTACAGGGCAACTGCTAAAGCCTTAGCTTCCATACATTCTGCTAATGTGGAGTCCATTGGTCTGGGAAAATATGGTCGACGCAATGATTATTGCAAAAGACAGGTAAATTATCTATATATGATTATTTATGGTTAATGTTATGCTTTGAATTTCCCGAACCTTAGTTTTTAATTGTGCTATGAAGTTGTATGATCCATATAGCCACCTCACCTGGTGAAATAAGGCTTTGTTGTTTTTGTTGTTGTTGTTGATGTCTTGTCTTGAATTTTTTTCATGGAGATATATGCATTGAGATACAAAGCTGAACATAGATGTTAAACAGTTACTATTGCACAGTAAATTTCATGAAAGTGAATGCTGATGATACCTTTGAAAGATTGAGCACTCCATTGGTTCTTTGAAAAGTTTGAGTATTCACTTATGCATTTCTTTCCCCATGCCCATTTGTTTTTGGGTTCCACTCGATCTTCTATCATCACCCCTGCTATTGTACCAGGACACAAAAGAAGGGTTAGGATCAAAATAGTTTTTTTTTTTTTTTTTTTTTATGAAATCAAAATTGTGCTAATATATAGAATTATTTATATTATTTTAGATTGAGAGGTGGGCTAAGCAATATATTGCCTCAAGCAGTGAGGGTAAACCTGCAAGTAATCCAAAAATGTTTGCCTTGATTGATTGGCTACGGCATCAAATCCCTCCTGAAGATTCTTCAGGAGCAACAGGAGGTCTGGTTCATGGAGATTTTCGAATTGACAATCTTGTGTTCCACCCCACAGAGGTAAGATTCATATAGTAAGATTACGCACTTTCTTGAAGTTTCAGTGGAGAAAAGTACTTATCTTTATTCTTAATGTATAGATTTTTTCTATGGTCATACTCAAAATTAGAGTATCATAATTGTTGTGCTAAAAGAAACAAAATTTATGTTCTTAATGACATGTATTGTTTACTCTGGAGTTTGGACGGTGTCATGACTCAATATTAGTATATAGGACTGATAAACTCATTGGCAGCTTAGAACCACTTCTTATGTCTTACTAGTTTTCTTCTACTGCAGGATCGAGTAATTGGAATACTTGACTGGGAACTGTCTACCCTTGGTAACCAAATGTGTGATGTTGCATATAGCTGTATGGTATGTACCTATAGTCACTTTTCTGAATTGAGATTTTGTAACGTAAAGATGTGTTTTATTACGTTACCAGAATCATTGTTTCGAATATGCATTTTGTTTATATAATCTTGATGGTTAGTATCTTCATTTAGTCTGTTTGTTTGTTAAGTGATGATAATATAATCATTGTTTTAGATTACCTAAGCGATTGATTAATTGTACCTGTTAAATTCATATTTGTTTTTGTTCTCCTGAAGACTTATATTGCAGATATTGGGCCTGAGAAAGTGCGTGAAGGTATGGAACGTTCTGGACTACCTGAGGGAATTCCTTCACTACCAGAATATTTGGCTGATTACTGTTCTCAAGCAGTAAGTGTTGTAAATATATATGCCTCAATGGATTTTGGTATCATTAAGTATATATGCTGATATGATGATATACATCAAACAAATTTATATACTAACTTTTCCTTGAGATTTCTTGGGAAGTGGAAATTCTACTATTTAGTATGTGTGAAATTTAGATTCAAATCAACAGTTAGGATAGATATGACAGCATGCACAATAATATCTATCTAGATATTAGGATATGGGATTGCCTAGAAAGTTGACGTAAAAGCCATAATTGTTCCTTAAAGAAGCCACAAAGAAGGATTCGTGTATGTGAAGGAGAAAAATATCTTTATTTTCTATTAATGAGGGAGATCACGAAACATTGGGAAACTTTGGTACGCGTAGGATAAGGATAAGGGCTTCTCCTTTTGACAAACCATCCTAGCAACCTGTTCATGGAAAACCTATCACAAGGCTCACAAAACCCAACATAATCCACATGGGTGTAAGTTCTTATAGCATCCCAAAAGCAAATGTAATTACAATTTACAACTGGATTATACCAATATATTTGACACTCAACTATTAAGTTATAGGAATATGTGGATAGTGTATTCTACCAAGGATTAAAATATCTAACAGCACGTTCAATAATAACTAGTTAATCTCATATCTTGCGATTTTGATTGTTTTGTTTGAGATTTTTAATAACTTTTGTACTTGATGGTTGTCATTAACATTAGGTATTTAGCTAGGGATGCTTTTGGCATGTTTTGTATCATATCTTTTCCTATTCTTGAAGATCTAACAAAGGATCTTTGGATTCCAGGAGAGAAAATGGCCTGTTGCTGAATGGAAGTTCTATATTGCCTTTTCTTTGTTCCGTGGGGCTTCAATTTTTGCAGGAGTTTATAATAGATGGGTTAAGGTATCTAAATTTGTTAAAGATGCTGCTGCTGTTAGAGTTTTAAGATCTAATATTCTGTGGCTTCTTTGTGTGCAATAGGGTAATGCATCAGGAGGTGAGCGGGCACGACACACAGGAGTACTTGCTAATGGCCTTATAGATGCTGCTTGGGAATTTATTGAACAAAAATCTGTGCTTCCTCAGCATCCTCCCTCAGGTAGCTATAACATGGAAACATTATGGGCTCTCATGTAGTGTATCTAAAGTATAATTTGTTACTCTACTAGAAGCTAAAATTATTACTAGATTATTAGTATTAAACTACCAGCTGAGGCCTTTTACACCTGATAATCAGATTCAAATGCACGAGACTATTCGAAAGAGTTCATGAATGGGAATCATGTACAGGGTCTACCAAATCAGGGGAAGTTTGTTCCTAGTCAAAAGGTTTTGGCACTGAGGAACAAATTAATTAAGTTTATGGAGGAACACATTTACCCCATGGAAAATGAATTTTATGAACTTGCCCAATCCAAATCACGTTGGACTGTTCACCCAGCAGAGGAAAAGTTAAAGGAGATAGCAAAGAGAGAAGGCTTGTGGAACTTATGGATTCCTGTATGCATCATTTTCTCTTGTACTTTTTTTTTCTGTATTTTGTGATTTTAGAAGCTTTTCTTATCCATCCATCAGGTTTCATATATTACAGCTTCTTAGGATTTATGTGCATTGACAAATTTTTGGAGATGTTGTTGGAGACTCCTCACCTCATAAATCAATTTGTTGGAGTCAAGTTAGGTTCAAACTTACATTTTAAGAGACAACATAAATATTAAGTTATTTAGTAGATATTCTACCCTGTTTCCCCTACCCTGTCAAAATAAAAATTGCTAAACTCTAAGCTTGTTAAACAAAGATACTTTAAAAATAAAATAACAAAAATATAAAGAAAGGTTCAATGAATCATAGATGGAAATGAACTTGTAGATGCTGGAGGGATGAGCATTTCTATAACTCAAGTGGACAGCTAAGAAAATATTCAGCCTGAAGAGCTAGATGGAATATGGAATTATTAAACGTTTGAGTTATTTCTTAAATTCCTTTATTATCTTTCACTGTTACTATTTTTTTCCTGAAAAAGAAGTTCTCTGAATGCATCTGTTTGTATGCAGCTTGATAGTGCCGTGAGAGCAAGAAACCTTATCTTTGATGGGAGAAATAATCATCTCTCTTCTGATGCAAATGACTTGTTATTGGGAGCTGGCCTCACAAATCTCGAATATGGATACCTTTGTGAGATCATGGGTCGTTCTATTTGGGCTCCACAAATATTTAATTGTGGTGCACCTGACACAGGTAATATGGAGGTAAGATGGAACTTATAGATTTGCTTGGTTGATCATTAATTGACTAACATTAATTGGGTTCTCTCCGGGGTTGATCATATTTAGTACACTATCTATGTTACATTTTTGTCTAATTTGGTAACATTACTTTGCATATTAGGTATTACTGCGTTATGGAAATAAAGAGCAACTACAAGAATGGCTAGTTCCTTTGCTTGAGGGGACGATTAGGTCTGGATTTGCTATGACAGAACCACAAGTTGCATCTTCCGATGCAACTAATATTGAATGTTCTATGACAAGGTAGGATTATCAATTATCAATCATCTTAAGTTATTCAAGAGTTCAGTCTTTTCATTTAGCCAATGTAAATGCGTCAGCAAATTACTTAAGCATAGATTTGAATCAAGTTTCTTGGTAGAAGATAATTAAACATGTATGAGAGTATGGACTACTTATATGGTTATTTTCTTAATTTCTCTTCATTAATAGGCAAGGAGATTCATATATTATCAATGGGACAAAATGGTGGACAAGTGGTGCTATGGATCCAAGATGTAGAATTCTTATAGTCATGGTGAGTTTTTTATTGAAAGTTATTGCATTAACAGTCCATGTGCATTCATGTCAATAATCAAGAGAGTGATCAAAACATATGGACAGGGGAAAACTGACTTCAATGCAGCGAGGCATAAACAGCAATCTATGATCTTAGTGGATGTCCAGACCCCTGGTGTTCACATAAAGAGACCATTGACGGTGTTTGGCTTTGATGATGCTCCTCATGGGCATGCAGAAATAACATTTGAAAATGTTTGTGTGCCAGCAAAAAACATCATACTGGGTGAAGGACGTGGATTCGAGATTGCTCAAGTAAGTTGAAAAATATTTCTTAGGTTGGATATTGGGATCTGATGTTGGTTTGAACTTTAACTATTGGAAAAAACACAAGTCACACATCAACTAGAAGTGTCAAAATATAATGTATAGGTGGAGTAATCTTCTTACTACAAGTTGGTTTTTTAGGATTGAGTTAGACATTAGTCCATTTTTTAAAATTCACCTAGTTAAGCGTCATTTGTACAATTATATCAGTTCTGCTTGAAAGCTGGCAGTGCTTCAACTTTCACGTTTGAATGCTTCCCAACCCATGGCTTAAAGTATCAATGATACTAATTTTTTTTTTTTTGGCAGCTAATATTGTTGACACCATAACTAACCAAGAACTCAACAGTTCCATGAGTAAATTGAGATAGCATTAAGGCTTGAAAGATGTCCTGTTTTGCCACATGAGACACCCTTTTAAGGGAAAAACCATGAGGCTCATTCCAAGAGTCTGTAGAGGACTATTACTTTTGTGAACCCATAACTATAAATGAACAACATCTTGCCCAACATCTAGATAGCTCACAAGTATCCAAGTTCTTGGGGAAAAACCATGAGGCTCATTCCAAGAGTCTGTAGAGGACTATTACTTTTGTGAACTCATAACTATAAATGAACAACATCTTGCCCAACATCTAGATAGCTCACAAGTATCCAAGTTCTTGGGGAAGCTACTCTCAAAAGTTACCTATTAAGGAAGGAGAACCAACACTTGAATACTCCACTTGGTGACACTTCACTCAACTCCCTATTGGTTCAGCGGTGAACCCACCTCAAACGCTGACAATTAAGGGGGGGGGGGGGAAGGAACCAAGCACTACTCTACCAAGCATCCCATACTATGCCTTGTGGAACTTGGGTACGAGACTTTTCATTAGTATGAATTATCATTTTAAAGGTGGACTCATCAATAATAATTTTAGGATATTTTTGGATAAATTTCTCTAAACATTTAAAGAGGAGAAAATAAGAAGAAAAAATTAAATATGTTTTTCTTTAAGTTAAAATTAGTTTATGCATATTTTAAAAATCATGTTTTGGTGAAATTTAGTTTATATAGAATTTTATTTTATTTTTTCTTATTTTTTTTCTTCTATAAGTGTTTGTGGAGAAGTTTATCCAAACACACCTAATATATTCTACTATAGAAGGAAATACGGGGTTATATGGGAGTTATTTGGTCTTTCTAACTGCATAAACTACATCTGCCTATCTTCTTTGATATGTTTGAAGTTCTAAATACTATAAGTGTTTATCCAAACACACTTAATATATTAAGTGTTTTTCTTCTGTAAGTGTTTGTGGAGAAGTTTATCCAAACACACTTAATATATTATACTATAGAAGGAAGTACGGGGTTATATGGGAGTTATTTGGTCTTTCTAACTGCATAAACTACATCTGCCTATCTTTATTGATATGTTTGCTTAAGTTCTAAATACTATATTTTCAATATGCTGATAACTTGCATTCTTGCAGGGTAGGCTTGGTCCTGGAAGGTTGCACCATTGTATGAGGTCGATAGGTGTTGCTGAGCGAGGCATGCAGTTGATGGTTCAAAGAGCCATCAGTAGAAAAACATTTGGGAAGTTCATTGCTCAATATGGTTCATTTCTTTCAGATATGGCCAAGGTATTAGGAATCTAATAGGAATGGGTAAAAAAAAACTGATCTAGAAGTCGCAGGAATATAAATGTTTCAGTTTTTACATTATTAGGATTTCTGCTTACCTAGTTTCTGATGTTCAGTGCCGAATAGAGCTAGAGAGGACCAGATTGTTAGTGTTGGAAGCCGCAGACCAACTTGATAGGCATGGGAACAAAAAAGCTCGAGGGATACTAGCAATGGCAAAGGTAATTGTTTGTACGACAGCATAATTCTACTCTTAAGGTTCCTATCACTTCAATTTGAGGTTGATTTCTTTTAACACTGCGCTTGGCATGAGTGCAGGTAGCTGCACCAAACATGGCACTGAAGGTGCTTGACATGGCAATGCAAGTGCATGGAGCAGCTGGTGTTTCATCTGAAACTGTCCTGGCTCATCTCTGGGCAGCTTCTAGGACACTTAGAATTGCAGATGGTCCAGATGAAGTTCACTTGGGGACCATAGCCAAGTTAGAACTGCTGAAAGCCAAGCTTTGAGTACCCGAGATTTTTCGTGTCAGGGCCAAATAATAGCCGTGTTTCAAAATGTTTTTGGAAGCATTATGTAATAACATATGAGGGTTGTTCATAATCAGCTTCCTCATTGTGTATTCCACCAGGTTTTGAAACTATTACTTTAAATTCCTTGATCAAAGCAAATATCACAACCTTGTGGTTTACTGAAAGAATTAAAAATGGGTATGCAGTATGGCATTAAGTTGAGAGGAAAACCGTGGATAGCTTAATAAGCATATAAAAAGTAGATAGAGTACATGTGGTAGTCTATTCTCCTGTACAAACATAAACAAGTAAAACATATACATATGATATCCAATGATGGGAGTAAAGAAGCTTGAATATGCATAAATGTACTTCAGTTATTAAGTTTGAGTCAAATATATTAACAAGTATTTGCGGCTAATAATTTTTTTTATAATTTTTACTTTTTCGATTGGTCAATGAGAGAAGAGTAAGATAGACAGAAGGGATAAGCTAAATGGTTATGAAAAATATTTATAAATTTATAAAGAACTTATTATGCATAATTAAGATAAAATGTATAAATTATAGAGTCTAATAACCTTTTTGGAACCATGTCTCTTGTGCCCTGTATCCGCGTCTGTGTTGATGCAAACTATTTTAGCTTTTTGCATCAATAAACACAACTAAACAGTTTTCTATGAATTTGTAAAGAATAACGCCGATAGCTTCATATTAGGTTTTACACAAAAATGGTACTGTTTTTTTTAAGTTTATTAAAATAGGTAAAATTTTTAGAAATTACCGATTTAAGGGATTCCTAATCGTGATTCATAATATAATTTCAATATTGAACTTTTTTTTTAAATAGAAATATAAAAAATATATTTTTTATATAAATATATATAGAATTCATATTAAATAATTTGTATTTTAGTTTTATACAGCATCTAGTTTTTATATAATAATAATAATAATAATAATAATTATTATTATTATTATAATTAATAATAATATTTAATATTATTAATAAAGAAATAAATAACAATTAAGTTTATATTATTATTAAAATTAATTATTATTATATTATTTTTATTAATATTATTATTAATGCTAAAATAATAATAATAATAGTAATATTTATAATAAAATATTATTAATTATTTTATTTTATTATTAATATTTTTATTATTTTAATATTAATAATATAAATGTAATATTATTATTTATTTTATTGTAAATAATATAAAAATTATTACTATTAATTATAATAATACAATAATTATTTTAATATAATAATTAAAAACCATATTATATATTTACATAGAATTTATCCTCTCGACTTCTATTTAAAAAAATAATTATAAAATCATATAGATTTATTTTAATTTGTACTCTTTTAAAAATTTATTCATCTTAATAATTTTTAAAATAAAATTACCTCTACGAAACAAAATGTCTTTTGAATATTTTCAAATAATTCACGAGTTTCTACTCTAGCATTTATGTAATTTTTCATATAACTTCATAATGTTATAACCCCTTTCCTCTATTAAGTAATTTATCATTTCTTTTTCCAACCAAGGAACTCAAAAATTTCTTAAAGATCTCACAATTTACCGTATGAAGTGTAAATGATATGTTTATCAATTTGTAATTTATTCAAAAATCATATGATACAAATCATTGGCTTGGTAAACTCTATCAAATAATGGGATTTGAAAGGTAAATGATATTATTCTAAAAACTATGGTTTATGTAATAAAAATATGCCTCGTTGTAACAATTCATAGAGCTACACCATTGAAAAAACAAATCGAAAGTCAAATTCATGCATACCTTTACAACATTTTATATATAGTTAAATTCAATAAACAAGTGTTAAAGTTCTTCGCATGCAAATTTCCTTTAAAAATTAAAAGAAAGGTCGCTATTTTACCCTTTTATAACCATATTTTAGTGTCTTTCAAAAATATGTTTGGTGTAAACAATGAAGAAAGAACACTAAATAAAGAAGAGAAATATGAAAAAAAAAATTGCCTTTAAAGTTAACGATGACTTTATACGCTTGGTGGTTCCCCCGACAAACATCCTCCACAAACATATGATGTCATTAACGAGTATGTAAAGATATCATGCTTTCACTCACAATCTTATTATGGATTGATTAATTTAGGAATGGTGAAAATGTTCCATCGAACTATAACAGAGGCCTTTAGAAAGTAATTAAAAATTTTCATTTTGTGACGTGCAACTAATTTTGTGCAGGAAGAAAGGAAATGAAGTTTATAGTTCATTTCTTGGTGATAAATGTTAATATAAAAAATAAATAAAAAAAGGTTTTCTCCAAATCTCATTGGGGAGAGAAATTAATACATATGATAGATAGTGTGGTAGAAAAAGAAAGAGAGAAAAAAATAAACATCAAATGTAAAATTAGAACTTAACAAAAACTTGAAGGTTAATAAAACTTGAAAAAGAAAAAAAAAAAGTCAAAGGCCATGCAACCGTAGACATCAAAAACTTGTATTAGCACTAAAGTTCTTGATTTAAGGAGATCCTCTAAACTTACATGCCAAAAATAAACAACGACTAGTATATTGGAACTGATGTTGTGCATCAAGTTCAGGATTAGGTGACAATATTGAACGTAGAGGAGAAACATTAGAAGTAGCCTGAAGAATTCCCACCTTATATATAACAAATGATTTGCCGAGAACTAAGAGCATGTATAAAAGAAATAACAATGGGAAATTAGAAGAATATGCAAGTTTAAAAGCAGCACCGAGAAGAGGAATTTAGCCTTTCTCATCTTGTTGAGGGAAAAGGGAATATAGAAGAAAGTTGTTCAGAATTTTGCTTGTGTATATAGGGATATGGGTGATTCTAACTTTGCCAGTAACCAACGAAAGTTTGCCATTCTCGGCATATCTTCAATCCTCCTTGTGGCGATGATGGCTTCGGTGGCTGTTTCTTTAAACGATGGAGGTGAAGGTAAAGGAGAAGAAGGGCCTCATATCGCTAGTACTGAAAGGAACAGTATAGACATGCTTTGTCGATCAACAGAATACACGGACACCTGCAAGAAAAGTCTTGTAAATGCGTCTAACGGAGCCACAGACACAAAGTCTCTGGTGAAAGCTGCGATCAATGCCACAGCGGTGGAGCTTTTGAGTCACATAAGGAACTCGTCCCTTTATCGTGATTTGGGGAAGGACAACATGACAAGACAAGCCTTGGAGATTTGTAAGGAAGTGTTTCAGTATGCTGTTGCTGGTATTCATAAATCTGCTGAGACATTAGACAGGCTTGACTACAGCAAGTTGGGTGAATTTGTTTATGACATGAAGGTTTGGATCGCGGGGAGTCTTTCTCATCAACAAACGTGCTTGGATGGCTTTGAGAACACAACCACAGAGGCTGGCGCGAAAATGGCAAAGGTTTTGAATACCTCTATGGAGCTTAGTAGCAATGCGTTGGATATGATCAATGTGATCTCTGGTGTACTCAAAGACCTTAACATCAGTTCACTATTTGGCAATAGGAGACTTCTCTCTGAGGACACAACCCTTGTGGATGGCTATCCTTCGTGGGTGAGTGAGGGGAAACGACATCTTCTTGAGGCTGGAAAGGAACATCCCCATGCAGTTGTGGCCCAAGATGGATCTGGCCAATTTAGAACTCTCACTGATGCTCTTAAGACCGTTCCCCCTAACAATGCTAAACCTTTTGTCATTCATGTCAAAGCTGGTGTGTACAAGGAATATGTGGATATGTCCATCTTAATGACCCATGTCACTGTTATTGGAGATGGTCCTCATAAGACTATATTCAGTGGCCATTTAAACTACGTTGATGGTGTCCAAACTTACAAAACTGCTACCTTTGGTAAGTATCTCAAAACCCCTTTTATTACACATATATACATGAAGTTATGATTGTGCACTCCCATTCTACAACCTTTCATGTTCTAGTATGTCTTGTTGGTATGGTTTTTTGGTTACCTAACTTGTTATTATCATTAATTGACAGCGGTTAATGCTCCAAACTTCATGGCCAAGGGCATTCGATTTGAAAACACAGCAGGGTCTGAGAAACATCAAGCAGTGGCACTTCGAGTAACAGCAGACCAAGCTGTGTTTCTCAATTGCCACATGGTCGGGAACCAAGACACCCTCTATGTCCAATCCCAACGCCAATTCTACCGTGATTGCACAGTCAGTGGTACCATTGATTTTGTGTTTGGAGATGCCATTGCAATGTTCCAAAACTGCAAGCTAGTTGTGAGAAAACCCTTACCCAGCCAACAGTGCATGGTAACAGCTGGTGGCAGAACCAAAGCTGACAGCCCCAGTGCCCTAGTGTTCCAAAAGTGCCACTTCACAGGAGAACCAGAAGTGTCTAAATTGGATCAAAAGGTAGCATACCTTGGAAGGCCATGGAGGGCATTCTCTAAGGTGGTCATCATGGAGTCTGTAATTGACGACATCTTCTTGCCAGAAGGGTACATGGCATGGATGGGAACTGAATTCATGGACACTTGTATATATTACGAGTTCAACAACACTGGCCCTAATGCTGACACATCTAAGAGAGTTAAATGGCCTGGCGTTAAGACCCTAACAGCAAAGAAAGCAAGTGATTATTATCCTGGCAAATTCTTTGAACTTGCTGCTTCAAAAGAAGGTGGTGATTGGATTGTTCAATCCAAGGTACCTTACTCTCTTGGCTCCATGAATTCCTAAAACACACATAACATATACCACCATAGTTTTGATAAACCAGAAGAAAAAAATAAAATAAAAACATGCTACCCCTCTGACACAAGGGTTGTAGTCATTCCTATCAAATACACTTTCTTATTTTATACTGTTTATATTAGTAGTTTTGTTTTAGGTTGGAATAAAAACGTGTTTTTGTTATTTAACAATTTTGAGGTAAAAATTAAACCTCCTTACTATGAATAATTGAAAACTATTTAATATAGTAATATTTTTATTTCTAAGTCTTATATTGATTTTATTTATTTATTTATTTATTTCGAATTTGAATTATTATTTATCGATAGATAATTGTTAAGAATCACTTTTTTTAACAAAAAAATGTGTATTTTTTGTAAAATTTCGTCTTGGTATTGTGAATATGTCAATATGGGATAGGTATATTTGCTACTCGTTCTTGTAAAAAAATGCAGAATTATGATTAAAAGGCATGGATCATGTGCAAGGTCTACACTTCAAATATAATTTATAATCAAAATCATGTTTTTTTGTGTGAATTTTACGTAGTTAAAAAAAATTAACATTTGAACTACATTGTTTACGTTATACACATTATGCGTCATAATATTATAATATAAATAATTTTTTCGTTAATAATGTCTCATACTTTCAATGAAGGACGTAATATTTAATTTCTGAGAAAGATTATCAAAGCTATTGTCAATAGTGACAAAGATATCACAAGTTTTTTTTTCTATTGTTAAAAGTTGCTTATTAACCATCTATTTCAACAAAATAATATTAATAACTGAATTGCAAAAAAAAAGTATGAACTTAAAAATAATCAATTTAACTGAAAATTAATTGCTGCTTTTTAATAGAGAAACACTTAATTGTGCCATTATATATTATTCTTTCAAAAATAATATAAATAAATACTATATTTCTAATAGTTAATTGTCATACAAAAATTATTTATTTATTTATTTAGAGATAATGTATTTGTCTCTAATTGAGATATAATTGGAAATAGCATTTTTTGTAACTGTGAATCTATTTAAGAGATTAATGTTTTAGTCAACGAAAATATAAGATTAAAAACTTCTTTTTTAATTACCATATAAATATTTTTATTCCATATAATTTAATTTAGATACAAATATTTTAGTATCTAAATTTAATAAAATAATAAACCAATTTTTTTCTCTATTGTAAATAAAAATAAAGACGATCTTTTTAGCCACTATTAATTTATTCTAGAGACCAAAAAACTAGTTTCAAATTGATAAATGATTATAATTTGTTTTAGTAAAACAAAATATAATTAAAAAAAACTCATTATTAAATACTAATAGTAATTAATGTTATTTTTAAATTAGAAAATTGTCAAAGAAGGAGTTCACAATTTATAATAAATTTAATAATAATGTGAAGTAAAAAAAACACGCGCTCTATTGGAGCCCTGCAACGACGCGGCTCCGTCTTCAAGCACAAGCGCCGGCGTATCGACCCTCCGCCACCACCCGAGGTTGAAGAAGCGGCGGAGGAGAACCTTCGTAGAGAGCGGAAGAAACAAAACCTACTCAAGCTCAAATCGAAGTACGAGAAAGGAATTCTTCATTGGGAATCAATGTCGAACACCATGCATGCACTGCAACAACGCCCCACTGTTCACTGTCGTCAACAACAACAACTAAACTGAACCCTATCCTTCCCTTCCACTTCCTCCTCAACTGATTCCACCGGTTGCTCCCTCATACACATGAAGGTGGTATGGTATGGTGTTGCAATTTATGTAATAAATACAAAAGAGACTGGACTGGATATATTTCTTTAAAGGGTGATTCTCCGAAGCTGCATAACTGAGGAAGCTAGGAATGTGTTGGTGATCTAAGTTTTACATCAATGATTTTGTTAAGTTCACTATGCAGCTACAAATACATTTGAGCAATTGAGTTCCGTTGTATAAATTTTCAGGTTGGAAAAACTCTCTTGAAGAAATTAGTTCATGAGTCTGCATGAACTTTAGTTTCTGTTTGAATGGGAGGATTTGACCGAACGAGGGAAAGATAACCGCTAATATGATTGACGAGACTGAATATAAAAAAATAATAATAATAATAGATTTTTATAGTATAATCACTGATGATATGAAACATATCTAAACATTTGTGGTTATAATTAATTACCTTTAAATAACTATATAATTTTTATTAATTCATTACCTATAGCATAAATTAATTCGCTAAAAATTAATTAGTATTTGCTAAACAAGTCTTTAATTACCTAAAAATGATAATGTTTTTTGAATGATTTTCTTAACTCAAATTAAATACCTATAAAAAACAGCAATGATTTCTTTATAATTATTTACTTATAATTTGTCCAATTATCTCTTAATGTATGTCACATTATGTCTTAAAATTCACAATTATCTATACTTCTAATTATTCTTATAATTAATTGCCTAAAATTATAAACTCACAATACACACTGGATTTGCTATATTATTGACCAAGACAATTTATTTGGTACCAGTATCTGTAATGTTTTAATTCCTAATTATTTAACTAATTAAAGTTTTAAATTTATGTTCGATGATGAGTGTACAATTAACTCTGAATTAAGGGTAAATCTATAGTTGCAAACAATAACAAGAAAAGCTAAAGAATACAGTGCACTGGAGAACTACGGATATATAGACACATAATCAAATATAAGCTTTTTCATAATCGATTATGTTGACCTAAATATGTATCAATACAATTTTAAACAACAAATCAACAACTTTCAATAGAAAATGCATACCTTTATAATTTACGCAGCCGAACACAACAGGTAATTAATGTGACATTTTAAATTAAATTAATGAAATAATAAGTAATTGTGCAAGAAAATTGATTGTATTACTTCCTAGAATGATCACAGATGGGTAAATACGGAACAACCTTCGCTCAAAATACTGCAAAACTCCCTCACAATCACGAATTAGTTCTCGTTATACAATTACTTGTGAATGCACGAGAAGCCCTCTCAACAGTCGCGGAACTTCTTCGGCGGAAGTTGTTGGGATCTTTTTAGTTCTTCTTCACTTTTATAACTTTTGTATAATTTATAATTTTATTTTCTTAAAAGAATATCCACCTCTCGATTGGTTTATTTATATTTGGGGAACGGTTCACGGGTTTGTTGAAAGGCGAGCCATGGCAACATTCAATGCATATGTCATAGAATAGTTTGAAAATCAGACTGTAATTCTGTTCATTACTGTCTTCGGTAGAGGTAGGTAGACAATTTTCTACAATGAAGTTTTGCAGATTCGATGGTAAGTGCATAATTACTATTTATTACAGAGTTTGGCACATGTAGTGGTGGAAGGGAATATCTACAATGTTACATGCAAGACAAACTAATAAAACACTTGAAGAAGGGTAATATAGAGAGACATTTCCACTTTTATGATGCACATTTCTTCACAGATCATACCAATCACAATACAAACATCCCTATTTCTGCATAATTTCACTTCCTCTTTAAACAGTAAATTCGTATAAACAATCAAAGCTATACTGACTCTTGGTGATTCAGAAAATGCATAGTCTGATTGTTAGTGTTTCCACATTTTAAGTTCAGTTAGTTAGCTTTGAATAATTCAACCGCAATATTAGGTGCAGAGTCGTGCGGTTTATGCGCATAAGCAGTTTCTTTTTGTTTGTCAATTTCTCATATGTAAGGCTATAAAATAGTCAAACTTCTTCTTCAATAAAAAAGGGAGTACAATTTGCTTCTTCTGCATTTTAACTTTGCGAAAGGTTCCAACATTCTGGTATCAGAGCTCCATCCGGGGCCTGATCCAGTCTTCTAACTATCATACGCAATGTCATCAGAAAGCTCATTTGTGCAGCCTGCCATACCAAAATTTGATGGTCATTATGACCACTGGGCTATGCTTATGGACAACTTCTTGAGATCTAAGGAGTACTGGGAGTTGGTGCAACATGGCTTCCCAGAATCTGCAGCAGACACACCTCTTACCGAAGTACAGAGGAAACATGTTGATGATCAGAAATTAAAGGATTTGAAGGCAAAGAATTACCTATTTCAAGCACTGGATCGTTTAGTTTTGGAAACAATCCTCAACAAAGATACTGCAAAGAATATATGGGACTCACTAAAGCAGAAGTACCATGGCACTTCAAGAGTCAAGCGAGCACAGTTACAAGCTCTCCAAAGAGAATTTGAAATTCTCCACATGAAGCAGGGAGAATCTGTTAATGATTACTTTGGCAGGACACTCACCATAGCCAACAAGATGAAGGCTAATGGTGAAAACAAGGGTGATGTTGCAGTTGTTGAGAAAATTTTAAGATCCATGACTCATAAATTTGATTATGTTGTGTGTTCCATTGAGGAATCTAAGGATACTGAGACATTGACTATTGATGAACTTCAAAGCAGTCTCCTCTTACATGAGCTCCAAATGTCATCTCATGTGGAAAACGAACAGGCCCTGCAAGTTTCCCATGCAGGTCACCAGGCAGCCCAGGGCCGAGGACATGGAGGGCGTGGAGGAAGTTTTGGACGACGCGGAAGAGGACGAGGCCGTGGGCGAGGTCGACAAAGTTTTGACAAATCCACAGTGGAATGCTACACGTGTCATCAACTTGGACATTTCAGTTGGGAATGTCCAACCCAACGAAGCGAAGCCAACTATGTTGAGAATGATGAAGAAATGTTGTTGATGGCTCACACAGAGACAATCAAGACAAATGAAGATACTTGTGTGGTTCATTGATTCCGGATGCAGCAATCACATGTGTGGGAGGAAGGAATACTTCTCGGATCTTGATGAACATTACAAAGATACGGTCAAGCGGGAAATAACTCCGGTATGGTCATCACGGGTAAAGGCAACGTTCGACTTCACATGCATGGCAACACCTATACGAGTTACCAGTGTCTTCTTCGTGCCCGACTTAAGAAATAACCTACTCGGTCTCGGGCAATTACAAGAAAAGGGCCTCAACATCCTCTTCCAACACAACAAGTGCAAAGTGTATCATCCGAGAAAATGGTTTACTCATGGAAACCCACATGTCTTCCAACAGAATGTTCCTACTACATGCCATTTCTTCCCCTACCAAAACCACTTGCTTCCATACAGCAGCGAGAGGACACCATGCATCTTTGGCATTGTCGATATGGTCATTTAAGTTTCCGGGGTCTAAACACACTTTATCAGCGAGAATATGGTATATGGTTTACCACTAATCAAGGCATCTACCAAACTATGCAAGACCTGTTTAATTGGGAAGCAGTCACGTGATTCATTTCCCAAAAGGAGTGCTTGGCGGGCTACACAGATTCTGCAGCTAATTCATGCAGATATTTGTGGACCAATTACACCCATCTCCAATAGCAAAAAGCGGTATTTGCTCACCTTCATTGACGACTTTAGTAGGAAAACTTGGATATACTTTTTGACCGAAAAGTCTGAAGCCTTTTTTGTATTCAAGAATTTTAAAATTCATGTTGAAAAAGAAGCTGAGTCTTGCATCAAAGGACTGCGCACTGATCGTGGGGGAGAATTTACCTCTCAAGACTTCACCAAATTCTGCTCTGACAATGGTATTCGTAGACAACTGACAGCCGCATACACTCCACAGCAGAATGGGATCGCAGAACGCAAGAACCGGACCATTATGAACATGGTTCGAAGCATGCTATCAGAGAAGAAGATGCCCAAAACTTTTTGGGCTGAAGCTGCTGCTTGATCTGTGCATATCTTAAATCGTTGTCCCACTTTAGTAGTGAGAAATCAAACTCCCGAAGAGGCATGGAGTGGAGTCAAACCTTCAGTCAAGTACTTTCTCATCTTTGGCTGCATTTCACATGTTCATGTGCCAGATGCTACACGTACCAAGTTAGATGATAAAAGTCTCAGTTGTGTGTTGTTGGGAATCAGTGAAGTCTCAAAAGCTTACAAACTATATAATCCGATTTCAAAAAAAATCATCATCAGCAGAGACGTTATCTTTGAAGAAGATAAAAGCTGGGATTGGGATAAACAATATGCTGCAGCCATCTCATGTGATTTAGAATGGGGAGATAAAGAACATGTTGTTGAAGACACAGCGCCTGATGCAGCACAGGCCCATCATGATCTTGATACAGAAGATGTTGTTGATGAAGAACATGTTGTTGAAAACACAGCGCCTGATGCAGCACAGGCACATCATGATCTTGATACAGAAGAAAATGAAGCAGAACCTAGTCCTGCTCTGCAACGATCTCGACGACCACCTCTCTGGATGGCAGACTACGAAACTGGTGCAGAATTTTTTGAAGACAGTCCAGAAGCAAATATGGCTCTCTCTGCAGTTAGTGACAATGATCCCACACACTTTGCTATTGCTGTACAGATTCCAAAATGGCGGAAAGCCATGGATGAGGAGATGGAAGCAATAAAAAGAAATGATACATGGGACTTGGTGGACTTACCTGACGGTGCCAAGAAGGTTGGTGTAAAGTGGCTTTATAAAACCAAATTCAAAGAGAATGGTGAGGTGGATAAATATAAAGCCAGACTTGTAGTGAAAGGGTATGCACAAGAGTATGGGGTAGACTACACTGAAGTATTTGCACCAGTAGCCCGCATGGAGACCATTCGCTTGTTGGTAGCCCTTGCAGCTCAAAAGGGATGGACACTCTATCAACTAGATGTGAAATCTGCCTTTTTACATGGAGACTTAGAGGAAACAGTATATGTCGACCAACCTTGTGGTTATGAACAAAAAGGGGTTGAGCATAAAGTGTATAAGCTGAAGAAAGCTCTTTACGGACTTAAGCAAGCACCACGTGCTTGGTATAGCCGCATAGAAGCATATTTTTTGAAGGAAGGATTTGAGAAGTGTGACTACGAGTATACTCTATTCGTGAAGAAAGAAAAAGAAGGCACAATATTAATTGTTAGCTTGTATGTTGATGACCTTATCTTTACAGGCAATGATGAGTTGATGTTTGCAAAATTCAAAAGCTCCATGAAACATTAATTTGCCATGACAGATCTTGGTAAAATGAGATATTTTTTGGGTCTTGAAGTTATGCAACGAACAGATGGCATTTTCTTATGTCAAAAGAAATATGCTTTAGCAATGCTACAACGGTTTGGAATGGATAAAAGCAATGCGGTTCAAAACCCAATTGTTTCAGGTACTAAACTCACAAAGGATGACACTGGTGTAAAGGTGGATAAGACTTATTACAAACAAATTGTGGGAAGTCTTATGTATTTAACCTCCACTCGTCCCGATATGATGTTTGTGATAAGCTTAATTAGCAGGTACATGGAGAATCCTACTGAGCTACATTTAATGGCAGCTAAAAGAGTGTTGAGATATTTAAAAGGAACAATAGCTCGGTATTTTCTACAAAAAGGGAGGAAATGATGAATTTCTTGCTTACACTGACAGTGATTATGCAGGGGACTTGGATGACAGAAAAAGTACTTCAGGTTATGTGTTCTTATTATGTTCGGATGTTGTTTCTTGGTCATCAAAGAAACAACCAATTGTGAGTCTATCAACTACTGAGGCAGAATTTATAGGTGCCGCATCATGTGCTTGTCAAGCCATTTGGCTTCAAAGGGTGTTGGGAAAATTGTGTACAATGCAAAGCCAAACTACTGTAATTCATTGTGATAATAGCTCTGCTATTAAGCTGTCAAAGAATCCAGTAATGCATGGTCGCTGTAAACATATTGATGTCCGATTTCATTTCCTTCGGAACCTTACAAGGACTGGAACTATCAAGCTAATACATTGTGGGACACAAGAACAAATGGCTGATATTATGACCAAACCCCTCAAACTTGATACTTTTTTGAATCAACGAAAGTCACTAGGAGTATGTGATGAATCTGATATAAACTGACTGCGAGCATTCAGTTTACGGGAGGATTTGTTAGTGTTTCCACATTTTAAGTTCAGTTAGTTAGCTTTAAATAATTCAACCGCAATATTAGGTGCAGAATCGTGCGGTTTATGCGCATAAGCAGTTTCTTTTTGTTTGTCAATTTCTCATATGTAAGGCTATAAAATAGCCAAACTTCTTCAATAAAAAAAACACTGATAAATAGTTAAGGAGCCCGTGTTTACAGTAGTTGACGATTCAGACAATGCCAATTTGATAGATTTTGATCCTGGAAAAGGAAGACAAACTGGAATTCTATGAACACCTGCTGTAAGAAAGTCAGGCAAAGCAACAATGTATAGATGTAACTGAAGTCTGGACCTGGAAAAGATGGAAGTGTTTTAAAAGATGTGCTGAATTTTGATGCCAGGAAAGGAATCATTAAAAATCCATCTACACTCTTGCATACATATTCTGGAGAACAGCTTCGGGGAGCTGAAGGATGCAACTACAATGTCGCAACTAAATCTTATAGTTCCATCGGAGAACAGGACATTTCCCTTTAGGTAAAGCTGGATGCAAGCATAATTTTAATTCTATTTTGGTCCTGTGAGTTTTTATGCATATTGGTTCCTGGCATATGATGTAAGTGTTTGCTTTCGAATTCTATTTTGTAATATACATTTGGTTTTTGTTTTTGTTTAGTTTTTGTTAATAATAATTGTGTGCACGTAGTAGATATATCATTATGTTGGAAAGATTTCAAAATGTTGGACTCTCAACTGATTTTAACATATTAATCATTTAATATTATGTTTTAAATTTATGTATGAAAGATTAAGTAGGTAAATAAACTGAAAAGTATTTTTAAATAGATGCTACTATTTAGAGACCAATGAAGTGACAACTTTTTATTTTTATATATTTAACTATTAAATTGATTTTTATATAATATGGTCTGAATTGACTTCTATATGCGACGTGATCATTAAATTAATTTTTTTATCATATGGTCACTCAATAACATAATATAATCATTGAATTTGTTTTTATATATAATTGATCAATGAATTAATTTTTATAAGTAATCATTAAATTATTTTTATACAATTAGTCGTTAAATTGGATTTTAAACTAGAATCTAAATTTGTCTATAACATTAATTATCCAGATTTTATTTATTTATTAAATTTATATATTAAATTAACTTCTATTCTAGTTGAATTAGTGGCTAATTAATCATTACAATGCGTATTAGTCTTTTAAACGGTTTTATCACCGTATTAGTCTTTCTAAAATTTAATTTGTCATCTAAGATTTTTTTTCAAAAATATATTTTTCTTTGCGAAGGATAGGGTAAATTTTTTAAAAAAATTATGTTGGTAACAATAAATCTGAGACGAAAAATGACATAAATTTCACTATTGTATCCCTATAAACTAAAGCAATGACAAGAAATATTGAAAGATTCATGATTACAAAAATTTGAAGAATTTAAAGGTGTAAAATCTACATTTTGTTTTCTTTAAGGCTAGATAATATGGTAAATATACACAAATAATGATTGTTTTCTCATTCTAATAATAAAAAGCTTATCTTTAAAAGTTGTAAGAAAAATCATTAAAAAAGGGGAAATGTATTTTTGTTCGTATCATTCAGTCAAATCTAATTTTAATCTTATTACTCAAATTGATAAATTTAATCATTCAATTTTATGGGTTAAAAACAAATAGTACTGTTTTTAAGTTTAAATATGAAGGAAGATTAACTTTACATGGTTTTAAAAATTGAGATTAAATTCATTAATGTAAAAGTACATGACCAAAAAAATATGTTGAGACTAAACACAAATTTTCCCCTAACTACTAATTATTCTCCCAAATTCAGTACTACATAAACTATTTAGAACTCAAATTGAAAAAAAAAAAAAAGTCATTATTTGTGGGAAAAAAAACAGACATATGTGACTCGATCAAGTTTAAAAAAAAGTCAATGAGTTTTAAAATGTTAATAAAGATTTATTAATTTGCTATGAGATCGTTTTATTTTATTAAGTAGTTGTGAAAACAACATTTACTTAATTACCTATCTTTTGATAATATGGCAAAATTATATATATGTAAACTAATTTTTATTAAAAGAATGCTTATAAGAGTTCTACATTAATTCTTAGAATTAATTGGTTCAGGTAAATAAATCAATTAAATAATAAATTTGTAAAGAGTTTATCATATATTTAATTGTGAAGCTTATCTAAAGATGACAAAAAGAGTTCAAATTTATGTGCCCAAATGAGCTTTGTATAAACTCTTCTAAATAATCCCCTTCTTGGCTACCAAAAATTAAATGTAGATGGTTAACTTATAAAATACAAATTTATGAGTTTCTTAACTCATTAATAAGAGAAACGTAGTTGTACATTCTTTTACACAATTAGAAGAAAGTTGTAAATAAAGAAAGAGAAGAGTAAGATAAATAATCATAATGAATAAAAAATAATAATATTTTTTTTAATGATCTTTTAGATAATTTGTCAAAATAAGCTTATTAAAACAATATAATAACTTAATAAATAGACAATTAATTAAGTCAAAGTAAACAAAATGCATTTTATAAGGATGTGCTACTAATTTGTGTACATATGGAAAGGAAATGGAGTATATATGTTCATATAGCTGTAAAAAGTTTCTCCCATACACAATGAGAGAGAAAATAATAGATAGGATGGATAATATGATGAAAAAGGATGAGAGATAAAAATGAAAATTAGGTTAAAATAATCAAGGTTAATGTAACTACCCATGCAACAACAAATGTCAAAGGTCATGAAAAGCAAAAACGTGAAAATTGATGTTGGCACCGAAGTTATTGATTCAAGGAGATCCTCTAAACTATTCATGATTTTCTAACCATGTTTTCTTAACAACTACATGCCAAAATAGGCTTTAGGCAGTGACCAGGATATTTTCATCGATGTTGTGCATTGAATTTAGGAAAAAATGTGTGGATGTATTGCGCAGACATTAAGTACCATCCTTTTCAGAGTTATCGCGTTGAATTTAGAACATGTATAAGTGAAACCAGTCACAAGCTAGAAAGAACTAGTTCTTTACAATTTTGAAAACCATAACCCAAAAGGAAAAAACAAAAAAACAAAGACCAGAAAAACAAAAAACAATAGTTCTTGTTCAATTTCATTTTGTTAAGGAAGTCTGTAGTTTATAAATTACATACGTATAGAGAGATATGAGTGGACATGACAATGGCCGTGAACAAGACAAGAGGTTTGCCATTGTCTTGGTCTCTACAATCCTCATTGTGGCTATGGTGCCCGAAGTGGCTTCGGATAAAAAAGTAGAAGAAGAAGAAGAAGGGAATAGCATGAGTACCTTTAACACTATGGTTAATGGAAACTTAATTTGCCAATCAACGGAGCACAGAGATTTGTGCGAGAAAACCCTTGGGAGTTCACTCATGAAAGTCACAGACCCGAAGAAGCTCCTCGAAGCTGGGTTCAATGCATCAGTGGCGGAACTCTTAGGCAAAATAAACAACTCTACCCTTTACAACGAGATGGCCGTAGATAACATGACAAGACAAGCCATGGATATCTGTACGGAAGTTTTGGACTATGCAGTTGATGGCATTCTGAAATCTACTAAGACATTGGACAAAGTTGACATTAACAAGTTGAGTGGACATATTTTTGACCTCAAGGTTTGGCTCACAGGGAGTATTGCTCACCAATACACTTGCTTGCAAGGGTTTGAGAGCTTAAAAGGAATGGAAAATATCAGTAAGGCAATGGCTCAAGTTCTGCGTGTCTCGTTGGAGCTTACTGACAATGCGTTGGATATGACCAACGTGATCCAGAAGGTGCTCAAAATACAATCAAATAAGTTTGCCAACAGGAGACTTCTCAGTCCTGAAGCAACTCTTCCGGATGGGTTCCATTCCTGGGTTGGTGAAGCCGAACGACGTTTTCTCCAGTCTTCAGGCAATTACTATAATGCGGTTGTGGCTCAAGATGGCTCTGGCCAGTTCAAAACAGTCAATGAAGCTCTTCGGACTGTTCCTTATTACAATGACAAACCTTTCTTCATTCATGTCAAAGCTGGTACCTACACGGAAAAAGTTGAGGTCACCAAGGCCATGACCCATGTCACCATGATTGGAGATGGTCCTAGAAATACTATTTTCACTGGCAGTTTAAACTATGTTGATGGTGTTGTGACTTTCAACAGTGCTACCTTTGGTAAGTATCACAGAACCCTTTTATGCTTTATATTTTTTATAAGAGGAATGCTAATTAAAAGTAAAATAAAATAGAAGGGGGAGTATTAGAATATCTAACTTAGTGCCAATGCTTCCATGGTAGCTGTTCATGGTCACTACTTCGTAGGAAGGGAAATGGGATTTAAAAACACGGCAGGGAGTGCGAAACACCAAGCAGTGGCACTCATGGCAACAGGAGACAAAATTGTATTCCATAATTGCTTCATGGATGGGCACCAAGACACGCTCTTTGCACAATCCCAACGCCAATTCTACCGTAATTGCGTCATCAGGGGCACCATTGACTTTGTCTTTGGGGATGCCCTTGGAGTGTTCCAAAACTGCAGACTCGTTGCGAAAGTACCCCTACGTGAGCAAAAATGCATGATGACAGCAAGTGGCAGAAGCACATCTGATAGTACTAGTGGCTTGTTGTTTCAAGGTTGCTACTTCACAGGGTTTCAAGAAATGCTTAAGGCAAACCCTAAGCAAGCATACCTTGGAAGGCCATGGCATGAATACTCTAGGGTGGTCATCATGGACTCTCGAATTGATGATGTGATTGCACCAGAAGGGTACGAAGCATTTACGGGACATAAAAACACGAACACATGCACTTATTATGAGTATAATAACAGGGGTCCTGGTTCTGACACATCACGAAGGGTTCAATGGCCAGGTTTTAAGGTCCTATCCTCTTCTGAAGCATCTCAGTTTTACCCTAGCAAGTTCTTTGATGTTGCTAATTCGGCTGATGGTGATAAATGGATAGTTGACACTGGAATACCCTACTATCCTGGTCCTGGTTCTGGTTCATCGCCCAGTTCATAACCCTGTCCTAACCCTTGTTCCTTAGCACAAACTCAATTTTGTGAAAGAATAAATGTAACTGTAAATAAGAGATCGTAGTCAGTAACTAAGCTGGTATTTCCCTTATCAATAGGGTTTGACAGATTGTAGAAAAAATCTTTTTTTTTTTTTGTAAATCTCCTAATCCTGTCTCACTTATAAAAAAGTATATATTGATCCATTGCATTTTCACTCTCTCGTTTCTACTTATATCAAATTCACTTTTGAAAAATCTAAACTTGATTTAATTGTTCTGAAATACATATTTATAAAAAAATGTGGGCTTACACATTTTTCATGCATCCTTGTATTTTTTTTGCTTCTAAATCTGATACCTCACTTTCTTACTTTCTTTTTCCTGTTACACCTTCATAGCCCTGCCCCTCCGTAGTTGTTTCAAGAGCATTCGTTTTCACCCTCTCAGGTCAAAAATATTTTTTGTCATGGTTTATGTTTGCAATCATAAATATTTTAAACACTCCAAAAATTTCCCGCGTTTCAGTTACAAAATCATATTTATGATTTGTTTAATTTGGAATGGATCTCTAGAGATGGGAAATCTTTCGGATTAGCCTATCTAAAATGTTTTCATATTGTATTTTTTTTTAAATGTGTTTTGAATTGCCAAATACAAAAATATAAAGATAATAGTGCTTGTTTAGGGAAGCAAATTCGACCAATAAATAAACAACTTTCTTTCTTAATTTTTCCACTGAATTCAAATTAGCAATAAAATATTAGTATTTGGATTATCATTTATTCGTTTGTCTGAAATCACCTATATTTTATTTTAGGATTATTTGGATTAACATAATTTTGAAGTCTCTGTCACAAGGTTAAGTTGGAGTAGAGATATGAAACTCGTCCTATTTTTAAGTTTATATAATATTCACAAAATATTGTGCGGTGATGGTAATCAATGATGCTTGGTTTGTTGTTTCTTTAGATCTTCTTTAAACAAATACATTCCTCTTAATTTAGACATTTTTTGTCCTATTTTTCCTTCACACATTTAGTTGTTTGATGTTTGACTTTTGGACCTTCTTTGAGTGATGATAATTTGTAAGATATGAATTTGGAACTTAAGATCTTTTTGTTTTATTTTCTATCACCAAAATGAAAGAAAGAAAAATAAAAATCAATGTCAACTTAATTCATGGATATGTTGTAGGAGAGGTTGGAAATATGGGCATATTCATTAGAAGAAGGATAATAATAGAATGGGAGAAAGAAAGAGAAGAAAAAGAAGGTGAGATATTATTATGAAAATTCAAAACACAAAAAAGTGGTGATGTGTGAGTCCATCTGGAGAGTTTTGTGTCAATTTTCAATGAAAACGAGGGAGAAAAAGAGAGAGAGGAGGAACAAAGAGGTTGGTTGGAGAAGACGTGGTAAGTGTTTTAGAGTTACACAAGCTTCTGAATCCATGGGAGGTTATGTGTATATTATTATTCTGAATCCACTCTTTTCAAAATATTATAGATTAAAATTTTCGAAAGCTTTTCAAAAGCATTCCATAATCTATTTTTTGAAAAATTCAATCCAACATATTTCTGGAATAAATTTTTTGGAATGAGTTTTCAAAACAAAATTTGGAATAAGCTTTCCAAAATATTTCCGAAAAACACATTTTGGAAACTTTAATCTTGAAGACAATATTATTATTTTATATGAATATGGGTGCACGAAGAAATTTCACAGATTTAGGAAGGCCCGTGAAGCAGGCCCAATTTACCTTTGATTTGTGATCTGGGAGGGAGCGGGAAAAACAAATAGAAACATTTTTGAAAAAACAAAAGACGCCCTTTCTCTCTCCTATTCTCTCTTTCTCTCTCTTCTGCCGTAGTTCTCTACCCGCTATCTCTGCATACCCCCACAGAAGGTTCGAACTTGTCAACACCCCATCTTACGTTTTCTGGGGAATTTCATAACTCTATTTACCATTTTCAGAGTTCTCCAACTCCTCGCCGGAAAATTTTAAACCCTAGCGTTTTCCCCCTTTTGGTTCTTGGCTTAAAAAATTTCGACATTACCATGTTTTGCGAGGGGATTTCGTCCACTGAAGATGACTAAGGGAACCTCGGAACCGGGGGGGAGTGGAGGCGGTGGCTTCCACGCGGTTCACGCGGAGCGTGACCTAGAATCCAATTGGGAAGTTGACCTCGCCAAGAAACTTGAGGAGTATTTGCTGAAAATTTGTTCAGGCGAGATCACTGGGGAGGAAGAAGGACATATTCCTGTGAATTTCGCCGAAGGTTTGGTACATCATACTTGTTTGTTTTTTGAAAGTTCCCACTTAATTTTTAAGATTTGTTTTCAACTGAGTTAGTTGTTTTCGGGTAATTGTAGCTGCTCTGCTGCTTCAGGGTTCCATACAGGTGTATAGTCGAAAGGTGGAGTATCTCTACACCTTGGTCTTGCGTGCTTTGGAGTTCCTTTCCCAGAAAAGGTTTAATTCTTTAGTTCATGTTTCAGCCTTTATCTGCATTCTGTTGTCTATGTTGTATTTTATTATGATACATGATATTCTCTATTTAATAAACATAGACTAGGTTTTAAATTTGCAGTTACAGTTTTGTCGCGGTCCTTGAAATAATTGGAAATTGCAAAAATGTGGATACAATTGTGATTTTGGACATACCCAGAAGCGTTAATATTGTGGCCAAAATCGCTGATGCGCTTTATAATCTTGAACATAGGTACTAAGAATGAGGAAAGAATAGAATTATTCTACTGTTGGGAAAAATATGCGGAATCTTCCCATATGGTCAGATCTGTGAAAGTGAAATAAAAGCGGAATAATTGCACACACAAGTTGATAACGGAGTTCGGCCAATAATGCCTACGTCTCCGGACTACTACAGATCTCTTACTAGGAGAAAAGAAAAATACACAAGTGTTTACAAAACACTCCCAAAACACTCACAACTCACAACCCAATTACACCCAGAAGCTAAACTAAAACTCTCTAGTTTTTCTGCCTCTCACTGGTGCCACTCTTTCTTCTCTAAGAGAAGTAGTATTTTGTGTGGGATGGGATGCATTTGCTTGCAGGGAGAAGACCAATTTATAGCAAAAATTGGTACTGTGCATTACCATAAAAAAATGCCTCGTGGGCACCTCATGCTCGCTTTAAAAATTTGGCAGCCAGAATTGAAGAATTTGGCAGCCACTTTCTTTGACTAACAATCTCCCACTTGAGGACCGATTTCAATCTGTCCTCACACCTTGATCAATAGTAGTCTTCTCTTGTCCGTTATCCTTGTAAGCTAACCGAAGTTGAGCACAACTTCAGTTTGTCAATAGTCACCACCTTTGTTAGCATATCTGCTGGGTTCTTACTTCCCACAATTTTCTTCAATGTTAGCATCTCATCCTCAAGTAGAGATCTGATGAAATGATAACGTATGTCGATGTGTTTGGTTCCGGAGTGAAATGCTCGAATTTTTTGCCGGATGTATTGCACTCGACTATCACCGTGCAAAACACTCCTTTCTTGAATGAATCCCAACTCCGCCAACAATCCTTGAAGCCATATCAATTCTTTACTGGCTTCGTCATCGCTACATACTCGACCTCCGTAGTGGATAAAGCAACAATCTTCCGTATCCGCGACATCCAACTAACAGTTGTAGTTCCAACAAGTAAACACATACCCAGTGGTGCTTCTTCGGTGATCAACTTCACCTCCAAAGTCTCGCATCTACGTAGCCCTGCAATTTTAGATCTCCCTTTCTAAAATACGGACATTTTTCTGTTGTGCCTCGTAGATACCTTAGAATCCATTTGACTCGCTTCCCAATGAGCTTTTCCTGGATTTGACATGAATCGCTTACAACTCCCATCGCATGGCCAATGTCCGGCCTCGTACGGACCATCGCGTACATCAAACTTCCAATGGCTGAAGCATACGGAATCTTAGCCATTAACTCTTCTTCTTCCTTTGTTTGAGGAGACTGATCCTTGGATAGACGAAAATGGCAAGCCAAAGGTGTATTGACTCGGTTTGGCATTGTCCATGTTGAATCTCTGCAAAACACGGTTGATGTACTCCGCTTGAGATAACTGCAAAACTCCTTTTTGCTTATCTCTCGTGATTTGCATTCCAAGAATCTTCTTTGCTTGGGCCTAAGTCCTTCATGTCAAATTCTTTTGACAACTCGCTTCTTTAAGTTTATGATCTCATTCATATCTGAACCTCGCTACTAGCATATCATCAACATAAAGTAGCAAAATGATATAACTGGACTTATACCTCTTGAAGAAACAACGGTGATCGGCGTTGCACTTCGAAAACTCTCCTTGTGCATGAAGCTTTCGAACTTCTTATACCACTCGTCTTGGAGCTTGTTTCGGGCCATACAAGCTCTTTTTCAATCTGCACACCAAGTTCTTCTTTCCTTCCGAAAAACCTTCAGGCTGGTGCATGTAGATCTCCTCATCTAAATCTCCATGAAGAAATGCGGTCTTCACATCTAATTGCTCTAGGTAGAGCTCCTCACTAGTCACAATACTTAACACGAGTCCCGATAGTATTGAGCTTTACAAGCTGGAGCAAAGATTTCGAGTGTAGTCGACTCCTTCTTTCTGCTGAAATCCTTTGACGACCAGTCGAGCTTTGTATCTCTTAGAACCATCATGGTCTTCCTTCACTCGATACACCCATTTGTTGTGAAGTGCTTTCTTTCCCATAGGTAACTTGACTAGTTCCCATGTCTCGATTTGAGATTAAAGACTTCATCTCGTCTTTCATGGCAAGCTCCCACTTGCTAGCATCCGTGGCTTGACAAGCTTCCGTATAATCTTCGGGCTCCCTCCATCGATCAACAACATATAGTCCATGTATCTCCTATTAGGCACATGAGGCCGAGAAGACCTTCTCAATACAGGAGTTGGAGTAGGAGGTTCCGCTTGCACATCAAGTTCTTCAACCGATTCCTCCGGTCGAGGACTCCTCATTATAGGACTTTCCGGGATATCTTCCACCTCTGCATAAACTGGCCCACTCGCTTCGAGTTGCTGGCACCTGTATTATGCTTGTCCTTGTACATCACTCTTTCATTGAAGATTACGTCTCTGCTGCGGATCATCTTTTTGTTTTCATCGTCCCATATGCGGTAGCCAAACTCATCTTCACCATAACCAAGGAAAGTACATTTCTTTGATTTTGGATCAAGTTTGTTTCGCCTTGATCATCGATATGCGCATATGCTACACAGCCAAAAACTCTAAGATGTGAGAGTTTTACCTCTTTTTCGCTCCATACCTCTTCCGGTATCTTGTGCTCCAATGGTACCGATGGACTTCGGTTGATCAAGTAAGCTGCTGTGTTGACCGCTTCGCCCAAAACCGCTTTGGTAAGCTCGATCGCACACGCATGCTTCCGGCCCTTTCAGATCAACGTTCGATTCATACGCTCAGCCTACACCATTGTGTTGAGGCGTACCCGTACGGTTCTCTCCATTCGATTCCGTGCTCATAGCAAAACTTCTTGAATTTGGTGTCTACATATTCACCACCATTGTCGGATCTCGAGCTTCTTAATCTTCAATCTCGTCTCATTTTCCACCATAGCTTTCCAAATCTTGAAAGCTTCAAATACTTCTGACTTATATTTCGGAAAGTAAACCCATACCTTTCTCGGAGTGATCATCAATGAAAGTCACGAAGTAATGTTTCCCACCAACGGATGGGACAGTCGTTGGACCCCAAACATCGAGTGGATGAGCTCAAGCTTCTCTTTCTTTGGGGTTCTTTTACTTGTTTGAAAGCCGACTCTCTTCGCTTTCCAAGTATGCGATCTTCACACATGTCAATATCTACTGATCGAAGACCCGGTAATTTTCCTCTCGAGTGCATGACCTTCATTCCTTTCTCACTCATATGTCCAAGTCTTTGGTGCCATATGTTGGAATTTTCATTTGTTGCAACTGCAATCAAATGACATGCTCCTGCAGTCTTGTAGAGAGTTCCACTCTTTTTGCCTCGAGCAATCGTCATCGCACCTTTTGAGATCTTCCATTCATCACCATGGAAGATTGTCGTATAGCCTTCACTAGCTAATCGACCTCACTGAGATTAAGCTCTTTGTCGGTCGGGAATATGTCCGACATTTTTCAATTCCCATACGGACCCATTCGAGCTTAATCCTTACTCGCACCTTTGCCTACAATCTCACATGACTGTTCATTACCAAGGTAAACCTTACCAAGGTTTCCGAGAACATAATTCTCCAACAGTTCCTTCGTGAGGTAGCATGAAAAGATGCTCCGAGTCTAACACCCAAGACTCCTCCCTGCCTTCAAGAGAGCATATCAACGCCTCATCTTTTCCTGAGGTGGAGGCAACGTTTGCTTCGTCCTTTGCTCCTTGATTCTTCCGTGCACTCTTGCACTGGTTTTCGAAGTGTCCAGGTCTTCCCACAATTCCAACACTCGATCGTTTTTGAGTTGTGGGAACTACGATGATTTCTCGGACTTGGACCGCTCTGTCCTTTGATTTTCCATGTCCAATTTCTTTGGTTGAACTTCTTCCTCTTGACTCGTATGCAATACTGAAGAGGTTGATGCTTCACCCGACTCTCTCCGCCGGATCTCTTCGCTGAGAACCAAATTTTGAACATCATTAAATCTTAACTTATTGTTTCCAGATGAGCTACTCACAGCTGTGACCGTAGCATTCCAACTCTCCGGTAGGGAAGACAAAAGTATTAAAGCCTGTACTTCATCATCGAATTTGATGTCAATAGAACTCAACCGGGTTGTTACGGTGTTGAGTTCATTGAGATGATTTGCCACCGAAGCACCTTCGGACATCCGCGAGGTTGAACAATCGCCTCATCAAGTGAACTTTGTTTGAGGCTGATGGTTTCTCGTACATGTTGGAAAGAGCCTTCATGAGATCTGAGGTCGTCTTTTCTTTCACAATGTTGAAAGCAACATTACGGGATAATGTTAGACGAATAACTCCAAGAGCCTCGTCTATCAAGGAGTCTCCATTCTTCCTCTTTCATGGTTTCGGCTTCTCCCTGTGAGTGGTTGATGCATCTTCTTCCGATACGGATAATCCTCTATCTCGCATTTTCCGAAGCCAAAGTCTCGTACCGTCGAACCTTTCGATTTTCATTTTTCCTTCGTCTGCAGACCATCACTCCAACTCGATCCGACTTATCTGCTGGATCGTTTCGACAATTTCGTGAGCTACCGTGTTTCGGAACACGACTGCGGGCAAATTTGTAACGCCGACAAAATTTGCACTATTCACGTTTTCACTATTCACGGAATAGTAACTTACTATTCATATGAATAGTAACACCACAAAAATTACGGAACTAACAACCAGCTCGATACCAGTTGTTGGGAAAAATATGCGGAATCTTCCCATATGGTCGGATCCGTGAAAGTGAAATAAAAGCGGAATAATTGCACACACAAGTTGATAACGGAGTTCGGCCAATAATGCCTACGTCTCCGGACTACTACAGATCTCTTACTAGGAGAAAAGAAAAATACACAAGTGTTTACAAAACACTCCCAAAACACTCACAACTCACAACCCAATTACACCCAGAAGCTAAACTAAAACTCTCTAGTTTTTCTGCCTCTCACTGGTGCCACTCTTTCTTCTCTAAGAGAAGTAGTATTTTGTGTGGGATGGGATGCATTTGCTTGCAGGGAGAAGACCAATTTATAGCAAAAATTGGTACTGTGCATTACCATAAAAAAATGCCTTGTGGGCACCTCATGCTCGCTTTAAAAATTTGGCAGCCAGAATTGAAGAATTTGGCAGCCACTTTCTTTGACTAACATCTACCTCTGCGTTAGATCGTTACCATTTTTATAATCACATCTTAGAGGCAAACAATTATTCGGGCTTTCCTTTTCTATCGGTTGCTGGCGTCAGGATAATTGGTGAATAAGTTTCACTCGTGCAGTGTCATAGTTGCATCATTTGATGTCTTGGTCGGTCAAATTTGAAATTGTAGTTGGCACATTTATTTTAAAATGAAGTGTTTGTACTGTGGTAAATCTTTGATATATGCTAATATAAAATTTGAAAATATACGATGTACGAATTTGGGCACATGGATCCATGAAAATAGCATTTTCTATGAACATGGCTAAAATGTATAACACAATATATGATGTCAACTGTTGCTGTTCAAAATCCCAGGATTAGCTATGATTCAAGTAAAAGATCTACCTGTGAGTGTGACCTAACCCTAATGTCCTTTTCAATGGGTTAGGTCTTGGACCTGGAACTTCCTAGCTAGGGTCCATTCTGTTATTATTCTCATTACGCGGATTCCTCTGTAATAGGTGTGATTCTAAGTGAGATTTCTGAAATCTCACCCTTAAAGGACAAAATCTCGCCATGTGACCGTTAGATCAATTACATGGCAAGATAACTTATTCGGACTCCACATCACCCTTTAACAATTTTATTCTCGTAATTTCCATGCCCATCAAGGATAACAATTTTAATCTCATCATTTCTTTGTCTATCATTAGTGAGTACGCAAATTTTGTGCATCCGGTATGTGCCCACCGGCCATGAGTACTCAACAAATAATGGGTACTGGTTTGTGTAGTATCTGTACTTTAGGGAAGGCGTGCAAAATGCCACGTGAAAAAGGTGTAGATTGATATTATAGTTGTATTAGATTGTTTTTGTCAGTTCACTGATTCTAAGGCTATTTATTGAGATATTTCTAAAAATTGGTTGGAAACAACTGATATAAAATAGATTTCAACGATTGGCTTATGTACTCAGTTTTGTGCTTGGACAGTTTATTTGTTATTCCTATGTGATTCAGTTCAAATTGTGAATCATAATATTAAAATAAAAACGGGACACGGATAGAATCTTTGCAATATGTGCTCATAGCATTATTTACAGCAGTGTTTGATCTGACGTATGTTTTTTGGCCAGACAGCAGGATCATATTGATGGGGAATCAGTCCAACCCGAAGAAAGTGGTCCCCGTGCTGTTTCTGATGAGGAAAATGATCAATTCTGGGGCTTAGATGACATCCAAGGTACCCTATTTAATGGAGATGACTGAATGATCAAACAGGAACATGGCAGAAGTAATTTATTATTTTAATCATTCTTTTTATGTAGAAATATATAGTTTGTCACCGCAATAGTTCTGTTCCATACCAAGGTTGAAAATATACATGTATAAATCTTTTTGGTAAGATTGTTTAAGCTTATTTGGTTCTGGGACAGAATACTATCAATTAAATTTGGGTCATCATGGTATTGCTGGAACTGGGTTCTCACTTCTTTGGACATTTATGGCAAAATCAGATATTTGTTCATTTTATTCACAATGTCTTATTCTAGTATTTCTCCGTTCTCTCTCACACTGTCTTCTGTGTCTCCTCTCAGTCTTTCATCAAGTGTGTGGAAACAATATTTATTGCTTCAATTCAGTATAAATATTTGCAAATGGTCATATTATTTGTGTTATGTTGCAGTTGAAGAAAAGAATTCCTTGGATGGTACAGCAGGCAAAGAAGTGAATTTGGATCAATTTATAAAACCTCCTGCAAATCTAGTTGTTCTTGAAGGTGACTGCTTCGATGCTGGTGGTGATGGAGGAGAATTGGAGTCTTTTCTGGTATCTTAATTGCTTGCAGCTGTTTGCAAAATGGTGTTTTTATAGTTTTATGCACTAATAATATGATGATTTCTTGCAGTTGTCCACCACTGACCTGTACCAGGACTTTATTTTATTGGACACATCCGATGCTGTTGCAGTTCATGAGTTTTTGAAGGGTAGCAAAGCTGCCACAACTCAGAATGATGCTAATAGAGGAAACTCAGGTCGTAAAAGCTTTCTTTCTCCAGGATGTACTGGTGGAAGTGCTCGTAGATTATCAGCTGCTAAGAGTCTGTGTGCTAATTCCAACTGCTCTCCTAAACATAATTGTGGTATTGGTGATGAAAATGTTCGGCCCAGTTTTCCTGCTTCTGCTGGTCTTGACGACTGCAATTATGAATTTGATATGAATCATGGATGTGATGCATCTTGGGATTCAGACAGTTCAGATGATGATAATGATGATCCATGGAAACCTTTGAATCCTCATGAACTGGGCAACTTGATGGTGAAGCCATTCAGAAAAGGTCCCCCTAACCCCACAACGTCTTTCATCAACAACTTGCCTTATCTTGAATGTGTAACTCATCTACCTTTTTCTTTTTATTATACCTGCAGCGAAAGTTTTAAAAAAGAATAACGTTAATGTGAAACAACCAGTTACTATGATCTCCTTGTTTCCACTTGCGAAATTCCATGGCCCTATCAGTCCAGAGCTCATGGAAATGTGGGAGATGCGACATAACGTCCGTGACAGACAAAGGGATTCTCAAGCTCCATCATATGAGAAGGTACTTTTTCATGGTTTCTCTATTTACCAATATATGAATTTAATCTCTATAAAATGTGATATGTAAATTGCAGCTGAGGCAATCTCTGGTTAACGAGGGGAATGAAACTGGTGGAACATTTAACACCGAAGTTGACAATGATGACGTTGAGTATGCTAGTGGAATTCCTGATTTTGATATGCCAGACAATGCTTTCATGGAAGAAGATCTGCCTCCCTTCAATAATGAGGTTAGGAGAGGAGACCAGTCATATGGCTATTTATAGTCTAAATGACATTTGAAACTAATTTTTATCTACTTGAATTAACAGCCTGCATTTGATGATGCTGATGTCAACGTTGATGAAGCTGTAGATCTTTCTCAGGCTAGTCTGGAAGATCTTTGCCGCTCTCACCTGGTAAGAGTGCAATGTCTGACCTTTTGGAATGTAAAAAGTAGTTTTTTATCTAGAATTCTGTTAAAAAGGCTTCTGTTAGTCCCCCTACCCTAATCATAATTTATTTAACTAAAAGCCCGAGAAAAATTTAAATCCTGTGAGCATATGCTTATGGTTGTTTGGAGGAAAGATACAATTCACTCAAACGAAGTCCAAACATCAATTAAACAGTATATAGTTGTAGCCTGCATGATAAATTCTGCAGTCTCTGTTTTCCTTGCACTAGTATATGCTTTTTCTAAAGTGATTACCATTTTTCCTCATCTAGGATGCTCTCCTGGCAAGCATTGCTAAAACTGAGAAGCAAACTGAAATGGCCACTAGGGTTTCAACATGGAAACAAAGAATTGAGCACAATTTGGAAGAACAGGTGAATTCATCTTTTGGGTGGTCGTCCTCTCTATTTGGTTCTTTAATTTGAATGAACTGTTTTGGCATGGTAGGAATCACATCCACCATTTGATATCCAAGATTATGGTGAGCGAATTCTTGACAAGTTGTCCCTGCTCTCCCTTGAGGCAAGCAGTAGCAGTGTCATGTCCTTTTCTGATTTGGTCAAGGGTCAAGAAAAGTATGATGTGGCCCGAAGTTTTTCTTCCCTTCTTCAACTGGTAATTCCTTTGTTTGCAATATCCGGTGCACTTCTTGAACTTTTACTTCATGTAATGATGTTTGACGTTGAAAAGTCCAATTAATTGGATTGTCACAGGATTATTTTTTTCAATCTATCATGCAAGTTCTACAATTTTCCAGGTAAACCATGGAGAAGTAGCTCTAGAAAGAAATGGAGTTGATGAGAAGTCTGTCTGCTACACATCTGTTAATCCATTTCATGTTAGGCTCCTTAAGCATGGTAAGGAACGGGAGGAAGCTCAGTTTGGTTTACCAAAAAAGAGAGCTAAGTCTCCAACAAAAAAATCCTCTGGAAAAGGTGACAAGAACAAAACTGAAAGGGAAAAGTCATCAACAAAAAATCACTCTACAAAAGGTCATAAGAACATATTTGAAAGACAAAAGTCTCCAACAAAAAGACCCTCTAGAAAAGGTGATAAGAACGAAACTGAAAGAGAAAAATCTCCCGCATCTTCTAGGAGATATGGATCAACTGGTGTGTCACCACCAACAAATTGTAAGCTTTCTGTAAAGCTTGGAAAGGTGAGTGCGTTGAAGTTATCCCCTGAAGCCAAAAGAAGGCGTAGATCTCAGTATGTTGAACCAGTTAATTTACATTCGGCAGGGTGAAAGTGGTAATAGCAGCTTATTCCACTCTTTCTCCCAAAATGATTCAAGACATTTGCTAGATGTCTTCGGCATAGCATAGCTATGTATTATATAGCCCTCCCTATTTATCTCTTAATACTAACATCCATCAGTTTTAGCCTGTATTATTTTTGTTGGTGGTGACATTAACATATTGATGTAATGATATCCACATGTAACACCATGAATTCTTATGAATGTAATAACTTTCTGTGCATGCCCAGTAGTTAGGAGAACTAATCAAGTACTTTTGGCAAGCACAAGATTCATTAAAAGTCTGACGTGTTATATATAAAACACTGTTACATTTAATTTAGATCTAATCTTAACTACAACCAAACAGAGAGTACTTTTGAATCTCTCATGGGGGAATCTGAAATATATAGAATGTTATGGTTTATTAAATGAATTAAACCATAACATTTTATGTAGCATTTGTTGCACAGTTGAAATAAAAGTTTTAACAACTATGCAACAAATTATCTCTGGAAGAAAGCAATGGAACTTGACAGCAAAGTACAATCAACTGCACCAGAGATTCTCAGTAACAGTATAAGCAGAGGATGTGGAGAAAACCAATCAACATCTTAAACCAGTCTTGGGGACCATAATTGCTAAACCAATTTTTCCATCTCATGCATAGGTTAAGAAACTAAAAAGTACGAAGTTCGCATTGTAATAAGTTATTTCTGTATTTAGGTGCAATGATTTCTTTTGAGAAAAAAAAAACTCATACTTAAACATCTTTCCGTATGCACAAGATAGAAAAACTAACTGAACATTGTCAGTGGAGTTGATTAGCTTGGAGAACAAAACTTAATCGCTATTTGGATTTGAGTTTGGTATGTATGAAAAGGAGGGGACCCATAGTTTAAGGAAACAAAATGTAACACTTAAAAATAATTTCATCGTTGGATGAGGTTAAAATGTGAAGCATTTCCATTGCAATTGCATATTTTTAACAAAATTTAGATGTTGTAAAATTAATATTTAATAAATTAGATTCCATACCATTTCTAAAACTATGATATGCCAATGAAGACATTGATGAAAAACATTTTTCTAGTGTAGACAAGTTATCAACTCCGAAATATTTTAGCTGTGTAAAACAATGTCTCATTTAATGGGTGACATATGTCAATCTTATCTATCATAAAACATTGAAATGTTTCTTTGCCTTTTTTCTTTTTACTATCTAAGAATAAGAGATATCAAATAAAAGACACGTGCTACCTTTCTTTTTCTAACACGGTATTTGTTGGGACAATACTTGAAGAACATGTCTTTTCCCTATTGGTGAAGAACGAGTATGAAAAATTCAAAAGATGAGGAATTTGATATTTGGGTCGGGATACTAGTAATCAAACTCCTCTGCCAAGTGTTGACCATGCAGTATAATCAAGTAAAAGGTTATCATCAAGGTCATCCACCATCCAAGAGGTAGTGTCTAAAATGGAGACATTAACAAAGACAAAAAAGGAAGAAGAGGAAACTAATTAAATATGTTTGTTGGACAATCACAAGCAGACTGTATGGTTTTTATTACATTTATGTAAGTGTTGAATAATTTTATAATTAGCTACTTGAAAATAATACTAAAAGTTTTATGATACATGTAGAGGTAGTTGGCTATAACAATTATAAATTGTCTATGTGTGGTTGGCAGTGTCTTAAGTAGTTAGTCATTTATGTTCTCATAATTGCATAAGTAAGATGTAACCTTTCTTAATGGTTAAGAAGGGTCTTGTGCTTACTGAATTAGAACAAAAAATGAGAAGGGGTAAATTAGAAAATGAGATTTCCTATAATAAATGTGGTTGACAAATGATACCTCGCTTTTTGTTCGACTGAATCCTTTGGGAGTCTATCGTTTTTCTCTTTTTAGTGATCAACATTTGCATTGGAAGGTGAATCAATATTTTCTCTTCGGTGTTTCTGAAAACCCAAATAATGTTGCCTTTCAATTCTATTTTTCAGACTCTATACACATTCACTAAAAGTTGGTCATCAAGTAATATTGAATAAATATAGATCGAGTGATGAATTAAAAATCCACGTCAACATGTCAAAGTTATCATTAAAAATGTATAATAATAGAATATCATCAATCCATCAATGCAACCAACGTCAAAGACCACAACCACCAATAAAAAAATTGTTAATATTGCAATTTTTTAAACATTTTTAATTAAAATTAATTTGTTAAAAATGTTTCAAAGATGCAACATTAATGTTTCTTAACAACGATGTTCAGTCCTTTTTATAAGAACCAATCTAAATTGTCTCACATTAATTACTTTCTTAGGAAAGCATTAACTAAAAGTAGTTCCCGTAAATCATAAAAAGAAAATAATCTAAGAAATCATCGTTACTAAGAAATGGGTTATTCTTTAAAATTATTTTGATTTGAAGACTAAGCATGTACAAGCATTAATGATCAATCAATTTTGGTACTCTATTTTACTATTTAAATAACTACAAAAATCAGTAAAAAATAAAGAAAAAGAATATAAACAAGTAAATCAATTTATATTCAACGCAAAACATTCTACGCCACCGCCACCTACCCTCACGCGCCGCTAACCGCACCGCCTTCACTAAAATCCACACTCAGATAAAGAATCCACACACCACGAGCCGCACAGGTTTCGTTTCAAGCGCCACGTCGGCATTTGAGTCACCGACTCACTGAGTCTCATCTCTCCCACCTCGCTCCGCGTCACACTGGGCACCGGGGCTACAATCACCACCGCATGATGAGGGCGACACGTTCCCCCTCCGGTCTCTGCTCAGAATCCTCGTAAACGACAACATGCGACTCATCGGCGACCGAAACGACGACGAATCCTCGTCCCGAAAATTCCCCTCCCGCGGAGGCACCTCAACGGTCACACCAACCAAAGATTTCCTCGAGCCAACCGAGGAGGAAGAAGGAGAGGTAGAACCGGTTCGGTTCTCACCCTCCGAGGAAATCGAACCGATTTCCACTTCGCGTACCGTAATAACAACTTCCGGTTCGGGCGGGCGCTCGACCGGTGCGCGACAAAGTGGACACGTGGCGTGCGAGTGGAACCACATGTCGATACACTCGGTGTGGAAGCTATGGTTACACTTCGGTAAGACCCGGCCCGGTTCGCCCGCCTTGAACTCCGACAAGCAAACCGCGCATTCCGGCGCGTTATCCGGGTGGGCCACGGAGTCGTAAGTGAAGACGGGGAGCGAGGCAAGGACGGCGGCGTCGAGGCCACGGGAGACAGCGGCGGGGGTTGCGGCATCATTGTAAAAGACGAGCTGCGTGCGACGGAGCTCACGTTGGCGTAGTAGCTGGCGGCGGCGCGCGCGTCTGAGGTACCAGCGCGCGTAGATGTGGAGACAGAGCATTACAAGGACGACGAAGAGGAGAAGAACGATCGCGGAGAACATGATTTTTCCGTTGAGACTGTAACTCTTCTCATCGATATCTTGGGGAATCGCGTTTCTCTCTGGGAATTTTTGCGTGGGTTCATCTTTTCCCTCTGGAGCCATCGGCGAGATTGAGTGAGTGAGGAAGAGAAAGTGAAGAATAATTATTTATTATTATTATTATTATTATTATTATTATTATTAATGAATGAGAAATGGTTTTGGTTTGGATGCGCTTATAGGATGAAAAAAAGAAAGAGTGAGGAAGGTTCTGCAGGGTTTGACGGATGAGGTCATGCTTTTATACTCATTTCTTCTTCTCAAAATACATCAGTTGCCACCGTTGACGCGGTTTCTCTTTCTTACTTTTTTTTTTTTTTTCTTTTTTTTTACTTTTTCATATTATCCATGTCAAAGCTTACGGAAATTGGCTTGCACCTTCGTCCGGAGAGTGCAGACCCACGCTTTACTATTTCCCACGCGTTTTTTTTTTTTTTTCTAATTTATTACTTTATTGTTGTGTTCATTGATAGAAAATAATGATTATATCTATGAATTTGGCATGTCTAACACATTTGTTAGTTTAATTTTTTTTTTAAATAAAAGTGTGAACACATACATTTTTCAGTGTGAGTATCTAATAATGGTGTAAAGTTAAATATTTATTTTGAATAACACTGTTGAAGGTTCTAGCATAACGTGAGATAGTCTAATATGTAATTAAATAATATTAAATGATGTGAGATAGGTGATGTAGGATTTCCATTTTTTTCATTAAAGTCTGTCGGATAAAGTAAAATGTATTTTTAACCTAATTAAACGGTAATTTTTGACCTATTATAATAATTAAAGTTCTAATATAAAATTAATTGACAATAAGTAAAATAGTATAATATGTATTTAATATGTGAAATAGTTTATCCTGTATTTAAAAATGTAGGTGTTTATTTGTTTGTTTATTTATTAATTATTAGTTAAAAATTATTAAGAATAGTAGTGTTATTATAGCGTGTGGGAAAGATGAAGGAGATGATGGTGCAGTGAAGTTGTGTGTACTAAATGCGTTGGTCAACATCCTCTTACTTACCGCAAACCAAACCAGTGCAAGTCTCGCGTAAACGTTTTACTCGCAATGTTTTGTCTTCGCGACGTTTACTTTGTTGCAAAGAAACGCACTCTTTTTTTTTTTTCTTCGTTTTTTCTTTTTTCTTGTAAACTGTGTATAACATTCATCTCATGTAACTAAATAAAGTATCAGTGGTTTAAAATAATTTTATATAATAAAATAAATTATTTAATTATTTCTTCAAATAACTTTAAAAAATAATAAATTAAAAAAAAATTAAAATTATTTTAAAAGAAATTAATAAAATAAAATTAACACTGATTCATTTAAAATAAAAAAGTTACTCTTATTAAAGATCACGTTAGAAATTAAAATATTGGTTAATCAAATTACACACAAATTCAATTTCAACCAATTCAAAATATATCATACATCAATTCTGAGCCCTTTCCAGAAATACCCACTTGAATTAATGTGTTGGAAATAAAAAAAATTACTTATAAACAACATGGAATTCATATACACTTTTATAAAGATATTTCAATGCTCAAGCTTGTATAAACAAATAAAGAAAAAAATGTATAAAAATCAATATTATAATAATTAAGTCTTTTGGGTAACTTAAAAAAAGTTACTCATTTTCATCTCAATTACTAAAAGATCACAAAAACTATAACTCGTTCTTAATATACTGGGTGTTTTACCTTAGTTCATCACAGTATTTGATTAACTTGAGCAAAGAATTATATATAATTACTTATCATTTTTTATAAGTTTTTTTTAATATGATAGTTAGAGGCGATGAACCACCGGTAAAGAAATAGGTTTAAGGTTTACTATAATGTTTTTATTATATATTAAGTTTATTAGTAATAATATTTTAAAAAAATAATACAAAATATTCTCATGATTAAAATAAAAATTATAAATATCAAATATATTTGAAAGTAAAATATAGATAATTATTAAAATAAGAAAAAAATATAATAAATAATTATTATTTAAAGTTAATGTAATTAATATAAGATAAAAAAAGTTTAAACATATTATATTTTTTATACAAAAATTATATTAAAAAATTTGATCATAAATATTTTTTTATTAAAATTGTTAGATAGAAAAATTTAACCTAATTCTACCAATTTTGTTTTAATTTAATTAAAATATAGTTTTTCAAAAGTAATAGACCGATTTTTAATCTAATTCTCATCCAATTTTCAAAATAATTAAATTAAAACTTTTTATTATAATTTTAATAAAATAAACTTGTTTAAAGCGTATTTTTATATATATTATGTTAAAAAATTTAATATAAGTAAGATATACGGATCAGTGATAGTTCGATGATAAAAATAATTAAGAATTTTGTAAAAGGTTTTAATTTGTTTATTTTTATTGAAAAACATGAATATGTGTAATCCATTAATAATAAATATAATCCACTTTTGGTATTGGAGATAATGTAAGGAAAATACTACAATCTCGTCCTGATTTATTATAATGTATTACCACCAAACTTCATAATTAAAACTAAAAACCCTTATTTTAAATAGCATGATGTGCATCAACATTATCATAATAACGTAATACAGTTATAATATTTTGATCTAGCTGAAAATTTATGAATGTGAAATATTGTACGTAAAACTAATGATAAAAACTTTTAAAGCAAATCGACCTAGAATGATAATTTCATTTTATATTGAATTATCATTCCAATTCATAAAATAAAAGTTATAATCTTCCACATCATACTTTTATATATATATATATATATATATAAAAAAGAAATACAATAACTTTATTATGTTAAATCAAATTACTTTATAAATATTTATTTTTGTATGATAAATTGATATCCTCACCTTACCTTTTACAATAAGATAATATTTCATTTTATTATATAATCCTCCGTTTTCTCTTCTAAAAGGAGTTATTTTATATTGACAATCAGTTAAATAGATAATCAATAAATAATTTATTATAATATAATAATAAAATTTATTATTATAAATGGTTTATTAATTGTTTTTTATGATATTGTCAAACTATTACTCGTGTTTAAAAATATATATTTATTGAATTTGTATTTTAATTAAATTGAAAACACATTTTTAATTCATTTATTAATTTTAATTATTATTCGTTTTTTTTTATCGTTATTCTGTAGATACACTGTGTTTTGAAGATGGAAAAATGGTATTCTCGAGCAATAGTTTAAAGTTGTTGCAATAATACTACGAAGTATTTATTTATTGTTGATTAATAAGATGATTTTTTTAGATACTGTTATAACAAAAATTTAAATTTAAAATAACTCAAATACAGCCATATCAATTTAAACTAAAATCTCATCGACATTATTTATTGTAATTAACATTAAGAATATAATATGATATTGGTGTTGGAATTCTTTTCCCGGAAAAGAAAAAAGTTTGAGAAAATTAGCATTGTTATGGAATTGTCCCATTTGAGTGTATATATTTGGCATGGGTTAATGGAAAATGTAGCAATTAGAAGATGTAGTTTAGCTGCACTTTCCATAGCTAAGCTAATAAATGAGGTTATTAAATAAAATATAGCAAAAGGTGTGAACTCTTCAACCCAAACAGCATTTACTTGTGTTTACCAACTCCTCTCTTCAGCAGCTCACAAGCCAAAAAAGCTCTTTCCCCCTTCTCTCCCTCTATTTCTCTTTCTCTTCCCCTTTTCATCTCTTCTCCATTCTTCCTATCACCAACACAAAAATACAGAATTTTGCAGAAACCCATTTTCACACAATGTCCAACAAGTCCCCTGTTTTCCCCATCCCAGACCCCCAACACTTCAGCGACTATGGCTTTGACCCTCAAATCAACTATTTTCAGGTTTCTCTCTTTCACTTCCCCTTTCTTTCTCTTTTTCCCACCCTCTTGGAAAAATGTCTCATTTTTATTTTTCATTCACAAACCATAACGTTACTATTTTTTAATTTTTTTTTTGTTTATGTATGTATATTCAAATATTTATCTTCGGCATTTAACGAAGCAGGTATTGGAGGAAGCCATGAAGCACAAGCGCGAGACAGCGAGATCCATCGACTCCATCCACTTCAAGCTCCAGAAGCCCATTTCCAAGGACGACTCCCGGAGCAAAGCCCACAGGTCCAGGAAGAAGCGCTGGTGGAGAAGCGCCCTCCTCTTTTTTAAGTGGCGCTGGGTCCACCACCGCAACGACGACAACAACAACATTAACGAAGATGACATCCACCAGGCCCGGGCCCGGGCGTTCCGGGCCTCCATATCGGGTCCTGTGTACTGGACCGAGAGCCGAAGCGGCTCCGCTACGCCCTACCGCACCTCCAGCCGCCCTTCCTCCGGACCCCTAGCCGGAACTCTGACGCCGCCGGTCAAGGGTGACGTGGACACGCCGTACTTGAGTCTAAGAGAACTCAACATGGAACAACAAGAACAACTTCAGCGGAGGATGTCTACCTCGGCCATGCCCATATACATGGTCACTTAGAAATGTTCAACTAATCATGTGTTAGGGTAGTTTCACAGATTGATTGGTTTTTTTTTTTTTTTTTTCTCTTTATTTCTATTATAATTTTTAACTAGGGTGTTTGTTTGTTTTGATCCGGTGGAAGAAAGGCTGAATCTTCCTTTTGGTGTTCGTGGTTAACTATTGACATATTAATGATACATAAATATCTTTTTAATCAAATCATATTTGAGATGAATCTATGACTTGGTGTGTGAAATATTTTCCCTTTTGATGCATGAAACTGAACTCTCGTGCTTTTGACCAACGTTCTTCTTTTCCATGGTAGTTGGTGTGAATTTCTTAATGAACACTTTTTCTTCGATTTGGGTCCCGAAAATGTTAGTAGTACTTGCTACTTGCACGTTAGTGGCATTTACCAACGTAGCGCCAAGATTTGTGTCCGTTAAGTTGGACCCTCCCGCACCCAATCACTGGAACCAGAGGGAGGCTTTGGGAATTGGGGTTGTGGGGTCCAAACGGCAACGTTTCGTAAAGGCTGAGAAAAATTGGAGGGGAAAGTGAACAATTTTAAAAAAGTGGTAATTCAATTCCTATTCTTTCGTTGTCAATGGGGGCATCGAAAACAATGGCATGAACATTGAGGATGAGAGGAAGATGGAAGGGTAGGTCTCGGAGGATAAATCCAAATTACCAATCGGCCATGGCATGTGCAGTGCCATGACCTCTACCATTTTTATTAGATATTTTAGTGCCCAATTCTTTATATAATTTGTGAAGAAAAAGTATTCTTTACACACTTTTCCATGCAATTGGTTGTATTATATATTTGTATTACAAACTTTTGGAGCTTCTTAATTGTTTTTACTACTACTAAATTTAATGCTGCTCACACTGATCTAACCTAATATTTTAGTTGTCCTTGTCCATGTACTTTTAGGAAATAAATTATTATTTTTTATTTCAACTGTTTACTTATCTAAATTTTTATTTATAGTAAAAAAAATTGACTACACTTATTCAAGAATATCACTTGACTTTATTAAACTTTATTATTTTTTTATTACTCTTAAATTGTCATTTTTGTAAAAAAAGTAATTGTAATGATGATGTACCTAAAGGTCATATTTTATTGATTGATTGCCAAATTTTATTTTAGACATCTAATATTGACAGCAAAATCAATTTGGGTCTGAAACGCTTTTCAATGCAATTTCAAAACACTTTTTGGTCAGTTATTTTTGAGAAAAATTACTTTATGTCTTATCCTTTTCGTTGCTTTTTGTCTATGTTTGGAATTTTTCATCCTTATTAGCCCTCTCTCCATGACAATCTCTATATTATGTTCGTAATTTATCTCTATTTTTTTTAAAAATTGCATATTTGGGGCAATTTTTAAGCGTGGTTTCCTGTGAGAGATTAAGTTTCAGATTTTTTTTGTCAGAAAGTATAGATAATTGAATAATAAAACTTGTGATATGATATGATATGATTTATTTAAAATAAACTTATTTCACAATATTACTCATTGCCAGTAATAAATTTAGAAGTTATTCATTTTTGTATTTTTTTCACCGAATTAACCCATTTATGTAAAAATCAATAATTATTTTGAAAAACTCACATGCAATCAGAAAAACACAAAACATAACGCAGGGCAAAAAAATGAATCTATGTCATATTACAATTAATATTAATATCAATGATGTTGTAGTTAGGCCAAATAAAAAGACAAAAAAGAAACCTTTAAGCTATGGTTTCTAACTTTATCTCATAATCAAGAGGTATAGATGAAGGGACAACTGTATGAGGGGTTTCACTTGTTGAGGAGCATCATTGCGTTGCTGAACTCTTCAACTTGGCACCTGAAAGTTCCAACTTTGGTCATTAATATCACTAAAGTACTGAAGAAAATAAAGAGGAAGCTTAATTGAACAGAGAACACCATTTCTTCAAAGAAATCATCAACCATTTTGTCCTTCAACTTTTCCATTTATAGTCTACAATTTGTGAAAGAAATTCTAACAAAGTGTTCTATATATATGCTCAAACATCATTGGCTTGTCCAGCAATATTTCTTCCGAGACTCTTTAAAGCTTTTTGTATTTTGCATGCAAAGTGTATTATAACAGTTCTGCAACACACTAACTTACCGTTGGCGAAAGTTGGAGTTAGATAACGCTGAAGTTAGTGTAATTCATCTGGCTATATATGTATGCATACTTACAGTTTCTCTGAGGGAACTTTGGGAATTAGATAACTCTGAAGACCTTTCTTTTCTGTTTCTCCTTTCATGTGCAAGAAGAATTGCACATTTACAGGTGAAGTACAGAAGCAACGCTCCAAGAGAGAACATGATAACAAATTCAATGACAATGATTGATCCTAAGGCTGTTACAGCAAATAGAACGAGCTTGTATGTCAGAGAAATAAAATACCTGTATGCTTTTTTTTCTGATAAACAGATTATGGAAAAATCATGAACAACACTATGATAAGATGCAGGACTCAAATTCTGTTTTGGAGCACATAAGGCGGAAAATAAATGTTTCTCTATTTATATGTAGAAATATATATTAATAACTTTAGTTTTCAACCAAACAGCTTGGTGAAGCCCAAATGCAATAATTTATTATGAATCCTTCTAAGTGAACTGATCTTATGAAATATACAACTTACTGTGAGCCAGAAATGAACTCATTGGGTGTTTTCTCATTAAATTAACCGCAGCTTCAGTGTATAATGGCATTGACATGCCGTCTGCACAATCTGGATAACATCCATAGTTTCCCATGTCATTTAATGTCAATGTTAACACAGCTCCATGCTCACCTCCCTGTGTGAAATAAAGACAATTATGACAATAGAAAACATCGAGTTTACTTTTTATATATATATATATATATATATGTATATATATATGTATATATGTATATATAAACAGTAATCAATGATGTCTAAGATCGGTATCAACAGATCATCACGAAAAAAGATGACTAATTCAGCCCTGATCACTGACTAACCAATGCATATGGAACTGTTATTTCGAATAGATCTCCTTGCATCACTGAAAAGCTGAGATGTTTTATGAAATAAATTCTTATTAAAACGTCATGAATAAGTTCACACTAATCCGTTAATTTGAACTTCAAACATTAAAGTTAAAAAATAAATAAAAGTCTTTTAAAAATTCAACAAGTAAAAATACCGAGGAATTAATACTTTTAGGCATTTAATAAACTTCTAAACAACCTTTTTTTTTTTTTTCAATATTTGTGGTGTTTTTCTCTTTGGGATGCTTTGCAAACTGCCAAGTAGATAAGGGCTGGCTGCAAAACCTTACGGAGATTCTAAATGGTCAATGCAACCTTTTTTCAAAAAATATGTTGGCTTAGTTAGATTAAAAAGTTGGCAAAGTGATACCAATCAAAATACTGTAGTACTAATATAATACTTGTAATCCTTTTCAGCAACGTATCCACACTAGTACACCAAAAAGCTGAACGGTGTGAGTGTGCAACTTTTCATGACTTTATTTCTGTAAGTAGTTTTATATGCTTCATAAATTCTACTACTTTTGTCATGAACTCGTGGTGAAGGAACAGATGGCAGTGATTCTGCTAGCCATAACATAAGCTTTTGTCTATGCTTTTATATTTAACTGATGATGGGGACATATCGAAGACCGTGCATGGTCCTCAAACTTCAAGATAAAAACTAATAAGAAAATCACTCACATGATAGAACAGTTGCTGCATAACACTATTGCAGTCATTGACTGTGCCCTGAAATCTGATTCCATGAGCTTTGACCATAAAGTGCTCTGAGATAGTAACATATGTCTGAAGAGGCTGCCACTGATAATCAATTCTGTGCTTCAATTCAGTTGTATTGATCAAGTGAACGGGTAGGTTTGTTACTAACCATCCATCATTTACTTCCACAGAGAACGTCACAGAAAAATGAGCCTGACCACCTGATATATGACCCATCCAACAGAATGTTAACCCTGCAAACCTTCTCATGACATTATCATGTCAATTACAATAGGGAGAAGCATAAATAGTTAAAAATGTTGTTAATGTTGAGGTGTAAAGATCGGTCAAAGATAGGGAACTTCCTTGTAAGTTCCTGGTCAAAGGAAGGCTACTTCCTTGCAACTTCCTGGTCAAAGGAAGGCTACTTCCTTGCAACTTCCTGGTCAAAGGAAGGGAGCTTCCTTGCAACTTCCTGGTCAAAGGAAGGGAGCTTCCTCTCAACTTCCTCTCAAGAAGGATTTGTTTGGCTATAAATACCTCATTTTGTAACCTCATTTGTATCCAATCCAAGTGTGAAGAAAGAGTAGAGAGAGTGTATTCATACGGGCTTGTGTGAGTTGTAACATTCGGTTTATCCTCTTATTCTAGTTCATTTTCCTGGCTTGGTTCGCCCCCGGATGTAGGATTTAATCCGAACCGGGTTAACAAATATTCGTGTCTTTTATTGATCTCACATTGGTGTATTATTATTATTCCATCTTATCCGACCTTATTTCCCAACAAGCTGGTATCGAGCCAGGAGGTTGGAAATAAGATGGAGGGAAAGATTCAAGTCGAACGGTTCAATGGTTCCGACTTTGGATTCCGGCGAATGCAAATGGAGGCTTACCCGTACGGGAAGGACCTCTACGCACCTCTTGGGGAAAAACCCGAGAAGATGAGCGATGATGAATGGAAGGTGCTCGATCGGAAGGCGATGAGCGCTATAATTCTTTCGCTCTCTCGGAACGTCGCCTACCATGTGAAGGGAGCAAAAAGCACGAAGGAGGTCTTGCAGATACTCGCCGATATGTATGAAAAACCATCAGCAATAAACAAGGTGATGCTGATGAAAAAGCTGTTCAAATTGCAAATGGAGGAGCGAAAGTCGATGAGCCGATCATCTCAACGATTTCAACCAACTCACTACGCAGTTGGCATCGGTGGATATTTCGTTTGATGATGAGGTAAAAGCCCTAATCTTGCTCTCATCATTGCCGGACAGTTGGGACGTGGTCATTACTTCGGTGAGCACTTCTTCCGGCAAGGAGAAGATGAAGTTCGACAACATAAGAGATATGATGTTGAACGAGGAGACCCGCAGAATCAGGCGGGTGGGTCGTCCGGCTCAGCCTACATACAGAGTCCGGAGGGAGACCCGAAACACGAGGGAAAATCCGTGGGAGGTCAAAATCCAGGGGAAGGAATAAAGGCAAGAAAGAGATGGTGTGTTGGAACTGCGAGAAGCCTGGGCATATGAAAAGCGAATGCCGGGCACCAAGGAAAGACAAAGAAGGTCGGACGACCAATGCCGCGACGGAGGACACGGCGGATGCACTCTTGTTGAGTGTGAGAAGCTCGCTCGATGACTGGATCGTGGACTCGGGGGCCTCATTTCACTCATGCAGTAGCAGAGACATCATGGAGCCATACACCGCAGGTGATTTTGGCTTGGTATATCTTGCGAGAAAACAAATCCCTAAAAATTGTAGGGAAGGGAGATGTGCGGATCAAGTCCGCAAATGGGTCATGCCTGGACCCTACGTGATGTGAGACACATTCCGGGACTGAAGAGGAATCTCATCTCGGTTGGACAGACTGGACAATGACGGCTTCCACACAATGTTTGGAGACGGAAAGTGGAAGGTCGACCGAGGAGCTATGACTTTGGCAAGAGGGCTGAAGTCGGGAACGCTTTACACGGCGAGTAGATCCAGCTCAAACATTCTCCTGGCAGGAGTTGTCTCACAATCGCACTTATGGCACGGTCGCTTGGGCCACATGAGCGAAAAAGGAATGAAGGTACTAAAGTCGAGAGGACTTTTGCCCGAGTTGGAGTCAGTGGACGTGGGTCTCTGCGAGCAATGCGTGCTTGGAAAGCAGAAGCGAGTGAGCTTCATAACCACCGGAAGAGCTCCAAAGACAGAAAAACTGGAGCTAGTGCACACTGACTTATGGGGGCCAGCACCGGTGACATCTCTTGGAGGATCGATGTACTACATGACGTTCGTCGATGACCGCACAAGAAAGGTATGGGTGTACTTTCCGAAAAGAAAATCCGAAGCCTTTGATACTTTCAGGAGATGGAGAACACTCGTGGAGAAAGAGACAGTGCCGGAAGTGAAATGTCTCGGATCCGACAACGGTGGCGAGTACAACAGTGAAGCCATCAAAGAATACTGCGCCGATCATGGGATCCGGATGCGTAAGACGGTCCCAGGGACACCTCAACAAAATGGCATTGCGGAGAGGATGAACGAGAACACCGAATGAGCGTGCGAGATGCATGCGATTGAAGAGTGGACTGCCCAAGATGTTTTGGGCGTAGCGGTCAGCACGGCCGCTTTCTTGATCAACCGGGGACCTTCCGTCCCACCGAACAACAAAATTCCGGAAGAGGTCCGGAGTGGTAAGAAAGTTGATCTCTCTTTCTTACGTACCTTTGGTTGTTTGGCTTACGTTTTGAATGACGACCGGACAAAGCTGGATGCTAAGTCCGTCAAATGTACATTCATTAGATATGGGACTCGACGAATTTGGGTATAGATTTTGGGATGATCAAAATCGGAAAATTATTCGCAATCGTAATGTGGTGTTCAATGAAGGCATAATGTACAAGGACCTGAAGGAATACCTGGACGATGACAAGACCATGCAGGAGTATGTTGGTCTCGATATTTCAAATACCGGAATCATGAGACCAAGCAGATACGAGTGGGAGCTCGGATAGATGAGATCGAGCGTACGTAAGAAGAGGCGGAACCGGAATCGGATGAACCGATTGCCTGAGAGCAGCACGCCTCGGCACCGGGTCGAGAACCGAGGATGAGAAGGGCCCTGGATAGGTACTCCCCTTCTCTTTATTACCTACTTTTATCCGATTCCGGGAACCCGACCGTTATGCAGAGGCGGTTAAAGATGCCCACAAGAGCAAGTGGGAGCTTGCGATGGAAGACGAGATGAACTCGTTGAAGAAGAACCACACATGGGATTTGTGTGATCTCCCACAAGGAAAGAAGGCTCTTCAAAACAGATGGGTCTATCGGGTCAAGGAGGAATCGGATGGAACAAAACGGTACAAGGCCGGACTTGTAGTAAAGGGATTCCAACGGAGATACGGTATTGACTTTACCGATGTTTTTACACTCGTTGTTAAGTTAACCACTATACGTTTAGTGTTAAGCATCGTAGCGGCGGAAAACTTGGAGTTGCAACGGTTAGATGTGAAGACGGCCTTTCGCATGGGGATCTCGAGGAGGAAATTTACATGGTGCAACCGAGAGGGATATAGAGGAAATGATCGGCAGTGTCCGTCGCCTAAAGAAGAGCTTGTACGGACCGAAACAGGCTCCTCGACGAGTGGTACCGAAAATTCGATAATTTCATGCCGGAGATAGGATACTCCGGTGTAATGCCGATCATTGTTGCTATGTGAAGAAGTTCGGTAACTCTTTCATTATTTTACTGCTATATGTGGATGACATGCCGATAGCGAGGATCGGATGTCAAGGAGATCGAGAGGCTCAAAGATCAGCCTATCAAGGAGATTTGATATGAAGGATCTAGGAGAAGCGAGACAGATCATCGGGCATGAAAATCACGAGGGACGAAATGCTCGGTAAACTTTGGCTTTCTCAATTTGATTATATTGAGAAGGTGTTGTGCGATTTAATATGAATATTGCAAAGTCGGTTCGAGTGCCATTGGGAAGCCAGTTCAAGTTGTCCAACAAGGATTCGCCCCAGGATGACTCGGAAAAAGAAAAGATGAGAGTTACGCCGTATGCTTCGGCTATCGGGAGCCTAATGTACGCTATGGTCCGCACCGGCCGGACATAGCACATGCAAGTGGGAGTAGTCGGTCGGTTCATGAGCAATCCCGGAGTGATGCACCGGGAGGCGGTAAAGTGGATCCTTAGGTACCCGAGGGGTACTAAGGACCGGGCATTAGTATTTGGCAGGGGTACCCTTACCCCGTCCGGGTATGTCGATGCTGATTTTGCAGGAAGTGATCTTGACAAGAGGAGGAGTACTACCGGGTACGTATTCACTTACGGCGGGACGGCCGTATCCTGGATCTCAAAGCTGCAGAAGATAGTCACATTGTCCACAACGGAAGCTGAGTACGTGGCAGTGACGGAGGCAGCCAAGGAGCTCGTTTGGCTGCAAAACTTCTTGAATGAACTTGGGAGACCTCAAGAGGATGTGGCTCTATACAGCGATAGCCGCAGTGCAATCCATCCGGCAAAGAACCCCGCGTTTCACTCGCGAACGAAGCACATCGAGGTTAAGTATCATTTCATCCAAGCAACTTCTAGAGAAGAAGATGTCTGCAGCTGAAAAAGGTTCGGGGAGATAGGAATCCTGCAGACATGTTGACCAAGGCGGTAACTTTGGAAAAGTTGAAGCCGTGTGTAGCTTCGATCGGCCTTGATGATTAAAACGAGCGGACTTAGCGAGAACCAAGAGCGAGAGATGAACGAGGTTGACCAATCTTCAAGTGGGAGATTGTTGAGGTGTAAAGATCGGTCAAAGATAGGGAACTTCCTCGTAAGTTCCTGGTCAAAGGAAGGCTACTTCCTTGCAACTTCCTGGTCAAAGGAAGGCTACTTCCTTGCAACTTCCTGGTCAAAGGAAGGGAGCTTCCTCTCAACTTCCTCTCAAGAAGGATTTGTTTGGCTATAAATACCTCATTTTGTAACCTCATTTGTATCCAATCCAAGTGTGAAGAAAGAGTAGAGAGAGTGTATTCATACGGGCTTGTGTGAGTTGTAACATTCGGTTTATCCTCTTATTCTAGTTCATTCTCCTGGCTTGGTTCGCCCCCAGATGTAGGATTTAATCCGAACTGGGTTAACAAATATTCGTGTCTTTTATTGATCTCACATTGGTGTATTATTATTATTCCATCTTATCCGACCTTATTTCCCAACAGTTAACAATGTTAACAATTTATGTTATGCGGAAAAATTGTCAGGCACAAGGATCTGGAAATGGACAACAGAAAGCTTCATTTCAGTTTTATAATAGAAACAAGTAAATTAGGATAGAATTATCTCAGTAAAAATATACAGAAAACAATTATTCAACCTCGACAATATAACCATCAATACCACTACCAGTTTTTCACTTTAGCAGCTTTTGACATCAGAAGCCTCTGGATTTGATATTCCATGCAATCAATCTCCAAAGGATAAACTACCGTACAATTATGCAGGTTTTGTTGTTTAACATCAATTGCTCAGAAATGAACATAATTATCGCTGTCTCATATAATTGCAATTTGCGCAAATCTTACACTACGTTATTGGAAGGATACCATACCAGGGAAGGTAAGAAGATCGGGATCTCCAATAAAAAAGTCAAACTTGTCTTTCTCTTGGTCAAAGATAAGGGTCTCATCTTCATTACTCCTCAATATGATGAAGTAGGGGGCTCTAATAAATGGAGGGTCATTGATAGGATCAACAAAAATTGGAATGCCCAGTGAATTTACTCCGTTCTTGTTCCTGGCTGAGACTTGAATGGTATCTCCACCATAAAAATTTTCTTTTCTGAAGAACAAAATGTATCATGATTAACAATATGATAATAACAACCACAACAAAACCATATTTACACTTCTACATGACAAATGTTTACCAAAATAATAAGAATAATACATGTTCAATCAAATTTATGGCATAAAAATGCGTTGAAACTCACCACGTTGTTGATACCAAAATTCATTTACTACAACTCGGTCATGTGGAGTTACTTCTGACCAAACAGAGTTGGACAGAGAAGACAAGTAAAAGCCTTAGTAAAAAGGGTAGATTAGGAGGTGCACAACTTTGAAAATAACTTGAAATGTACTTTCGTAGAATTTTGTATATTGTTTGATTTATAAAAATGATATGCATAAGTATGTGATAAATTATATGTGAAAAATGGTATAATTCTGCAAACATTGAATACGTTGCCATGCCAAATGTCACTATCGGAGTGCAGTTCCATGATGCAGATATACATGATATATTTATAGATTACAGATTCATTCAGCATCATTGGAATGAACAAAGATTTTCAAACAGGAGAACTGTTTCAATGAATTTAAACAATAACAAATATGTAAAATACCCCTGATACTGAATTGACTGAAGCGCAAAATTAATTACTTCCACAGAGCCTTCTATTAATAAGCTGGTTGATGTTTCATTTCCTGTGTCGACTGTAAGTTCACTCCACATTAATTGCCCAAATTGCATAGCCATAGGAGACAGAAGTATAATTCCAGATTGTGCACTGAGATTGACAGAAATATTCTCCATTGGATTTGAATAAGTCATCTCAAACCCAGTGAAGCCACTGTAAGAGGGGCACAACAAGATTGTACACATAAGGAAAGTTAAGTTAAACCATTCCTAAGAAATGTTCATATACATGTTGCTTATACATACCCAAATCTAGGGCTTATTAAATCTTCTGTTGCTTGCAGTTGATTTGGAGCAGAAACAAACTGAGGTGGAACATTTAGAACAAATATGTACACGGAAGCTGAAGCAAGATTTCCATTTATATCAGAAATTGTATACCAAAAGGAATCATTTCCATAATACCCTTTATAAGGAGTGTAACGAAAGATCCTTCCATTTTGTATAAGTGAACCATGATCTGACTGATAATATACAAGTGAAACAGCCATTTATCATCTTCCATAAAAAATATGAAGACAAAGAATTGAAATATTCATGACTATCAGCAACTTCAACACATATCTCTAAAAAGGACTTTGTACTGCAATGCGGATACTGTTAGTTCGTCACAAAAAATAGCAAGTTACTGTTAAATATCCATCATGCAGTGAATAAAGATTGAGGTGCATATTGTGTTCTAGATGATCAAAGGGTAATTAAATGATTGCAGATAATAAACCATTTTTTGTTAACATCCATCATCTTCGCAAATGTAAATGATAACAGGATCTTTTTACTCGGAAAAGTTAGAATCAACATATCTTACTTTTGAGAATTCAACTATACTTGCATTATCACCCGCAAAATAATCATTTGCTAAGACATCAAAGGCAACGGATTGATCCTCCCAAATAGATATTGTATCGTTGTTAGCTTTCGGAAAATATTCATCTGCAAGTCATGCAAAAGAATCCTCAAAACATATTCTTAGTGTAAAATATACCAATCATTTATTATGGGTCATTTAAGCCCATTTTTACTTGGAGTAAATTAGACAACCCCAAATTTCAGTGCTTGTAAATTCAATCATCAAAAAACACTGACATATCGATGGAGGTGTACAGAAAAAAACTATTTGAAAATATTGATTATCCCCCCTGTTTATGTTCTAAAGCCCGGAAAAATCAAGGTTATTTTTTTATGAACTTCAAGAATTATAAAATGATTAAAAAGTTAATAAATAGTTATTAGAAAAAACTTATATATATATATATATATTTTTTTTTTTTTTGAAATTTTGTCCTTCCTTCTAATCTTAAAAAAGAAGAGGGACAAGTTGATCAGCAAAAGGTCCCATTAACAACAGCAATATATCTATGTAAACCAATGTTGTAATTATAACACATATACTTCTAAGTTTTAACTGTAAGCACATACTCACCAAAATAAAGACAATGATAAAATTATAAGATGCATGTTGTTTGAACTTACTTCTGTACACATTGATACTGAAGGGACATGACAAGAAACGCTTGCCATCAAAGGAAGCACAAATCTCGTAAGTGCCAACATCTTTGGCCATATAGCTGCAGCTGTATGATCCATCCTTATTATCTGTAATGTCCAAAGTTGAAAAGCCAGAACTATTTGCAGAAGCAATCTCCAATTTCAACCTTGATTGTTGCGAGAAGACAGGGTTTAAATATGAATCCACAAGCTGCACTATTATTTCATTTTTTGACAACTTTGGCACCTTTGGAGAAAACCTCACAACACTTGACAATGAAACATTCACTTCACCTGCAGCAAGCTAGGGGCACATCATTAGAAATGACTGAGAGGAAAACAATAAATATATGTGAAAATTTCAACCAAACCTGAGATAAACCTTGCTATAAAGTTATATCCTATTGAAATATTTTGAACATGAGCTAATTAAGCACTAGTATTCCGTGAATGCACATGAATCATTTTATATGTAACGTATTCCTCTAATCGAACTATCTCAGTTGATTGTAGAGACACAGATATCTAGACCAAATAAAAACCTTAAGCAATTCAGGGAAAATGCATGAATAATTTTATATCTATATCACTAATCTTTCGAAGCAAAAAACCTTTGATCACTAACCATCCCTCTTACTAAAAATTCTTGCTTAACCTTATGAAATGATTCCTTTTTATTTGATGCATATTATAGTACCTGCTTTTACCTCTTTTCGGAATGAATGTCCCTTGTTCAATAATATGTTTCCACAATATACATTAATACCATAAAATCCACTTTTGTCTGGTATGTAATCCACATGAAAATCACTTGCCATGATAAAGCTCCTGCTTCCATTAGACTGAAAAACATGGCGAGAGCTTAGTAGAGGATTAACTAATTGTGCACCAAAAATTAATGTTTGTCATCCTTACATTGTTGCTCAACTCTATTGAAGGTGACGGCGCAGGTTCCATGTGACCGATATCATCGTAGCTCACTCCTGAAGCTATTCTGCTTCCTGATGTCAAAATACAATTATAACAATAAAAATAAAATACTCAATTGCATAAAGCAATGTAACAAGAAGTTTTCTTTGAAAATACCATTATTAAGCATAGGATAGATGACTGGTGGAACTCTGTAGGAATCATTTTCTCTTAAAATTTGTACTTGAAGTATGTTTGCTTCAACAGGGGAAGGATATTGATAGATGTCATTCAAATATACAGAGAATTCTTCCTTTACACCAGCTACTGAATCATTTAAACCGGATCCATTAACAACACTCTTAAAACCATCACAGTAACCTATTTGGAAAGGAACATGAAACAGAAATTACATTTACATGAGGAAAGTTATAAAATTTCATGCTGAAATGATTATGTAAGTCAAAAGGGTTTACATACTACTTAAAATCAAAGCCAGCTTCAGCTTTATTGCTAAACAGAAGGATAGATAGACAGAGAGATTAGGGAGAAGCAAAAATAAACTATTTATATTAGCAATAGTAAATGATAAAAAAACTATTTATATTACAAATGCAAATCCAAAAAAAATTGTGAGACTTGGAATGAAACTTCACCTATAAAAACAGTATAAACATATGGCATATTGGAAATGCTTTTATTATGCTTGGAATCATATATTGTCAATAGGAAGTTCCCTGGCTCAAAATTGCTGAACGAAAACAACTGAATTCCAGCATCCACTTCCTGAAAGTGAAGATCTGATATCGGTATCGACAAGTTTGTGTCACTTTCAACAACTTCAGAATCAAAAGGATACAGTCCAGAAACCAGATTTCCGTATTCATCTAACTGATATATAAAGATTTCCATCTTGGAAGCCAATTGCCATGCATGGGATTCAATGTTCCATTTGGCGATACAGTTAGACACATCTATAGTTCCTGGATTTGAGGGAGAGAGAAGTACAGCTATTGTAACTTTGCATGTAGAGTAAACAAAGAAATGAAGAAACAAAAAAACATACCCTATGTATGAAATCTATATCTATAATCAATAATCTATAACAATAGAAACTATTACAAATTATTTCACTATTCTATTTCAACCTCCTTACACTTGTAAGAGAAGAATATAAAAATCATACCAATTACATGTGCAAAAATTCAACTCTAAAGAATAAAATATACGGACAACGACTGTGCCTAGTCGTAACAAATTGAATTCAACACTACGAATTGAAAATTATTGATTCTTATGAAACTAGTTTTCGATCAAGCTCAAGCATGTATATAAAGATGTATTAGATGGTCCAAATATGATATAAAGTAATTAATTATCATTGAAACAAAATCACAACCTGGATTCACCTTCAATGGTAATGGAGAACCATTTAAGGTTTGATTTCCTCCTTCTAAGCTCAATGAGAACTTTCCAGCTTTTGTCACGACAAACTCAATGACTATATAATCAAACTCAGTCCACCCTATGTTAAAGATATCTGGAGCACTTGCAACAGAACCATTCTCATGCAAAACAGATAACTTAAAATCAGGCAAATAGGACACTTCAGTCGTCTTAGAGATACCGTTCCCAAATGCATCTTTAAGGAGCACCATAATCGTAGCTTTCGAACCAGCTACATACTCATGTCTCACGCCCTTCCATGATGCAACGCACACAGACGGGTACATGTTCCCTTCAGTAGGAATAGTATCCACCATTTTAGTCACATACAAAACCAACGTAATCTACATTGCAAGATAGCACAAGACCAAGGTAAAAACTAGAATGAATAAAATTATATTCACTCTCATTTTACAAAAGAGTGATTTTTACTTTCAACATAATCCTTCAAGTGATTTAATAGCGTAGTTACTTTTACTTCCATCAACACCTACCTACCTTGCATTATTCAGTTCTATCAAACAAAGTTTAAAAAATAAACCTGGCTCAACTTGGAAATGCAAAGATGAATCATCAACTTTATAACGCTCCTCACTGATGAGTACATTAAACAATCCAACCCTGATGGGGGTGAAGTTAATCTTCCATTCATTTGGGTCGCCTTCGAAATCTAACAACACAGTAGACACGTAGGAACTGTTCCCTTTCTTTCCATTCACAGTTAGTATGGGGTTGAAAGCCTTTTTGTCGATCTTATCAGCATTCTCAAGCACTTTGACTTTGATGGTTGCTATGTCACCGGCCTGGAATGTGCCCTTGTCATCCCACCAACTAAAAGCGAAGAGGGGAAGTTGTGATCTATCTGTCCCAAATGAAGAAGAAAAGTGAAGATGGTTCAAACAAAACTTCTTTTTTTTCAACGATGTAATAGTGTTGCTTTGTATGGTAACCTGAAGTTAGATGTTCAGAACAATAAACTGGGAACAAAGAGAGTGAAATGATAGTGAGTATACGTGCTAGGATCTCCATTTTCTGAGAGAAACTCAGCGCAGTGTAATACAGGAAAGGACAGTTCATAAACAACAGTGCTTTAGTCGTTGATGGCAGTTTATAAGCAGTTAGTAGTGAAAGCGGTTAATATTGATTGAAAAATACTTCGATGGTAACCACCTTAAATATGAACTACACAAATAAGATGTTGCCACTTCATTAAAAATATAAATATTATAAAATTAATAATAAAATAATATTAAATTGAAAAGTAAAAAAATTGTTTGTTCATCTTGTTCAAATTCTCTGCTATTGCAAGAGAAAGTATGTGGAATTGATAAAGGACTTGGTAATTACTTCAAAAATTGTTCATTGAAATTGATAAAAATGTATATTGGCATTTCACTCTACTCTATTTCTTTATCCTCTTCTCACTCCTGATATTAAACTCTTCAATTTCATTTACATTCATTACGTAACAACAAACAGAAAGGAAAATGATAGTACTCGCACAGATAACAATGGGGTGTCATTGAGCTTTGTTGAGGTTTAAAGTTTTTTTTTTTTTTCAACAATTTAAAACTTATATTTTTACTCTATCTTGTTTACTATCCATTTGTTTTTTAGTTTGGATTGGTGGTATCATAGATAATATTTAACTAGAATAAGGTTTGGGTTTTAAAGTTTTTTTTTTTTTCCTCTCAAATGAATGTTATTAAAATTAAATCAGTTTGAATTAAGTGATCCACAGTTACAATGAAATATAAATTATTATATTTTTCTCTTCAAAATTTACCTTATTTTCTGGTCTTTTCAATAGATAGAATCTAGAAAGAAATATCACAACCTAACACTGTCATGTTTAATTTGTGATTACTATTTTTTATTTTTTTACTTCATTTCAAAATCATGAAATTTTTCAACGTACTCATATTTATTAGCTATTTTATATAGGTATTTTACTCTACAAGGCAAAAAATTCTATTTAATTATTTTTTTAAAATATAATTATTTATTAAAAAAACTGACATACTAAACTAGTTTTTTTATTTTTTTTAAGTTTGAATGATTTTTTTTTTCTATTTAACTCATTTTACAACTCCTACCATAAAATTCATAATTCAAGATCTACATGTTCTTTTAAAATCTACAAACTATGAATCCAATCCTCTATATTTTGATTCATGTAAGAATTGCACGACACACAGAGTATTCATATTCATCTTGTTTACCGTATTTTGAATAAATATTATTTATTTAAATTAAGTATTAAGTGATTTTATTGTATTTTAAGAAAAAAATATATTAAATTATTATTTTATTTTTTAAGATATTATTATTTTTTTTATATTTTATCATATATTTATAGATATAATACATAAATAAAATATATATCAGAAATATATATTTATAAACTATAGAAATTTGATCATGTATATGTACGAATATTAAAGTTAGAATAGAAGAATTGTTTGAGACATTCAAAACTCTCAGTTATTCTTATATTCTTGTCGTCGGAAAATGATACATCTACCACCCTTCTGATATAAAAAAAAAAAAAATAATAATAATAATAATAATGATAATAATGATGATGATGATTTTTTATATTAAAAAGAAGTTGTAGAATAATGGTTGGAAAAAATGGATTGTGTAAGTATGGTGCTCATTCTTGTCAGTTGCAAGTGGTTGGGAAAAAAGAAATTGTTTTGAAGTATTAGCATGGAGCCACAAAAAAGAATGTTGGTGAGTTGAATCTGTTGGACATATCAGTGGCATGTGTGAATTAATAAGTAGGTGGGGTTTCAGTGAGTTTAGCTTTTCCATCATATTATTGTAAACTTTAGGCTCTTTCAGTGCAATTTTTTTCTTAATCTGCATGGCCGGCAGGAACATGCATCAGCAAGAGCTGACTTTAAACCCTAACACCCAAATTACCCAAATAGTATTCCAGCTCAATCACTTAATAAGGTGACATAAAAATCCAAGATTATAAAAAGAAAAAAAATCTAATAAAAGACTTAATTCAACTAATAATTAAAAGAAAATTAGAAATGTTTACAAAAGAAAATAATTCTTTTATGGAAATTACAACAGGAAAAAATTAAGTGATTCATAAGACTAAGCGGGTTACGTGTGTTTGGAGATTTAAAACAAAATTAATTTATTTTATTTTGGTAGAGTTGGAATTTGAACCAAAATTATTAGTTTAATATTTAATTAGTTTTAATTTTTTAGGTTTTTTTTATTATAAACAAATTAAATTCAATGAAATCTTAAATCCTAAATTTTTATATTTATGATGATTGAACTTAAAAAAGCAACAAATTTTTGTTAAAGTGAGAATATTTTTTTATTAATTTTTTTATTTTCATTTTTATAAAAATTCACTTATTCTTAAACTTATCTCACATGACGTCTTTTTTTATTTATTTAAGTTTTTTTCTATTATTTTTAATTTTTAATTTTCTATTTTTAATTAATTTCAAATATTAAATATTTTTGCGTGAATTCCATTTAAAATCTTATGACTTAATCTCGTCTTCAACGATAATATTTGTATATATACCTTCCAATAGGTAACATTCAAAAAATAGCATAATTTGTTTGTGTGAAGTTTCTGTTTCATAAATTTCCTATTTCTCCACTTAACGTCTAAGTTTCTTTCCTTTCCAGCTACTTACCTTGTGGTTCATACATCCTCCAGGTATAGACACAGAAAGATCATGATCAGTCTGCACTGCACTGCACTAGTTTCAATCCAACACCATACTTTGATATGCTGTATTTTTCTGTCTTTTCTTTATTTCAACCTTGAATCTTTTGAAAGTATGTGCTGAGTAAGGCTTATGTATCTCTTTGTATATTGGCCTACTATAATTGCTGCACATGGAGTCCTAGTTCAGTAATAAGTGCTCTAGATTTACTTTCCTCTTTTAAGACAAGTCTTTAAACATGTACATGGTGTTGTCAGAAGAAAATTTCCAATTTGTACAAAGACCTGCATTCATATATGAGGTTATAAGCCAACCTCATTAAGTAACTAAGTTGAAAAAAATGTTGATCAACCCCACCAATGAAAAACAAATTTTTTGGACGTGTAAGAGATAATGGGGCATGACTTATATGGCTGATGTTGGGCTTGAAATCAAATGCTATATTTTTTGTTTAGCAAGATGTGATGTGATGGATAAATGTAAAACAGTGAGAAGATAGATGGTGGAAGAAGTAATTGTTATTGCTTTCACACACTAATGCAACAACTCACTGTTGCCATCAATTCCTCGTCTTCATCATCATTAAGGTGGTTAACATCACAAAAACATTTTACAAACTTTATGTATGATATATATATATATATATATATATATATATATATATATATATATATATATATAGGATATGTAATTTAGAATTCGAAATTGAGAGAATGCTAACAAGAAATTTTTAGAAATCTCTAGCATTTTTAACTCTCCTTCTTTAATGTAAATTTTGATAACTTCAAACATTTAAAATTAACTTTTGTTATTATTCTGGTAAAATATGTACGTAATTTGAGTTTTTCTATTACAACACTAGTGTAATATACTTAGTCTTTGATATTTAATAATTTTGTGTTTTGCTCTTTTATAATTATATTCTTTCTTATTGTTATTGCTAACTTGCTATCCAGTAGATAATAGTGTATCTTTCTTATTATTCACTTATTTCTTCAATGATCTGCATTAGATAATTTGACTTGTAGTTTCAATTAGCTTTTGTTGTTAATTGTGCTACTATAAAAAAAAATTTAAATTCAAAATAAATATGACTTGATTTATATATATATATATATATATATATATATATATATATATATATATATATATATATATATTAATAAAAGAATTCTAGCATACATGATATTTAATCGTGTAAATATAGGATATGGTAAATTAAATTCTATCAAGGTGATGCATCAATTTTTTAGGGTTATGTTTTTTTTTCTTTATTCAGTTTTTCTTAATATTTCATGACTAGACGATACGGGATTTTCGACACTAGAAGTTTATCGTAATACAAATGTTATTTTGAGTAATAAGTTAGAATTTCATAATAAATTCTCAAATATAAAATTAATTGATAATATACGAGATAATCTAATCAGCGTTTAAACTATACCACGTATATATATTAAACTTCTACACTAAAATTGAGTATATTCCTTTTATTATTTTCCTTTATTCCAGGAAAGTAATTCATCAAATGCAAGGTTCATCATCTTTAAAAAATGTCTACTTTAAGGAAAGTGATGTTTATTTTTATCCAATACTTATTAAGATTTTGTGTGCATAGTAGAAAAACCGTTACCCATTAAAATTGGCAACGCTCACTTAAACCACAACTGAGAAATCATTGTCATTTCTTGCGTAAATTTTAGGTCATGAATTTTCTTTTCATGTTACATATTTTAGTCGTTTAAATTATTTTTGTTGCAGTGATTTGATGTTAAGTTATCTTTGCGTTCTCAAGGAAAGGCATTTGGATAATTATTGAATTGCTGAACTTAGGAATTTGCATTGATATTTTTTAGCAAAATACTCGTTTTACATTACTGAAGAAAAAATAATTATTTTTTGGTTCTGAAACAATGCCTTTTTCCCATTCAAACATTAAGATGTCGTGCCAAAATTTAATATTATTGCCCTTGTCCACCTGATTTTTTAATTATAATTAAATAATTCAAAAAAAAAACTAAATCATTTTTTTTTTGCTTTTGATTATAGATCACATCCCAACTGACTCAAGCATTTTTCATATTCTTACAAACAACTTGTGTTGTTGTTTTGAATAAATAATTAAGGTAGGCTGTGTTTATTAATTATCAAACAGATATGTTAGTTAACTAATCAGACATATAATTTGTATTAAACCTTATAATTAACATTTTTATGTGAGGCTTGTGTAGTTAACGTAACAACAAATCATAATATATATAAAATTGAGCATACCAAACCAACTGATTGTGATGGTTAGTGGTCAAATTAATGCGTAAATATTACGTATCAAAACTTCATGTGACTGAGATGACAAGGTATGGCATTCCAATCTTGGTGTTTTGACACAACAATATTCCTGTATTTTTAAGATACCTGAAGAGAGAGACCGAACAACGTGGATAATCTATGTGAAGGATATTCCATCCACCATGTTTTCCCATCATAGAGTATTTAGCTTCGTAGTTTGTCTTACAAATAATTATCGTGTTGACTTAGAAAACCAAAGCGAATTTCTCATATATATCTGGTAACACAATGTCAAACAAAGTGGACCCTCACTTGTTAGAGATTATTACCACAAGATCCTCAAAATCTCGTTGTGCCTTCTTTTGACCGGAGATAGTGGTGTGAATTAATTCAAAGTATTTTTATCACTTGTTAATGTGTTTGAATATTGTCCTAGATATGCTCGTAAAAACAGTAACTTTCTGGTGTGGTTCACTCTTGAAGTTATCATAGTTATCATAGATGCATGTTACAGAGACTTGCAGATATATATGGTGAATGTAGGATGAAGATACGGTTGAGCTGCAAAACAATGAACAGAAGAAGACAAAGAAGAAGCAAGTGGAGCATAGGCAGCATGTATATATAAGCAACAACAACAACTACAACCAATATGGTGGTAGATATTATGGATTATTAATATCTATCTTTAAACTGGGGTAATGGCATAGGCCCCCATATATAATTGTAATTGGTTACAGGTGAGATAGACATGTCTCTCTTTACCAAATCCTGAAGCGATTATTGAAGTGGAGTGTGGAGTGAGTGAGTGATGATGGAAGCTTAAAAGTGCGTTCCTTGTCATTCATGGCGAGGAGAAAGCAGAAAGATGTCGGTTGTTCGAATTTTTCAATACAATGACCAAGATTTTGGGACCGAATAGGTCACCACGTTCAGTACGACTACAATTTCAAAACCATGAGGGATGTGACACTTGGATTCGTTATCATTCCTTCCTAACAACCACTCCATGCATATATAATGAATGTTAACATCAGATTGGCTTAGGAAGGTATAAAATCCCATCTTAATATGTGATATTACAGATTTAAAGTTGCCAGAGATGCAAATTTTCGACAAGATTATTTTGTGGGGATCATAACTGTTGAGGATGGTTCCCCTCGCCATTTGGTGCAACTACATTGCACATGCATGGTTCCATTTAAGTGTGACAACCTGTAGTAACAGTTACTCTCTAATAGTTTCAATCAGTGTATGCTATACAGCGATATGTGAACGCCCACGCACTCGTTAACAACAACATGCAACACTCGTTAACAACAACATGCAACACTCGCAGACAAACACATACACGCACAGAGAGATTGTGTCTGTGTATTAATAGATGTTCAATTGAAAGCCATGAATAAGTCAGAACTTTAGCATGATTTGGTCGTTCAACTATTAAACCTACCTGCTTCCTTACGCAGATGTTGTATATATGCACGAATCCATTGTATATGAAAGTAACACTTCATTTTAGTCGCTAAGCTTTGAACCAGTTAATGTAGCAATTTTACTTGAGAAACAATCTATTTAAAGAACTAAAATTAAAAAAAAAAAAATTGTTCTACTTAAAGAGATGTTTATCAATAAAAATTATATACAGGATTAGAATTTGGACAGAATAATCTTATTATTATTGAGTTATCCTAGGCAGAGTAATTTTATACCCTCTGATTATTTGGTTTCTAATTTTTAATTATCACCACTTTTTATGATAGCAGAATAGCTAACCTGTTTCATTTTTCATTTTTTTTTTTTATTATTAATACTAGCTAACTGTTCTTACTTGTCACATTACCCCATATTACGTTTTCTCCTTTTTCTTTGACATAATAATTAGCAAAAAGGATCATTTATAATGTAACAAAATTACTAGAGAAACAGTTTATTTAAAGAAGGATTGAAAAAAAAAAAAAAGTCTTCTTATTAGTAACATATTTATCAATAAAAATCGACTACAGATCAACGAGTTTAGGTGATTAATTGGTTCCAATTTATAAATATTCTCACATGGTCCTCCTTTGTATTGTATGATAGCATACTATATAGCTAACTTTTTTTTTTTTTTAAATAAATAAATCAAAAGCTGATGTTTAATACACACATACAAATATTAATACTAGCTAATGTTCTTACTTGTTGTCACACCATGTTCGGGTGTTCCTTTTTCCTTTTTTGTAAAACTCGAGACACGACAGCAAAAGAGGTTATTTATATATATATATATATACAAACATAAATGAATCATGGTGACACGATTTAAGGATTTACAATTATACACGTTAGGCAAAGCACTCTGAAACCAAAAGAAAAACCACTATCTGAATTGGGTGGTTTAGGCATGAGTAAAAGTTAAGTAGCAATCTAGATAGTAATCATGCGACTACTCGATATACTCAGATCTAAGAAGAAGATGCACGGTGTGAACTTCATCAGTTTTTATTCTATAAAAGATCCTACTAGCTAGTAGCTAGGACGGGAGTGAAACAAGCAAAAGAACTCATAATTAAAGGGAATTAGTTCAGAAAACGGAGGCAGGAATAGTTGAAAGGGAGCACAATTAAAGGTTTCTAATTGGTAGAAGTCTCAATGTTTGACAAGAAAGCACCACTTTTTGGGTGGTAACAGGTAAACATTGAATCACAGAGAGAAGTTTTAGTCATACTAAATATGAAAGGAAGATAATCAATGGTCTAATAAAGGAGCGTTCTAATTCGGCGGTGATGGAGTTTGAAAGGTAGCAAGCACTTTAATCCCACGCCTAATCTGAAGAGAATGAATTTGTTACGGTTCAACAATGTAGTCATAAAGAGTAAGAATAATGCATGCTTGACTAGCCATGCAGCTTAAAATAAGCACGACATGCTTCGGTTATACTTCTGTATCAAAAGCTCGACCACTCCACTAGTCACCGCCCACGTTCTATAATAATGGCTTCATTGGTGTAAAACCACCTATCCCTGTCGTAGATTGAATGGTAAGGAATGTATGTGTTAGTGTGTGTGTACGTGTAGGATGTGCATGGAACAAGTTAAAGGAAAAAAAAAATGTATACAAACACACTAAGTAGTTGCTTGCCACGTAAATGGAAGCTAAAAGATGTACAATACGAATTACAAGGTGGGTGTAGTAACTTTTGTGGACAAGGTGCGTGCTTGAACGGGAAAGTGTAGTGAAATTTGAGAAGTTCTGAGATTTTGGATCTATGTCAAAAATATCTTGGTGCCAACATGTGATAAAAGGCAATTTTTTGCTTACGATACAATCTAATTTTATTAGAGTCAGTTTTCTGATGTGGACCGAAGGTCCCAAAACCCTAATGCTGTTAGCCTCAAAGGCCCTACTGCTGATAGCTTACCGAAGTGACCTTATACTAACAAATTCTGCAACCCCCCATTCTCCCAAACTCTTCCCTTCTCTCACTCAATATTTGTATATGTCAAAGAAAAATTACCCCACTGCAAACCATCCATTTCAGATATTTTCAAAACTAAACAGTAACAGATAAATCAGTCTTAAGGTCAAATTAATGTGATCTTTTCATGTATAAATACATTATTCAGATGAAATCATTCTACTGTCCAAGTCAAATTCATTGAAGTGAATACAATCAACCTGGAACACAATACTCAACTTTTTCTTTTACCATGTCTATATTTCTCTTTTAAAACCTCCTGAAACGTTATTATATATATAAAGAAATCGTTTCGACGAAGAGACAAATGGGAAATAGCGAGAAAAAAAAATAATTGATGTGATGTGAGGCATAAAAAGGGAGAGAAAAGATGATAAATAAAGTGGGTATAAAAATCATATAGGTTATGAAAAGGTCATATATAGATAGAGAAAAAAGAGATTCAGTTTCCTTAAGTAGTAAATACTTAATCTTTTTAACAATTTTTTTATACAATAAGAATTTGATAAATCCACTTGTTGAATTATAAAATATTTTCTTGGTGATAATTAATACTAAACTTTAATCAATATTATGATGTTAAGAGTGAAATTAGAATGGTAGGTAAAATTTTCCAGAGGATGTTTTAAACTTAAATTTTTCAATTTTTTTTTTAATTTATTAAACGCTGGCTAAGATATTCCCTAAGTATTAATACATGGAAGAAAGGAAGATGTGTTATTTCCTAAAAACACATAATGGATTGTATAGGCATCGAAATACGTCAAGTATGACCTCAGTATAGCTATTATAGCAGTGACTCACATGCACAATTAATAGCTTCTTTTTAAACGTGGAGATGAAATTTCTGGTAATACAACATATATGCATTTTTTATCGGGTTAGAGAAGGTGTCTATGCTTCTACATATATGGGAAAATGACAAAATAGGACTAGTGAAGAAGAAGGTTTCGGGTATCACTTGATTAATGCATATATCGCACGGTTTAAATAAGGTCTTTGTGTTTTTACTCTTGCTGTACTTCGTATATTCTACAGGATTTTTATCAGTCTATACATACTCTTAGTTTTATATACATGTACTGTTCAGTTAAACATTTCAACTTATATAACTCATTCATTTTATGTTTATCCACGTTTTTTTTTTCCACCGAAATGAATGAATTTACGTATGATATGATGGCAAAAGTGGTGTACAATGCATTTGTAAATGGTCATCACAAAATTTCATAAATTTTTAAATTCCTTGCGCACAGTACAAACATATTACAAGTTAAAAATTGTAAAATTAGTTATAATAAGATCTATGGAGAGTTTTTTGTTTGTGTCCCTTTCTAAAATTAAAGTTCATTAACATAAGAGTATAAATTTGTTTGGACCTTATTCTTTTAAAGGTATATATAAACTTCCGAGGTAACATCTTAACGTTTTTGTATAGAGTGTATACTTCAAAGGTATTGTAGTATTGGCTTTTGGGATTAGTTTCTCTTCTAATGATGATAATAATACAATAATGTAATAATGCTTTTAACTTTTAAAGAATCCACCATGCTATCGAAATGCAATACCTACCCCACCATCTCCAACCCTTATATAAAGGTTTATCAGCTTACTCCTCATTCTCACACCCAATTTTCTTGTTCCCTCCCTTCTCTTCCTCTGGTCCCCTAACACTTTGTTTTGGGGAGAAAAAAGACACTCACTATTTCATTAATACTGTTCCTCTTTATCATATACTACCATCTCGCACAACACGAAAACAAGAAAGAGAAAAAACCAAATGTTTAAGATGGTTGCGGAGGAGGAACCCCAAAAGACATACCCGACAATTGCTGAGGTACGAATGAGACCGTACACATATCCTTTCAGAAGCTTCCACCCTCTTCCATGATTTTCGCTCTTTCACTCGTTCATCACTTACACATATACTGTATTGTTTTTTCTAAGTAAGCATAGCTAGCATTAATTTCATTGTGTTATATGTTTGCTAGGTAGTGGATGAGATAAAAAGAATGGGGGACATAGGAGTTCCAATAGCAGCCATGAGCCTCGTGGGATACATCAAAAACATGGTCTCAGTTGTGTGCATGGGAAGGTTGGGAAGCCTTGAGTTAGCTGGTGGTGCTTTGGCCATAGGCTTCACCAACATAACCGGCTTCTCTGTCCTCTCAGGTTTAGCCATGGGAATGGAACCACTTTGCACACAAGCCTTTGGTTCAAGAAACTTCTCTTTGGTCTCTCTCACTTTACAAAGGACGATTTTCATGTTATTGGCAGCTTCACTACCCATTTGCCTCTTATGGCTGAAGCTTGAGCCTCTGATGCTATGGCTTCACCAAAACCCTGAGATAACCCAAGTGGCAAGCATCTATTGCCGCTTCTCCATCCCAGACCTCATCGTCAATAGCTTCCTTCACCCAATTCGCATCTATTTACGTAGCAAAGGGACAACTTGGCCTCTGTTGTGGTGCACTTTACTTTCCATTCTCATACACATCCCTGTCGTAACTTTTTTGACCTTCAAACTCCATCTTGGTGTACCTGGGATTGCTATGTCAGCTTTTGTTGCCAACTTCAACACCCTTTTCTTCCTCCTATCATACATGCTCTACATGCGCGTCTCAAAGGGGTCACTTTCCATGCCTTTATTAATATCCCGCCCCTTGTCAACACGACAACAAGACCAATACTTAAACAGTGCTATTAGTGCGACAATAGCAACAACAACAACAACAACCTCACTGGGAAAAGAGTGGGGCATGCTAATAAGGTTCTCCATCCAGAGTTGTTTAGGAGTGTGCTTGGAGTGGTGGTGGTACGAGTTCATGACAATTCTAGCTGGTTACCTTTACAACCCGCGTGTTGCTTTAGCTACTGCTGGCATAGTGATTCAAACCACGTCTCTTATGTACACTTTACCAACAGCACTGAGTGCTTCAGTGTCAACAAGAGTGGGGAATGAACTCGGGGCGGGTCAACCCGAAAGGGCAAGGTTGTCAACTATTGTGGCCATCGGAATGGCACTTGCAAGTTCAATATTGGGGTTGCTATGGACCACGTTAGGGAGAGAGAGATGGGGGAGGGTTTTCACTAGTGATAGTGAGGTTTTAAAACTTACCGTGAGTGTGTTACCCATAATTGGGGTTTGTGAGTTAGCAAACTGTCCCCAAACCACAAGCTGTGGAATCCTTAGGGGAAGTGCTAGGCCTGGTGTTGGGGCAGGGATAAATTTCTACTCATTTTACTTGGTGGGGGCACCAGTGGCTATTCTGATGGCATTTGTTTGGAGACTAGGGTTGGTGGGTCTTTGCTATGGGCTGTTGGCAGCACAGATAGCATGTGTGGTCTCTATTCTAGTCGTGATATACAACACAGATTGGGAAAGGGAGTCGTTGAAGGCAAAAAGCTTGGTGGGAAAGACTTCATGTGACACAATGGAACATGGAGACCAAACATTAGTCAAATGTGAAGAAGGTGTTGTCTTTCTCGATGAGAAGAACAGCTCCCAAAAGTGATGCTTGCTCCACCCAATTGCGTGAGGGGAATATCCTACACCCACCATCGTGGCACTAGTGGAAGGAAGAAACGTTAAGTATCTTGACTACACTTGATTAATTATTTTTATTGTGATTATGCTTTTGTATATGCTTTTGCATAACCAATATATCTTCTTCTAGTTTTTTTCCCCCTTGCTGATTACATATACATGCAAGGTCTGGTAACTCTACCCTGCTATATAGTTGGTAACGTTGCTGCAAATTGTAATAGTAGGGTTATCTGATTACTGATCATTAGTATTGGATATTCGTGTAATTGGATTTTTCTTCCATGGTCATCTATTTGTATTTTAACGACCAGTTACTGTCGTAGAAAATGAAATAACCTCTTTTCGCGTTTCAAATATCATAATTCAGTCCCCGGGAACAAAATATTATAACTGCGATTGTTATAACGAAAGTAATTTCAGCTATCACAGCCAATAATCAATGAATAATTAGTTTATCTGCACTATATATTACTTTGTGCCACAGAGATTATGCAGACATATTATCATTACATTGAATGATCATTCTTTAACAAAAGTGTTGGAATCAGTAAAAGAGAAAGCAATTAAGTATTGATTTTGATAGTTGAACGTTGAATATGCAAAAAAAAAAAAATGAAGACAGTGTACGTAATTGCAGAATATGCATACAAGTGTGGAGAAAAAAATAAAATTGGAACTCGTTTTCAACGAGTAGGATATGCATGAGTTGTTTGGGATGGATACCCTATTTTATGAAGGTTTAAGCATGTGCTTGCATGTGTTATAGGTAGGACGAGGCATGCATGTGCAGGGACACATGGCAAGAGGAATATTACGGTACTTTCATTTCTGAGCAAACGAAAAATCATTGTCCTATGTCATTTATGTGTACTTTAAGTGAGATATTATATTTTGTTTGGTTTTGTGTCCGAAGACTTCCCTAAGCCACAAGGAATAGTGGTAGTGGAGGATGATGGTGTGAGAATGGTGAGTTTGCAATATCCAAAAAAAAAAAAAAGTTGGACAAGTATAAATTTGTATACGTTACATGACAAAAGTTAAGGAGAAAAGAAAAGGAAAAGATATATTTGTTTAATGTAACTCCCTAATGTAATGACATGTCTCCTCTTCCCCACCAATACATCACTTCCATTGGAATAGACAAGACATGGACATATGCGAACAAGTTTGGCAGAAATGTACCAATTTGTAAGCAACCGGCATATTTTCGAATAACTACCTATCACTATATAGTAGTTCTCAACTTGTGAAATATGAATGCATTTGTAAATGTTACTTTTTTGCTTTGTCTAGATATAAATATATAACAAATGGCCAAAACTAATAATAAAAAATCCATCGGTAATTATTTTATAATTCAGCTACTAATAATAGCCCCACTTTCAGGACAGCCGAAAGCAAGCCCAACTTTTTCTTACTGGCTAACTGCCACCTATTTTATGTCCCACCCAATAATTAATTCAAACACAATAAAAATAACTTTTTTTTTCTTTTCTTTTCTTTTCTTTTCTTCTGGGTTGAACACTTTCCTTGATTAGTTGCTACTCAACTGATTTGAACAGAATAATGATGATGATCCTATGAAGTTATTGGATAAGTAGGTCCAACATTCCTGCTTAGAAGAAATGGACAACAAAGTAAGAACCTAGTAGGGTTTTGTGAAAGGTGTAAGATCATATATGATATGAGTTCTTGTAATATTATAATGGAAGAACCTATATATCTCAATCCTACAAAATTATTCGGGAAAGAAGAAAATTATGTTTATTTATATATTTTTATCTTGTTATATTTATAGTTAAAATGATATTTTTCAACACATTTTTTATATTGAGTAAATTTTTTTATTATATCCTCGTATAGAGGATGTGATCTGATAATCTGATAACAGTGATTTACTCAATAATCATTAATATATAATATTTTAATATAATTAAAATTAACTTTAATATCATCTTAAAATTGAAGAAAATACTTAATTCTATAAAATTTGATAAGGTGAAGATTATATAATCTATATATTAATTTATTATATTTCTAGTTGAGAATTATATATATATATATATATATATATATATATATATATATATACGTTGAAGTAAAACTAAATCTAGAACTACTCCTAGAAATACTTTACATAAAAATTTCTTTGGGAAACTTTGAATTATTTTTTTAATAATAACATAAGCATACAAAGAGCAAGAATGTTTTCAAGTTAATCGTAATTTTGATCATGACAAGTATGTGAGACAACTATACTAATAGAAACACATGTTTTTACAGTTTATAAATCGAAGAACTTAGAAAATGGTATTTTATCTATAAATTTAAATTTTAAATTAAACCTTATTTATATCCATCAACTAATAATTGATTATTTTAATAAATATCTGATAACAAGTATGTCACGAATACTAAATTACCTACCAAGATAATTAGTTATCTCAATAAATAATCAATTATTTGAATATGATTAAAAAAACATATTTTTTAACCTTAAAAAACTGTTTAACCAGTTTGTGCTCTTGATATTATATATGGTGGCGAGATGAATGCATGATAGTCTCTTAAACTTAGACACAAAGACCATGCAACATATTTGTTCTATCTTTGCCTAATAAGTTATATATTTTCAAATAAGATTTTTATTTTTAAAATAAACATTTTATTTTCAAAATACAAAAACTAAAAACAAGAGTATTAATTTTCATAAAAGAGTGTGCAAATAAGAAACTGGGCTTACATATACATAGCCCATGAAAGGTCCGGTGAAACACTTCATACACTAACTTGGCCCAATTGTCCCAAATTAAGAAGGTTATTTCTTTCTGCATCCCTTCTTTCTTTCTGCACCTTCACATTCATCTAAAATGATGATGATTTTTTTAATGTAAATGGTTACAGAAAGTTCATTCCAAACATTTATTGAATTGAACTTTTTTTAAGCTTTCTAGACACGCTGATTCTCTTCGAAAAATATAATTTAAAAACGAGTTCTGGATAATGGATTGTTAAATCTAAAATAAATTTTCCAAAAACATAATATTAAAATAAGTTTTAAATTATTAAATTTATTTTAAAAATACATTTCAAAAATGAGTTTTGGATTAATCTATTCAAAACTCATTTATAGAATAATGTATTTCAGTATAAATACAAATCAAAATGTTACATTATTTAAAGTATAAATTACTAATAAATTTATAATTTAAAAAGTATATTTGAAGATGTAAAAGGTAAATAAATAATAACCAAGTATTAATATAAAACAACGATGTAAAAAAAAAAAAACTGACTTCAAAAATATTTTTAACATTTTACATTTATGGGAATGAAAAAAAAAATTGAATGCAGGAAATAGCTATCTTTGAGAAAACATTAGAAAGGGGTTTTATTTTGTGTCAATTTAGATGATAAATAAAAAAATGATTTTTCATCACTCAACAAATTAAAATGGTTAAACGGCTATTTAAGCTCATCTTCATTCATACCAATCATTTTGGGTTATTAACACATCCTACTTATAAACCCTAAACCAAGCCACCTCTTGACAATATAAAATAAAAATTGTTGTTTTAAGAATGATTTGAAAATTGAACATTGGAACACATGCAACAGTTGTCCAATTTATTGCACAATCAATTTTTGGTACCTAATTTATTGCAGCAGCTGTCGGATTATTGGATAAACATACAACATTGGTCCCACCAAGACCCACTTCATCACCACAGAGTACTACAAATCCGACATTGTACAACAACTTAATTTAACAAAATACTCATGTCACTGTTTTTTTAGCCTCTGTGTAAAAAAATTAAACATAACAAATCTAAAAAAATCAACTTAAAATTTTGAGCAAACCTACCATATACTTGATTATTAAAGTTTAAAAATTTACTCTATCATTGTTTTTAACGCAATTCAATTATTACATATAATATCATCATTATCACATTATAATTTTCATTAGATAATTTATTAATATCAACAAAAAATATATTAATTATTTTAAAAAGTTTGTACTAATAATAAGATTAAATTAGTATGAATGGTAACAAGTAAAAAAAATATCATGCTTTAAACTATAAGATAAAGTATAAATGATTCATAGATCATAAATCTCACTCATTCAATAAAATGAGATATACTTAATGAAAACATATTCTCATCATTGACACTCTTTATATTCACTTTTTATGTATTTATTTTTTATAAATTTTATCTTTAATATAAGTATAGTACTTTTTTAAAAAGAGTAAAAGATTCTCTTTCAATGAGTATCCTAATATTAATAGAACAAAATCTAATAAGTCTTTTTTTTTTTGGGTAGAAATAAAATTTTATCACTTTTATAATTTTTTCATTTAAAGTTTTAAAAATTGAAGATAATTTATACTATTTATTTTTCTTATTTTTATTGATATAAATTATTAATATTAAAGTATTATTTATTATTACTATAAAAATTTAAATAATTCCGTACATTGCATTGGTATAATACTAGCATATAACATAACCCACATGTATTATGTTATTTATCAGAAACAGACAAATGAGGATCGAGGTGAGCAGGGTGACCCACCTCCCAAATTTCTTCTTCAAAAATATACAGTTATATATATATATATATATATATATATATATATATATATATATATATATATATATATATATATATATATAGTATGTATGTAATATAAAAATTTATTAAATGTTATGTATTAAATTTAAATATTCATTTTGAGAAGAATTAAAGATTTTTCCAATGCTTTATATTACCTTTTCTATATTTAGTAATATATCACATTTTATTGATATTTCACAACATCTAATGTATTCATACTCGAAAACTACGATTATTATATTTTGTCTTTTTATAATTCAAGTGAGTTAAATTTCGTATTAAATAAAAATGAAAAAGTTAAATAATATAAATGAAAAATATATATACATAAATTTAATTTTTAAATTTTTAGATTAAAAGTTGTATTAAATTTATATATATATATACTTCCTTGATTCCCTTAGAAAATACCTACATGCATTTAGTGATTTACTGGTCTTCATGGCCTTACAAACCATAATATATATATATATATATATATATATATATATATATATATATATATATATATATATATATATATATATAGAGAGAGATAATAATAATATATAATATGAAAAAATTTATAGATTTAAATATTTCTAATTTTTATAAAACGAATTAATTTTCATTTTAACTACTGCAAAAATGTTTGTGTTGCTTCAAAATTAAAAATAAATACGGATAGCGAAAAAAAAATATACGAAAAAGTTTTGAATTGTCTTTCTCTAAAAGAAATTATTAAAAGACTTTTTGTAAAAGATAAAAAATTATAAAATAAAACAAGAGAGAGAATTTATTTGTAACTAGATATAAATAATAATATTCTTTTTATTTATTTGTTGAATCAATTTTTTCAAATATTATTTCTATGTCTCTCAGACATTTTGTACACACTCCCAAAATTAATAATGAGAGTATTATAAATTAATAAGTCTTAGATAGATGTATTTTTCTTCTATTTTTCCACATTCTCAACCTCCATGGAATCTACTTCAAAGTGTATAACAGGAGAATTAGGAGTGGGATCCATGACAAAAACCTTCATAGATCAAAATTTGGATATTAATATCCATCAAACATTTGTTTAGAACTGAAATGAAAATCTAAAATGTAATAAATAATGTATATGATAGATGTTTTCTTCTTTTATTTATATACACTCTCAAATATTTTGTTTAGATTTTTCCTTTTTGTTTTGACGGAATAATTAAAACGACCAAATGTCTAAAGATTGAAAGATTAAATAATGAAAATTTCACAATTCAAAGACATAGAACTATAAAGAAAAAACAAGAATGAAAATCAAATATTTTTGACATGTTCTTAGGTAGACAGAACATTATCACTAGCAGACAAAAAAATTGAACACAATTAAAGTAAAAAAAATCAGAAGAAGAAATAGAAACTGCAAGAACTAATACGTGGCAGTTGAATAGCAAAAGCAGTCAAATCATAGATCTTTGTTACTGTCCATAGCTGTAGGGGACCCACCACATTGACCCCCTTTCTTCTTCTCTACTTTCCTGCTATCTATCTCCACCTAAACCTTCTTCTTCCTCTCTTCTTCTTACCAAAACATTTTCCATTTTCCACTCGCCACCACCAACTTCTCAGTCCAGTGTTACAAAAAGGGTGAGAGAGAACACGTAGAATGAAATGGTGGGTCTGAGTGTAGTGTTAGAAGCACAGAAAGGCAGTGTTAGCAAGAAAAATCCACAAGTGATTAACAAAACTTCGATGCTTAGCAGCATCAGCAAACACCCTCCTTCTGCAGCAAATGTTTCGCAGCTCTCTCCATTTCAGGAACCAACGTTTCTACACCAATGTTTTCTCTGCAGGAATAGACTCTTACCCGGGAAAGACATATACATGTACAAGTGAGTAGTCTTTCGACGCTATTATTTAACCTACCTATACGTTCTCTTTCTTTTCTGACACTTTTTCATTTTCTCTCGAAACCCAGATCTTGTTTTAGTCTATTTAAAATTTTGCATGCTGCTTCTTCATTTCTCTGTGTTTCTGTTCTGACAAAAGCCAAGATCTTTTGTGTTTATTCATTGACACATTAAATGAGTTTATTCTTCTCTGCTTCTATATACATGAACGTGTGAAGAGGGGACAGAGCGTTCTGCAGCGTGGAGTGCAGGTGCAAGCAGATTTTCATGGATGAGGAAGAGAGTTTTGAGAAAGAGAAGTTTTTTTTTACTGGCATGAGTCCCACATCGTCTGGTTCTTCCTCAGCATCTCGGGGTCACGAGAAAGGAGCAAGGAATTGAGTGGGTGGTTTTTGCATAGATGAAGGAATGAATGAAGAGATGACCTAGCGACGGTAGAATGGAGAGAAAATAGTGGATTACCAAAAAATGGGAATTTTTTTTTTTTGTGTTTTTGTTTTTTAGCTAGGTTCCAGTTTTACCCATGCTTGTGTTTGTGTTGTAGTAATAACTTCCAAGTTTTTGTCCTTTTGCTTCCTAGTATGAAGCCAAAATGTCCTTTCAACTTTTATTTTATGTGGCTCCATTCTCAAACCTGTTTGGTTACAACCGTACGTGTGATCCACAATATTTAATTTATGTTTTGTAGACACGCATGTGTTAAATGTTAGTAGCTATCAGTATCTACAGAAACAAGGAAGTAGAAAATGGAAGTGAGAAAGATAACTAGATAAGGGTTAATATTTTCTGTTCATTTTTCATTTTATTTTTATCCTACTTTCCTTCTTTTTATGACATTACTTGTTACATAGTATTTAGTATTATATTTATCAAGAGAATTACTGTAAATAATAAAGGTTATTATTATTATTTTTCTACATAGTAATATATATATATATATATATATATATATATAATTGTGGTTTTCATTATCAATAATGATATACATAAATATCTGAGTGGTATAAGTCCTCATTTAATATCTTTTATTCTCTTCATTATTTTCTTCTTTGTCAATATTAATATAACCCTTGTGACATTATCACTTCTTCCTTTTTCTCTCGTGGTATGGACCAAAATTTAATGTCCACGCAGCATTATTCTTTCATTATTGTCCACAAACCGGAGACAGAAGCCAGACCCTTTCTTTTTGGTCACGGTTAGGAGGGCCTTTGTGGCATTATTTGCTTTGTTGGATGTGACTTATGTCAACCATGTTTGGCACCGGTGTAGGGCATGACTCAGGACCGTGGTTTCTATTTGTCATGATGGTTAAAATTTTGATGAGGATTATGGTAACTTTTGCAAGTTGGTGGTGAGTGAGTGTGTGTGAGTCCTTTTGTGGCATTGAATGGATGGGTTTGTTTTTAACCAAAATGACAATGCACAACACTTGTTACTATTGGTCGAGTTTTCTTTCCTGTGACTCGCATTTAGAGGATTGTCGTACAAGATTCTATCGCACGTTTGATGTTTTTAACTCTCAAAGGGGAATTTTCTTTTTTACTTGAATTGTAGGTCTATTTTTTTCTCAAGAACGTTTCATTTATATATCATATGTTGTAGTGTGTATGCATTGGCTAGTGCCTAACCCTGAATGGCAAGTTTTCAAAAAATGACAGGTTTGCTTTGTTTATTAAGTACAAATCCCATTTTTATGCATTAAATTTGAATATTTGATGACGCTATAAGATTTTCCTTATTGTTGAAAACTTGCTTAATAGTTTTTAATTAGTAACAATAGTTTGTTTCTATGATCAATATATTTAGAACAAGATAATACAACAATGGTGAATACGATTTTTCAACCTACGATAGTTTATCTTTTATAAAGTTATGATTGTAAGAGTCCTCACTATAATCTACTATAATCTATAATAAACCAGTAGAAGCAAAACAAAGCATGAAAGAATTTATTGAATATCACACATTATCTAGTATGATATGTGAAGTCTTGTCCTGTGAAATTAAATTAGATGTAAACGTAAATTTGAAAATGGTAAAGAATTGGATATATTGATATTTTATGTATGGCAGAGACTGCAAAAGGTGTTGAGGAAATGACAGGAGGAAGTTATCCCTGCGCGTTTCAGAATTCTTATCTTCAGTACACTCTTTGGCTGCTCTTTCAGCACTCAAACCCTCCTTCACATCTCAAAAAGGTTAACCAATCCAAAAGCAATTAATGAAAAGTGGAATACACTTTACGATAACATACCAGTTAATATTTCTGAAGCCATTGATTGCATGTCAAACATGAGGCAGAAACATGGACGAAAGTAAAATCACATTTAGTTACAGTAATTTTCTATTTATTTGTTCATTTTCCTTTCCAAAGTTTGTTCAATGCAAAAGAAATTACATTACCCAAATGAAAATATTTCAACTTTAAAATAATATAAATAAGAAAACTATTATCCAAACTGGCTCCTGTAATACCAGACATACTTTTGTTGTTTTTATTTACTTGAAACCGAATTTCAGTGCATGCTTCTGAAAGCTTTCATTTTTAATATATAATATTTTCTTTTCTAAAAAAAACCAAGGTAATCCTTAGATTCATATCCAAACCAAGAACTGGTTTAGGTGACATCAAATATACAATCACAAGAATGTCCAGCAAAGATTTTAGTGGAATTAATACAAGGAGGACTGCATGCACCAGCACACATCAAGATAATTCCCATTGCCCCTCAACATCTTTGCTACCACAATAAATCTAGCCAGATTTGAAGAGTAAAACCGCTTTTTGATCCAAATAGAAATAAACAAAGTGGTTTGTTTCATGAGTCACGTATGAGCCTGCAAAAAGGAAGAGAATTCCATGAATGCTCTTTAATAGTGGCTGTAACAAGAATATGACTAAGCTAAACAAGAACAAGAATTTTTCTTAATTTGCATTAATCTGAGTGTCATTGATAAATAGTGTTTAACATGATCCGAGATTCCGTACAAAATGTATTTAGATTATACCACTTAAGATGATAATATGGACAGATGTACATTACAAACTCCATGGTGTCCAGAATTCTGAATCTCGTCATCGAGAATGACATTATATGTGGTGATTAATGTAGCAATGAAATGGATCATAACAGTCAGTAACAATACATCACTGAACCATGATTTCAAACCATCTTTTGCTTGGGCTAATGGCATTGTCCTTAATGTTTCCCCATCCCACTTTCGCCCCAGTTGATATTCATAACTTCAAAAGATACAATTAATGATATTATACAGTTTCAACATATTTCTCAAGGTCTATACAGGTTGGCATTAAAAGGAACTGCATTTATGTCAATTAATAACCTTGAGCCAATGATATTCTTTTCTTTTGAGAGATAGAGTCAGTCATGAATACATATATTTGTCCTTTAATATTCTGTCTTGAGGCCTCAAATGGCAGGACCTCTCAAGGTTCTTATCAACTCAATCCAACCAGACTACTACAATGTTATACACACACATTCATTACAATATTGTAACTCCGTTTTAGGGTTCCCACCTACATAAAAATATTTGCCAATAGGTAATAGGGAGGTTCAAAACTGAACCAATAAAAAGAAAACCGACCAAAATCCTTTTTTTTTGGATTAAATGTTAAGATCGATCTATTTGGTTGGGCAGTCAAGAACCAACCCAAACCACAATTATAATATATATATACTGAAATTAAATAACATTCATTGTGAGTAAACCAATTAAAACATAAATAGTCACATAAAATATAGGAATCAGGGTGACTTGTGAGTGGGCCGTTAAAGTTCGGTCATCCAAATTCCAATTATTTAAATTTATCCCATCTAAACAAAATACAACATAACCATTCAACTTGGAATTATGCAATTTTATCCTAAACAAACCTAGCAGCAACTCAGAACAATTGTTGTAGCAACTGAATTGTAAGTGCAGCAAGTGACAACTAAATTTGTTATTGTAATGCATTTCATTTACATTAAGAAATATTTATTTAAACTATTAATAGATTATTTCTTATGACTCAGAATATTAGTGATTATTTTATTTGATATAGAATATATAATTTTATTTGACATCTAATTTTAGTCTCTATAATTTAGAACATATATTGATATTATTGAATGGGAATGCATATGTTTGTTTATTAAGTATTTTAACCGCGAAAAACCACCCAAACCAAACCAAAAAAATATTGCTTTGGTTTGGTTCAGATTTTTCTTATAAATTAAAACCAAACTGCATTAAAAAAAATTGTTTGGTTTGAGTGACTTTTATGTACAAAACCGAATCAATCCGCACGGAGTGTGACCGACACTGAACATGGATATCATACTAAACATGACATTTAAAACATATAAAACACTTATGAAAAAAATCTATAAAATAAACATAAAAATGCAACTTTTAAATCAAAGAGTAAATCAATGTTTTAGCTAACACAAGTCTCTGTAAAATGCTATCACTAATCTAATACAGTATTACCTTCCCACAAACACACAAGGAAGCAGTAACATGCTAGTCGTAACAATACCTATGTTATTACACCGAATAAACAACACTTTGGATACTCTATGTTACATCTTTATTTTTTATACAAATATTGATGGGAATACCACAACTATTTTTATTTTTTGTCATGCCAATCATGTTTGTGTGTAAATATGTCACACTCTTTCTGAAAATATGAAATTTGTCTAACTAATTCTTCTCTGAGAAATTATTTTTATACAAAAATCCAAGCAGTTTTTTAATAATCATGAGATATGAAGATAAGACAAAGAAGTATGGAATAAAATAATTATGTCATGGAAAGAGAGAGAGGAAAAAGTTATGGAGAAAGAATTGTAGAAAAATCATTGTGCTAACTATAACTCTTCTTTTATTCTGCTCATGGCCTAGATTATGTTTAAGCATGCAATGGCATGAGTGGCAATTTAAGTTTGATTGAAGTTCGGTCAATGAAAGGATCTGTTAACTGAATAAGGAGTCAGGGGAGTTTATATATGATTCAACCCTCTGATATTCCCATGTAACGAAACAAATGCTCTCGATTACATTGTAATACTTAACTATAAAACTAATTAAAAATTATGGTGGAAGAATCGCATTTTTTTCAGACCATTTTACTAAAAAATTTAAAAATTTCATAATTAATTCTGCCTAAATTGTGCTGTAATGCAAATCACTACATAACCAATCCTACCTTTCAATAAAAGAGGGAGTTATGTTATGAAGTCAAATGTAAATGGAAATCAAAAGAACTAAGTTGAACTTACACTATATGGACAGAAAATATGAATGTTAATGCTAGATTTTACCTTTTAAGTAATGCACAATGTCGCTACACATAATCCCTACAACACAGTTTCGATAACTTGGATCTATCATGCAAAGTAATGATTAATGAAGAGATAGAGGGGGATATAGATCATAGATTTAAGCTATATGGATGAAATGGAGGAGTAAATCTAGATGTTCTTAGCAGTTTAAAGTAGTCACTCAAGCTTAGATGAAAATCTCACCATCAGATTACTAGGATCAACAAATAATGCTCTATGGTGACTAATGTTGGACAATGAATTAGAGATAAGACAAATAATGGATGAATTAGAGAACAAGTAGAGGGCAGCACCTGTTAAGGGAAAGAAGGTAGATTGATTTTTAAATGTTTATGGTAGCTGGTTTGTCGTTTAATTTTAGCAATTGCAAATTTGCAATGGATTAGATTCATTTATGAATACCTTTATCTCCAAGAGTGTTTTTTATAGACAAATGACATAATTTGATCCATAAAGTCAACCCATCCTAGTAGGAAGAAGTTTTTCTTGTAAAAGAAATTCAAAACTGAACTCCTATTCATAAAATCCTAGAAGCTAACCTCTGACATCAACATCACACTCAAGTTTAAAATATTGAACTGATGCATATTGAGCTACGACTTCAAGCAAAATTCAACAAGCATATAGTATAACAGTGAACGTTGCAAAATCTTTCTAAGCAAATAAATAAAAAGATGAAAACTTTAAAATTCTACTTCTATATGTACCAGAAATTTATCTAACAGAATATGCAAGTTGGTCTGTGAGTATCCAAAACTTTGATATGGAAGATTAAGGCAAAAAATGGAAAAGATAATTCGTGAAGGAAAGAGCACTTCGTTCTGCTTAAATATAAATATCAACTAATGAATCACACTAAATGTTTGAAAAGCAGAACATCACAAACAGACTAATCCATAACACTTAATCAAAACCTTAAAAAATTTATCATGCTCACATATTGACTACTTTACCAGATTACAGAAAATGCAATAGTTTCGTTAACGTAAACTTGAATAATAGTAGTACTGTGCAATTCAACATATTCAAGCAAAAGTCTCAGTGACTATGGACTGAACTTGAAATATTAAGGGTACTGGAGTGGACATAAAATATTTGAGATTCGAGAAAAGACATCACTTGTAAATACTTTTTCAATCTTAAGAGGGTTTTTGTTAGCATGCGGGAGGCTTTCAAAATGGAGTGGTGACATTGAGATAATAGATATCCACAAAAAATGAAAGACAGACACATTATGTGGTGAAGAATACATAAATAAAAGGTCCAGCAACGTAATTCGCAGCAAAACAACTCATCCAGTGATGATTTCTTCAAGCCTAATCTCCAACTAGATGTAACTTGAAAATTCTAGCACCCCAAATTTTTATTAGATAATTATTAATTGGACCATATATTTTCTCTCTGTACAAGTACAGAGCATCAGTGAAGAACATTTCATCCAACATGACAGACCCTACAAGCATCAAGTTCTCATTTGAGTAGCCAATGTAATTCTTATCAATTTTTGAGGGCCGACACTAATATGAAATATCAGGGAGCATTTGTCCCCTGCAATACACTGAGAAAAAACGGCTGTCACCACCACACACCACAGGTCCACATTACATAAGTAATTGTAACTCATCAACACAACACAAAACACACCAACTAAACTACGTATACCATTCAGCTCAAAATTTTCCTCAGAATAACATATATAAGCAGAAAGTCTCTAAATCTTCTTCGATGACCAGAGAATCGACCATATGTATCAACAACAAACCTAGATTTTTCAGCATCACTTCTAAATTCCAACCATGAACAGAAGCAAACACACAAGGACCTACTTACATAACCTTAGATCTACTCAATTTCCACCAAAGAAGAATTACATAAACCACAAATCCCAGCATACCCAAGTACTAAAATCATTGAGAACAAGTAACAATAAAAAAAAAAATTGAATTACCAAAATTACGACCAACGATGCAATGCCAAGTGGTGCCATGCCTCTTGTCGAACTCCTTCTTTATCTGCTCTGCAACATCTTTCTCCACATTGTACTTCTCAAAGGCCTAATTAACCCGTAAAAATGTCAAGGCTTTACGAAACAACACAGCAAGCACAACCAAACCCAGAAACAGAATCCAAAACTGTGAACTATGCAACAAAGAAAAGGAAGAAAATAAAGTGGTTAAAACTAACGGCGACGGCGATATCAACGGCCTCCTTCTGCATGTCGGGAATCATGTCGGCGCTCTTGATGATGACCTTCTTCGGGGGGACGGCCGTCGCCGGTGACGGTAACGGCAACAGTTTCCGGTCATCGGTGTTGGGCCTCGCCGTTAGAGGCCCAGCAATGTTCTTTTTAGCTTCTTCACTCATTCTTTCTTTTTAATTTCCCTCACCGTATCTCTGTGGGATATGAGATTTTGATGATGATGTTGGGTTTTGGGGAATTGAAAGCGACGTGGGGTTGTGGCAAAGCTGAGAAATGCAGAAGAAAGAAAAGAGGTGCAGTGGTAAGTGTAGGAACAGCAACACCACACCACACACTCGAGGGAATGCTTCCGAGTTTAGCAAGAGGCCCACCATAGGCACTGTTTTGGAGAATATGTTGTTTTTATTATGGAATAAATAAGAAAATAAAAAAATATATAAAAATGGTGCTTTTGAATTTAAGAAAAAATAAATATATTGATTCTGAAGAATACCATATGTAAAAGGATTATGGACTAAGGACGGTGTACTGGGTGGGAATTCTTGCACGACAGAAATTAGGTGGACCAAAGCCTCTGATTGATTGAATGATGCTTGTGAGATCCACTTTGTTTTCTGTCTTTTGGAACCCGTGCGTGTCATGCACGGCTACACTATTCATTTAACCTTTTATTACTTTAAATCAATTTTTTTTATTTTTTTTTTGTAACTTATCATGTTTCTAACGCTGTGTTTGTTTGAACTGATTTGCGAGGAAATACTGTTCACGAAGATAGAAATATGAGATTCACCTACGTTTGGTTGAACAGATTTGCGAAGAAATGCAAGCGAGGAAAAAGGGGAGAGGGGAGAGAGCCTTTCTTCGCTAATGTGCGAAGAAAAGAGACGAAAGTCTGTTGGAGATAATGAAAAGTCCAACTTACCCTCTTCCATATGATAGCGGTTAAATCTTAACCGCTATTATAATAGCACTTGTAATAGCGGTTAAAACTTAACCGCTATTATATATCACTTCTAATAGCGGTTAAATCTTAACCGCTATTATATATCACTTTAGATAGCGGTTACAAAGGAACCGCTATTATATCCTCCAATTATGATCGATCATTTCTTAAATCTAATCGATCAGGATCGTTTTTCGCTCGAGCGAGATATAGTCGCTCGAGCGAAACACAACCTGAGACTGAAGAATATGGTTGTATATGATAGCGGTTCCACTGGAACCGCTATCTAATATACACTTTAGATAGCGGTTACAGAGGAACCGCTATTATATGCTCCAATTATGATCGATCATTTCAAATTATTATCGATCAGGATCGTTTTTCACTCGAGCGAGATATGGTCGCTCGAGCGAAACACAACCCGATACTGAAGAAATTCAAATATGGTTGTATATGATAGCGGTTCCACTGGAACCGCTATCTAATATACACTTTAGATAGCGGTTGCAGAGGAACCGCTATTATATCCTCAAATTATGATCGATCATTTCAAATTATGATCGATCAGGATCGTTTTCGTTCGAGCGAGATATAGTCGCTCGAGCGAAATGCAACCCGAGACTGAATCTTAATTTATAATCGATATTTATAAATTTTATTAGTATAAATTTATTAAATATTTATTTAACAAAATATTTGTTATAACTTTTATATTTATTGTCATATTTTTACTTCATTTTTTCTCATATTCATAAATAAATTTCAATATTATAGTTAAAAAAAATTACAAAAGACATTTGTTATCATGTTTTAATTAGTATAAATATATTATAAGTATAAAATAATTATATTATAAACACAGTTTAAAAAAAATATTTATATATATTTAGTAATTATAAATATATAACATTATATTTAAAAAACAAATGTTTTTAATATGTTTTTTTTAATATTTTTATTATTTATTTGGATTAGCCTACATATCTAGGAGGTTCCTTCAATGCACAACACCCATGCAAAGGGTAAAATGGTAATTTTCTTAAATAATCAACATAAAATTATAATTTTTATATCTCATATCAATCAAATCATTCACAATTTTCCATAAACTTTCCCTTTACTTTTTAATCATCTCCATTTCTCTTCAAATCCCTCCTTTTCCACTCTCTCATTTCCACTCTCTCACATCACTCCAACCAAACAAGGGCTAAGTAAACTTTTATTTTTAATGGAAATATTTACTTATACGTGACTGTGATGATTGCGGACAAGGGACAAATTTAAATAAATAGTTTCACTCTTCATCAACGAGAAATCAAATGATAGTCATGTTGACACTCGTAAAATCATCATTTTACCCATGAATAATATTTTGATCTAATAGATTTATTTTCTTCGTAATCGATTAAGCTACATTTAATGAGACTTAAATTTAAATGTTAGTTTTTAAAATATTATAAATATAGAAATACCAAATAATTAATATCGGTGTAAAAATATCAAATTATGAATGGGAAGTACACTAACTTGGTAAACCTGCCAAAGAAGACGTTTAGGATAATGATTATCCACTGCTTGACAGTCATATCCAAAAATCTGTTTTTATAGCCCTTTAAGAAAAATGGGAATAAGTATTCTTATTTAATATTCCCAAAATGCAAAAACTACTCCATGAAACAAACATCTCCGATAATTTTATTACATGCATCAGAAAACTTTTTTAAGAAATAACTTTTTCTTCTTAAAAAAATTCCTAAGATTAAAAAGGCTAATCTCAAAATGAAGTGATCCTTGAATTCATATCCAAACCGAGAACTAGTTTACATGACATCAAATATACAAGCACAATGATACATGGAGGACTCAATACACCAAGCATAATCACAAGACAAATCTCATTGCCGTCAACTTCTTTGCCACCACAATTTGACTAGCCAGACTTGAAGAGTAGAACCGCTTTCTGATCCAAATAGAAATAAACAAAGTGGTTTGTCTCATGAGTCACATAAGAGCCTGCAAAGAGATAAACAAGTCCATGAATGCACTTCAATAATATATTGTCTTCTTCTAAGCATTTATAACTATAACTATAACAAGAATATAACTTCACTAAGCAAGAACAAACCAAGCAATTTTTTCTTTAATTGCTTTAATAGTCTGAATTTCAGTTGAAAAATATAATAAATAGTGTTGGGTTCTTGATGGGGTAAGATTATGCATCAAGACCTCTCCAAATTCTGGATCTCATCGTCAAGAATATGATGATATCCGGTGACAAGAAAATGAAAATGTAATAAAGTAGATCATAAACTATGTCAATACAGTGCATCATAGAAACTTTTTTGAAAGTTGAAACCAAGCTTTTCTAGTGCTAATCATTGTGGTTTCCCCATCCCGTTTCACCCCAGCTAACTTCTTAACAGGCATTGAAACATTAATATGTCTTCGACAAAAAAGCATGGTACAAGTACAACACAGAATATGGATATGAAATACTAAACACGACAAATTTTAAAAATTATAAAACATGACAAACAGGGTACAACACATAAAATTAGTATAAAATTAACATAGATAAACACAATTTTAAAATCAAGACGAAATAAATATTTTAGGCTATGTTTGGATGAAAGTTGGAAATGTGCTTTTGGGATTTCCAACGTCATTCCCAAATTCCAAGGTACAAAAGGACGAAGGAAAATTGTTATTTTGGAAGTAAAAGTACTTTTGAGCTCTTCCAACTGGAATCCAAAAATGCACTTAAAAGTTAACATGAGTAACAGTAAAATGCTATCATTACTCTAATCATAGTAATGTTCTCATCTGTAATGGCTTGAAAAGAAAAGAAAAAAACCCTGCAACTAGGACGATCCAAGTTACTCTTCTTAGAGAGATTAATTTTATACAACTTCCTACAATTTTAGAAATAAGACGAGAGAAGTGAGATAAGATGAGTGATGGGACGGAGAGAGATAGAGTAAAAAATTAATGTTGTAGGAAATTATTGTATGAATAGTAACTCTTATATTCTGCCCATTGCCGATACTATATTTACGCGTGCAATAGCATAAGAGCTTAATGAAAGTTAATTATTATGAAAGGACCTCTGGTAGCTCAGGAGTCGGGAAAGCTTATAAATAATTCAATCCTTTGGTACTCCCATGTAATGAAAGACAATGTGTTTTCTTTTTAAATGTAGATGTTAACAATAAAACAGATTTGAAATGATGGGAAGAAGAATCACCACAGATATTTAAAGGTAAAAAATTATGGGAGATGAATTGCCTTGTTTACCATTCATTGAGTCCAGTGTGTTTAGACACACCATTTTACTAAAGAATTTAGAAAAACTCAGAATCAACTCTGCCTACATTGTGCTTTATTCCTAAATCTGTATACAAGAGATGTTATGCTACACGAACAGTCATCAGTAAAGAAATAACTTTATTAAACCTGTATTACATGGATAACGAATATGATTGTGTTAAGGCAAATGTTATGCAGATAATCCCAAATGGGGTGGCGGTCTATGGCGGACAATTTCTTTACACACACACACACACTATATATATATATATATATATATATATATATATATATATATATATATATATATATATATATAAAAGGATTAATTTATTTCAAAAGTAAGAAATAGAGATTTATTTTTCATTTTCACTATTCATTTTTTTTTTAATCTAATGATTAAGATGAGTTGTTATTTTTAGACTATTGAATTAAAAAAAATGAATAATAGAGATAAAGAGTAAATATCTGACTCTTATTTTTGAAATTAAAAATAAAACAGATATTCCAACATAGGTGAGCATCAACGGCAACAACATCATGTCCATGGTAGGTGCCATGGTGGATATAGCAGAAGACATCATAATCTTCATAATAGTGAATGGCAATGATTGAAAACTGCAGCACCATACCTTCATGGCGCCACCAAAAACCACCATTTTATAACATTGGTTAAGGCTTGGTTTTACTTAGTAATCCAAATATGACAGGGCGTTTAGTTTGGGTAACTTGAATCATATGTAGTGAAGAGTAGATAGAGATGTAAATATTCAAGCTATATGGGCAAAGTTCAGGAATGCATCAGGTGTTTTTTGTGATTTAAAGATGTCACTCAAGCTTAAAGGAAATTTCCGCATAAAGTAATAAAATCAACAAATGCTTTATGGTGATTAGTGTTAGACACTTCGGTACCAAGAGCATGTATAAATTATCGAAAAGGTTCAGGGTGGTTTGGAAAAATTAAGACCAGGAATGGGCACATAAGGGAGAAAGTAGAAGTAGCACTTATTAAGCAAAAGAAGGTAGATCAAATTTTCAGAGTTGAAGTCATTTTCCATACAAACATTCATTACCATAAAATCCTAGTGGCTGACCTGAATCTCTTCATCACATTCATGCTTGAAATATTGACAAGTGAAACTAAGGTATATGGATGTTAGAAAATTCCACAAGCATGTTGGATGATACTGAACATTACAAAGCCTATCTAAGATATATGAAATTTTAAAACTATAAGATTCTACTCTGATACATGTACCAAAAATTTATCTACTAGAACAGTTTGCAAGCATGTCAACGTCTGCAATATCCAAAAGAACACTTTGTTAACAGTAGAAGGAATAGTTTCTTTCTATTGACAGAAAAGAGTACAACTGATTCCCAGGACTTTTAAGAGGCTCAGGCTCTCCCACAACAATATGAATTCTGATAGAAATCAAATTGAAACAAAACAGTAATGAATATTTGTATCAGGAGAACAGTCCCACTAAAGGATGACTTCCTCAGTACAGTGAATTTAAGACAAATACGAAGAAGAAAAATATTAAACAATAATGGTACGGAGCACTGCTCCTTACAATATGAAGACAGAAAGATTACTAGATATTAATGATAAACTGCTAAAAGAGAAACAGCTCATCTCCCACCCCATAACCACCCTGAACCTTTTCGATAATTTATTCATGCCCCCTCCATTCTGTTATTTCCCCTCAATAATCCTTCTTTATCCCTTCTAGTATAATTACCACGTCCTCCTCTTCCATTCTCCCACTACTTCTCTCTCTACCTCCTTGCTTTTCACCTGTTTCTTTCGCCTTCCATATACACATATAGGACTGTTTAGGCCCGTCAATACTACCCCCTATAAATATTTCACCTTGTCCTCGACGTGAAAATCAGGGAAAACCTTATCCAGGACAGAACTGCCTCCCCATATATTCTCATGTTGAAAGGCCAAACCAACTCTTCATAAGCACATCTTCCCCTTCCTCCAATACTTGATTTCTCCACCCTCTGCACTTGTTTCATCAGTGTACCCAGATATCCTGAACTATGCAAAACCACCTTTGCTTGAATCCCCTCCTTTAATTCATTCATATAAGATCCCTCCAATGCTTCTTCATTGGCATGTCTTAAAGGGGAACATATTGATTTAAAAACATCTCTCTATAATCCCCTACCGATTGCTTAATTAAAATTCATAAGAACCTCATATGGGTTCTCCAATGATGCATTTTGGAATCTTCCCAATAATGCACATTTGCATCTACACCATGTGATGGCTCTATTCTCACCTCCCATCACTAGGACCAGTTACGCACCTTCGCCTCAGTTTGGATATCCCACATCAACTAAAGATATAGTTAAATTATAATATATAATTGAGGAGCAAACCTCAACTAACAAGTCAGTTTGTTAAGGTTGAGTAGACATTTATTCATTCCTAATATGGTGTCAAAGCCTATCCTAACGAGGTTTGTTAGCCTCTTATCCCACCTGTAATCGGGCAGTTGTCAGACCACCTTAAATATTCAGGTCCACGCTCTCAAGATGTTCATTCGTCGGCGTATGGGGGTGTGTTAAAGATCCCACATATACTAGAAATATGGCCAAATTATAGTATATATAATGAAGATGCAAACCTAACCTTACAAACCAGTTTTGTATGGTTGAGTTAGGCACCTATCTATTTCTAATACCCTCTAAGCAAATTGATGAAGCTAGAACCTTCTACTACAAAATATGTTTCACCACTATAGACTCACTCTTAAGGGTCTTCCCCTTTTTTCCCTTCTTACCATGGCTACCCCATGGATTCCCTCCCCCAAGATTGTTTCCAACCCTCTTCACCACCATTTTTGCCATTTCTGCAGTGTTGTTGATCCAACAATGTCTTCACCTGTGTCGTGCACTAAATCTGCTTTTGTCCAAATTCCCATTTCTCCACCCTTGTTGATACCAAAAGCTGACTACATCTACGCTAATACCAATTCGATAGAAATCAAATTGAAAAAACAAAACTGAAACAAACATTTATGTGTAGAACACTCCAACCCACGATTCTTCAATGCAGTGAATTTTAAGACAAATATGAAGAGAAAATCTTAAATGGTATTGGAATAGAGAACTGCTCCTAACAGTATGAATGAAGAATGAAAACACTAGCTAAGAATGCTAAACTGCTAAGAGAAAACCAGCTGCTCTACTTACCATAAAACCACCCTGAACATTTTGATAATCTATTCAACCCATCCATTTTGTTATTCCCCAAAATAATCCTTATCTCTCCCCTCTAGCATGACTCCCACATCCCCCTCTTCCATTCTCCCACTGCCACCTGACAATTCTGTTATTTCCCTTCCCAATGCTTCTCTCTCTCTCCCTCCTAGCTTGCTGCCAGTTTATTTCTTCTTCCATACACCCCCGCAGACCCTTTTTAGGCCCATTTTCCTCAAGTTTTACTCCATAATCCCTGTTTACCACTCCTCTGAAACACACTCATTATGATCCTATAAAATTTCCTCTCAAATCACAGCATAAAATCCTTCTCAACCATCAGTCATGACGCACTTGACTCACTAAGTAACCCACTAATGGACTAACTAACCTATCAGTCATAACTAACTGCTAATAGAGTTGGTCTAACAAGCATATTTCCTTGACATGACAGGGTAACTGAAACCAAATGGAAAGAATAAATCATCAAAGAAAGATCAATTTATTTGGCTAGAATATTAATATTGACTAATATTTTTTATAAACAAATTGAAAAACAGAACATCACAAAGAGACCAGTCCATAGAGTTACTCATTATAAAATTGCAAGTTTCATTAACTTGAACCATAATACTATGCAATTATATAACATATTCGAGCAAAATCCCCATAGACTATGGACTGAATATAGCTTGAAAGATTAATTGTACTGGATTATATTCATGACTCGAGAAAGAGCATCAATTGTAAATACTTTTTCAATGTAGAAAAGGTTGTTGTTAAGAAGCAGCATGCTTAATGGACTGTTGACATCGAGATATCCAATAAAAAAGAAAGGCAAACAAATACTGTGGGGAAGAAGATATAATAGAAACAGGCCCTTCATTTGCAGCAAAACAACTCATCCAGTCATGATTTCTTCAAGCCTGAACTCCTAATCTCCAACTAGATGCTACTAGAGAATCCCAGCACTCCCTATAGTTATTAGCTCATTATTAATCTAAGTAATAGACCACCTATTTTCCCTATGTACAAATACAGAACGTCAGGAAAGAATATTGCATCCCACTTGACTGCCCTCTCCATGCATCAAGTTCACATTCGAGTAGCAAAGGTCATTAGGGTATTTTGGACGAACTCATCATGGGGACTACTAAGAGAGAAAAGTAAGGAGAAAAAAGTTAATGAGTTTCTCCATAAGCTAAAATTAGCTTATTTTCTTCTCATAGAAAGGCTCATCTAAACAAAACCTTAGTAATTATAAATTTTGAGGGACCAGAATCATAGAACACTAACATGGAATATCAGAGAGAACTTGTCCCTGTATCAAAATCTAAATAGTCAAAGTTACATTCAACCATTTTCTCCTCCAGTAACCATTAATTCAAGAAAAGAGTTCTCAACCCAACAATAGAAAAGCTCATCCTCTGCAGATAAAATGTCACATCAAAGTGGAACAAATTATCCGTCACCACAGTACATAAGTCATGGTGACTCATCAATACAACACAGACGACACCAACTAAACTACATATTCATAAACCATTCAGCTCACAATTTTCCGCTGGATAATAGAGCTGAGAAGAAGGCCTCAAAATCTTATTCCATAACTAGAGAATCAATCATATGCATCCAAAAACAAAACCTAGGTCTCAGCATCACATCCAAATTTGAATCATGCAGAGAAGCAAACAACACAGATCTACATCTACTAAATTTCGACTAGAGAAGAATCACATAAACCACAAATCTAAGTATACCCAAGTACCAAAATCATTGACTACAATACTAATATAAACAAAATGAATTACCAAAATTACGACCCACAATGCAATGCCAAGTGGGGCCATGCCTCTTATCGAACTCCTTCTTTATCTGCTCCGCAACATCTTTTTCTACATTGTACTTCTCAAAGGCCTGATTAATCCGCAAAAAGGTCAAGGCTTTACGCACAACACAGCAAGTACAACCAAACCCCGAAACAGAATCGAAAACGATGAGCCATGCAATAGAGAAATGAAAGAGAAAAAAGTTGTTAAAACTAACGGCAACGGCGATATCAACGGCCTCCTTCTGCATGTCGGGGATCATGTCGGCGCTCTTGATGATGACCTTCTTCGGGGGCACCGCCGGCGCCGGTAACGGTGATGGTTTCCGGTCATCGGTGATGGGCCTCGCCGGTAGAGGTCCGGCAATGTTCCTTTTCGCTTCTTCACTCATTTTTTCTCCCTATCTCCGAATGAGCTTTGGTTAGCTTTTGGGGAAAGCGACGGAGTCAGGTGGTGTCGTTTATGAAAGCGCATTGGAATAATATTTTAGGTGTAAATTAAAAATGAATTTTAAACTGACACTTTTTAAATTAATAACAATATTTTTTTAAATATAACAATAATAATAATTTATCAAAATAATTAAAGTTATGTTGAATCAGATTTTTTTTAATGTAAAAGTAGCTTTATAATTATAAACAATTATCTGATTTATAATAAAAATAATGAAATGAGAAAAAAAATTCATTTTTTATGATTGTGTTTTTATATAAATTTTAGTAGAAAAATATTTTGTAATCATTATCTCTAAGATACTAATTAATAAGATCTTAAATTTTGTATAATTAAGTAAATTATTATTATTATTATATATAATTGTGATTTTAATGTCAATTTAATTATAATGCTAAATTATTAGTTGAGAAAAATCAAATGTAAAATTACATAAGCTTTCTTTAATTAGAAAATTTTTCTATTCTCATAATATTTATTATTAAACATTACTCGTGGATTAATGTTTTTAAGAAATTAAAGAAATATTTTATCAAATACAATTTTTTTAAAAAGGAAAATCACTTACACATAAAAGCAAGTCCACTTAAGCAATTTTCCCTAAACAGACATACGAAGAAAATAACATATTGTAATTTTTGAATTTATTTATATATAATATATTAATTTAAATTTAAATAGACATAATAAATACTTTTATATATGATAAAAAGTTAAATTAAAAAAAACACTTATTATTTTAATTCAAATTTAAATCAACTTAAAAATTAATCTTTCGTTACAAAACTATCACCATTTATTTATCACTTAAAATCATTATAATAAATAATTATTAATTTTTATTAATAACAATACAAAATACTTAATTAAGATTTAAGATATTAAAGTTTTTATTTCCCAATATATATATATAAAAGATATGTTTTTAGTTTAGTTAAATGTTCGATGTTTTATTTTGAGATACTTTTGTGAGTCAAAATTAAGTTTTCAATTACGTTAAAGGTTAGACTTTTTATTTTTGTTTTTCTTCCATTAATGTGGATTAGTCCATTTCAAACTATTCTTTTATCATTATTACAACCAAAAATAGAAAGATTCAACCCATTTCATCATTACATTAGATTGTGGTATTTTTCGTGGTTGTTTTACTTTCATTGGCTTATAGAATTTGTTATTCATATAATAATTTCAGATGTGCTGTTAATTATGAAAATGTATGTGATCCATCATACTTTATTTGAATAAGAGACATGTTTGTTTTTTATAAATTAAAATTATTATAGAGATAATTCAACATTATTAATTTGTTAGAATTTATTGTTTTTTAAAATTAATACAAAAGTTTAATTAATTTGATAACAATAGATATATGAAAAATGAATTTTTATAATGAATTGTTTTTTTTACATATGTATTGATCAGAATCAGAATAGATGAGAGGTATAAAGTGAGAAATATTGTTAATATTATAAATTATATGAAGTTGTATTTTATAAACAAGATTTTATAGTCATAAATTTTAAAACATTAATTATTATAAACTATGGCATATTTTTAATAATTTTATTTGTTAATAATTTTTTTTATTAATTATGAATATATTTTTCTCTCATGCGTTTATTATCTTTAAATATAAAAATCATAATAACTATTTTTTACAAATTATAATATTTGTATTTTTCCGACACCAAAAATAACTAATTTTTTTATTATATATAGTTATAAATAATAAAATAATTTATTATATAATTAAATGTTATTTATTTTATTCATATAATGCAGAAATGCATGTCATATATTAGATGAATATTTATTTTAATTAAATTTAAAAATATAGAGAAAAATTAATTAAAATTTAAAACAAAATAATTAATATACAAAATTTTAAAATTGGATTTTAAACTTAAATGAAATTATTCCAAATGATAAAATTTTCATCTGGATGATAAAGTTGTCTATGAATTTTCAACAGATATATATAATTCATTTAATATAAAGCATAACTGTAATAAAATATCTATACATCGCTCAATAATAATAATAATAATAATAATAATAATATTCTCTTGAATTTGTGTAAAAAGATAGAGACACGAGTTTTTTTTTTTGTTTTTTTCATTTCTATCACTAAAGTTTATGGTTATCAATTACTTGGCTTTTCCTTTTATAAAAAGACATCATAGCAAATCAATTAGAGAGGACTAACAAAGATTATATATCAAAGGAAAAATATTACAATAAGGTTGTATTGTAATTTTTAAAAAATAATGGTTAAATGAACAAAAAAGTCATATTTAAAGAGTAAAATACTTACGTTTTTAAAATTTAACTTGATATATATTTACTTAATTAGAAATTATTAGATGGATAAAAAAGAAGGGAAATGTATATATACTCCACACAAATTATTTTGTTTAAACCATTTGAAAATATTTATCATTATAAAAAAATGTTGAAGCGTTGTTTAGATTTAGTTTTTTTTTTAATAATTAATTAGACCATAAAATAATTAAAAAATAATTAGGCAGTTTTTAATCATAAGTTTCAAAAATTCTTATTGAATTTTTTATCACCATAATTAATCTACTAATAATAGAACACACCTTTGAGATAGAAAAGAACTTGGTCTGAAGAAAGCTTTTCCTCAACTAGCGGCTGTAATGAGCTCTCTACCCTACCAGCTACTGTTATGAACAATAATTTTCCTTGTTTTTACGTCAACTCTATACCATATCTTCTTTGTCAAGTTTCAATTCTTCTCCAATATACCAGAAAGTCTTTCCACACTTCTTTCTCACTCACCTCTCTTCCCTCATAAATTTGTACGAAAGAGAAGACAACCTTGTTTCTTGTTCTGCAAAATATCATGGAAGACGCGAGTTTCTTTGTTGGAGTCATAGGTACACACCATCAGTGACCATTCTCTCACATTTCACTAGTCGGTGGGGTGTTTCATGATATATGTATACGAATAATGGTTTTTCTTTGTTTGATATGCAGGTAACATAATCTCAATTCTCATGTTTCTTTCTCCTGTGTAATTTCTCCTGAACCTATCTTACTCCTCAAGAATTCACTTTTTATTACTGTGAGATTATACATATATCTCATATTTATTCCTACCTGATGCAGACCAACGTTTTGGAAAATAAGGATGCATGGATCCACTGAAGATTTCTCAAGCCTTCCATACATTTGCACATTGCTTAATTGTTCCCTGTGGACTTACTATGGAATCATAAAGTCTGGAGAGTACCTAGTTGCCACTGTTAATGGTTTTGGCATCTTTGTGGAGACCATCTACATTATTATATTTCTCATATATGCACCAAAGGGGATCAGGGTATGCCTGTAGTTGATTAATTGTATTCTAGTTTTTGTAACTAGTGTGTTTGGAGTGTTGTTTTCAACCCATCAAACAAGAATCCAACACACACTAACCCAGTTTCTAAATAGTTCATCTTACAAACTCCTCTTAGTTATAAAGTGGTGTTGTGATATATTATAATTCTTTTTCAGGCAAAAACTGCCATTCTGGCTGTGATTTTTGATGTGATAATCTTTGCAGCAGCAGTAGTCACAACTCTACTTGCATTGCACGGAGACGCTCGCAGTGGTGCTGTTGGTATCATGGGAGCAGGCTTGAACATTGTTATGTATTCTTCACCTCTTTCAGTCATGGTATGTTTCACTAAATCTGCTTTTCTATCAAAACCAAATCTGTTTCTCCACACAAATGGATTTCACTATACAGTTTCTTTACAAAGAGAAGCTGTAAAAGAGAGCAATGATTAAGTTGATACAACCAAAAATAGTAGTGTTGCATATTTGATCGACGGATTCAATCATTCAGATGGATCTTTTTTATGTTTTTGAAGAAACCTCCAAAAATGTCATTGTCCCAAGTATTGGTTGTCGATCATGTTTCATATCTTTATGGTACCTAGTGTCCTACATACAGGCCACAGATTTTTAAAGTATTTGGTCCTCTTTGGTGATGATGCTACTCACCTAGCCTCTCCCACTTGCATCAATCAATCAATCATACCATTTCTGGAATTAGATCCAGCACGTGATCAATTGAGTCCCCACATTATTACACCTACTAGTTACATCTGATAACTCTATCCTTCCACACCCTCCGATTAATCAGAAGAAAATTGCGAAGCACAGTAAAAGTTTAATGAGAAGAGTGATGTGAAAACATAATCCATTAGAGAAGGAATTAAATTATTAGAGAGTATGTGGTTTAGGACGATCCTCGTTTCAATTTACAAACCATTCACAATGCATCACATAAAAATCAATCGAGATCATGTGAGAATTTTTCCTCTAACACATCATGACAAAATGGTTAACGCCCACGAATCGGTTCATCCGTCTCAAAACTGATGAGTAGTTTCAGTTTTATCATTTAGTTTTAGTAGTTCAAGGACAAGATGAGAATGCACTTATATATATATATATATATATATATATATATATATATATATTAAAACTGAAATAAAAACATATAATTAAAAATATTCTATTTTTTTATATCATATTATTAAAATACATAAATATATTATAAATTTATAATTTAAATTATAAATATTAATTAAATTTAAATTATTAATTATAATTACTTATTTTAATATATAAATATATTTAACAATTCAATTTATTTAATAAAAATATTAATTTATAAATAAAAATTTAAAAATTATTCACAAAACTATATTTTTTAAGAATACGTATAAAAAATTATATATAAAAAATATTGATGAAGTGACCTACTAGTCTATCTATTTAACTTTTGTAGAATTAATTAGAATGTGTACCTCGTTCTGGCTATAATAAGTTATGTTAAAATTAATAAATAAATTAATTTAATTATGTAATGTTATGAGAAGTTTTAAAATTAGTGGATAATTTATAATATATTAATATATAATGTAAAAAGTTATCATAAAAAAAATTTGAAGAATACAGATATTTAATGTATTTTCATTAAATATTTTATTGATTGTCATCGTCGTCAAAAAGGCGGTCGGAGCGACACGATGATTTTGATTGACTTGCATTTTTTTGAACGAAGTAGTACAATGCCTTCAGGTTGTCCGATAACCGGACTGGACCTAAATGCGAGGTTTTCGAAAGGGTTCGAAGAGTCATCATCAGTGTTTTAACCTTAAACACTGAAAAAGGTGAAAACAAAGGCAGTGGTTTTAGAAAAAACCCAACTATAATCATTACAACTAGAGTTGGGTAAGATAGTTAGTTACGTGTGGGGAAGATGTTAGCACCCCACAATGCCTCTTTCGGGTTCCCTATGATGGACTAACTTAGAAAAATAAATACTTAAAGAAATTGTGCTTTTACCCTATTATTCTATCTACTTGCAGAATTTAAATGTCTACATGACCCTATTATCTAATGGACATAAAAAAGCGATAAAGAAAGCAGTAAAAGAGAGAGAATAGGGAAGGAACCTCCGAAGCAAGCTTTATATTAACCCTTCGAAACTTGAGGATGCTTTTTGACAGTCTCCGCACTCTACAACCACGCTCCTCCGCAAAAGAAAGAAAAATCACTCTATTGAGGGTCAGACGTCTCAATAGGAAACTTCCTTAACCAATTTCAACTTTTAAACGGAAATCGAAAAGCTCACTCGAACCTCAAAATAATGCTCAAAGTCACTCTAAAGTACCAAAAGGCTTCCTAGAAAGTGGTAGGAGTGAAAATGTGTGAAATTTCGAGGAATGGAGGCTCTTATTTATAGGTGTTGAATATAGAGGAAATAGAGTTTGAGATTAATCTCCCTTGTGTATAAATCACACATAGGGTAGTCTATTTATAGTAGAGAGATACAATTAAAAGAATAATTGAAAGTAACAGAATAAACAGAAGATATTGTTTGATATTGTGGTTAACAATATCTAACAATATCTTAACAATATCAAATAATATCTAAACAATATCTAACACTCCCCCTCAAGCTGGAGCATACAAATAGTATGTGCCAAGTTTGTTACAAATATAATCAATTCTATGACCCCGTAAAGATTTAGTAAAAATATCTGCTAACTGATCACTTGAGTTAACAAACTCAGTCTTGATGTCTCCAGACATAATCTTTTATCGAATGAAATGACAGTCAATCTCAATGTGTTTGGTTTTCTCACGAAAGACAGGATTATAACTAATATTAAGAGCAGTCTGATTATCACACACAAGTGACATTTGAGTGACATCTCCAAATTGTAACTCTTTAAGCAATTGTTTGTGCCAAACAAGTTCACAAACAACTAAGGCCATAGCTCTATATTATGCTTCTGCACTAGATCTTGTCACAATACTTTGTTTCTTACTTTTCCATGAGACCAAGTTACCACCAATGGAGACACAATATCCAGATGTAGATCTTCTATCCGAAGGAGATCCTGCCCAATCAGTATCTGAGTAGAAAACAACTCTTGTATGATTATTAGAATCATATAACAATCTTTTTCCAGGAGATCATTTAATATACTTTAAGATATGAATGAATGCATTCCAATGATCTTCACATGGGGAATTAAGAAATTGGCTTACCACACTGACTGCAAAGGAAATGTCAGGACGAGTAACTGTAAGATAATTCAATTTTCCAACCAATCTTCTATACTGTTCAGGATCAGGTATAAGCTCCCCCTAATTTGGTAGAAGTTTAGTATTGGGATCCATGAGCGTCTCAACAGACTTTGAATTCATCAACCTAGTTTCCTCCAAAATATCCATGGCATACTTCCTCTGAGATATAACAATACCATCATTGGACTGTGCCACCTCAATACCCAAGAAATATCTAAGTTTACCAAGATCTTTGGTCTGAAAATAGTGACAAAGATGTTGTTTCAACTGAGAGATGTCATGGTTGTCACTACCTGTAAGAACGATATCATCAACATATACTATCAAGTAAACACATCCAGCACTTGAGTGTCGATAAAAGACAGAGTGGTCTGTTTCACACCGAGTCATACCAAATTGTTGAACAACCTTGCTAAACATTCCAAACCAGACACTAGGAGACTGTTTTAGGCTATATAGGGATTTGCGAAGACGACATACTATCCCAAAAGACTCCCCCTGAGCAACAAACCCAGGAGGTTGCTCCATATAGATTTTTTCTTGCAAATCACCATTGAGGAAAACATTTTTAACATCTAGTTGATAAAGAGGTCATTGTTGAAGAGCGGTCATGACGATAAATAAACGAACAAAAGTCATCTTTGCCACAGGGGAAAATGTATCTCCATAATCCAACTCAAAAATTTGAGTATAACCTTTGGCCACAAGACGACCTTTGAGGCGATCAATAGTACCACCAGGTCCAACTTTGATAGCAAACACCCACCTGCAACCAACAACAAATTTTCCAGACGGTAACGAGACCAATTCCCAAGTTCCACTATTATGAAGAGCACTCAGTTCATCTAACATGGCCTGACGCCAACCAGGATGGGCTAAAGCTTCACGGACAATTTTTGGAATGGTCACATAAGAAAGAGAGGAAAGACATGTATAAAAAGGTAATGACAGTCGATGATAACTCAAACCAATATAATGGGAAGAGGGATTACGTGTAGAACGGATACCTTTTCGGAGGGCAATGGGAAGGTCAGACTCAGGTGTCACATCCGGAGAAGACAAAGTAGTTGGCACTTGAGTAGAATCACATGGTGGTGGTTGTGATTGGTTTCGGCAACTATAAACCTAAAGAGGCAGTGAAGAAGAAGCTGACTGCGGAGTAGAAACTAATGGTGAAGAAGACACAGTTAGAGGGTCACAAACAATAGGAACATTAAATGTACTAGAAGTGTTGACAAGATTTAATGGAGAAAGAGGTGAAGATTGACTTTTAAAATAAAAAGAGAACTCATCAAATGTGACATCTGCAGACAAAAAATAACGGTTAAGGGAAGGAGAAAAACATTTGTATCCTTTTTGTGATCTTGTAAACCCTAAGAAAACACATTTATGTGATCCAGGAGAAAGTTTGTCAAGACCATAACTGAAATTATGAACAAAACATGTAGACCCGAAAACTTTTAGAGGTAATGGATGAAGTGGTTCATGAGGGAATAAAATGGAATGAGGTATTTTATTATCTAAAACCGAAGATGACATGCGATTAAGTAGATAACATGCAGTAAGAAGAACATCACCCAAAAAATGCTAAGGAACCTCTCCATGAATTAAAAGAATGCGAGTTGTTTCAATAAGATGTCTATTTTTACGTTCAGCTACACCATTTTGTTGAGGTGTATAAACACAAGAAGTTCGATGCAAAATACCATGAGAAGTTATGAATTGTTTAAAAGAATGAGAAAGATATTCACGACCATTATCACTGCGCAAAACTCTAATAGAAACACCGAATTGAGTTTGAATTTCATTGAAAAAAGTTTGAAAGATATGAAATAATTCAGAACGATTTTTCATCAAAAATAACCAAGTGTATGTGGAATAATCATCAATGAAAGTAACAAAGTATTAAAAATCTAAAGTAGACTTAACGCGGCTAGGTCCCCAAATGTCAGAGTGAACCACGTCAAAAGGGGACAAAGCACCACGTATGACACTACGAGGAAAGGAAGTACAACTATGCTTGCCTAATTGACACGACTCACATGACAAACTAGACAATTTAGATAAGGCAGGGATAAGTTGTTGTAACTTGGCAAGACTTGGATGACCTAACTGAGCATGGAGAAGAGAGGGAGACTCTATAACTGCACCAACATGTGTAAAGGGACGAAGATGATAAAGACCATGAGACTCACATCTTGTGTCAATCACCTGTTTCGAACTCCGGTCATGTAAACACATAGAATTGTTGGTAAAAGAAACAACACAATCAAGAGAACGAGTTAGACGACTGATGGATAACAGGTTAAAAGGAGACTCAGGGACATAAAGAACATTATCAATGATTAAAGAAGAGAAAAGTTTAATAGTTCTAACCCAATGAGATGATACTCTAGAGTCATCAACTAGTGTAACAAAAGGTAAAAGATCAGGAGAGGATAAAGAGGAGAACAAAGATTTGTTACCAGTAAAATGATCAGTGGCTCCTGAATAAAAAACCCAAGGATCAGAAGAAGATTGGGTCAGATCAGTAAAAGATGTACCTGTGTGTGCGACAGACACAGTGGAACTAGAAGACTGTTGATCCTTATACCATTTGAGAAATTTGTTGAACATAGCAGGTGTGTCTGATGAAATAAAAGAAGGAGGATCCTTAGCAGATAAAGGTGGGGAAAGATCAGTCTGAGCAACTGCAGCAGATCGAGGAGGACGATCATGTAATGCATAGCATTTGTCAATTTTGTGACCTAGTTTGCCACAAAGTTCACACTCATGTAATGCATAACACTGTTCAATCTTGTGACCTAGCTTGCCACAATGTTCACACTTAGAACGTCCTTTTCCCTGTTTGCAAGGGCGAGTTCGGTCATCACGATGAGATACTAATGCAGAAGCAGGTGTGTCAGGGTTGGGTTTTGCTGGTATACGCAAAAGAGTGGAGCAGGTCGATGTCAAGGTGGGGACAATCAGAGAACCCAAAATCTGATCACGAATATGTGAATATTGATCAGCAAGTCCGTGTAATGCCCCTAGCATGAATAACTTTGATCGTTGTCCTATCTCGGTGGCAGGGTCGGGGGAAGGAGGCAATAACTCATTGAACTCATGAAAAAGAGCATGAATTTTGCCCATATAATCAGTCATAGAATCTTGATGTTTAGAGGCAATAACATCTATAAATTTAGAACAAACATCATAGAGACATTGAGTATCATTGGTGTATAATAACTTGGTATGTTTCCAGATTTTGGCACATGTTTCGTAGGAACGAAAAATTTATTTTAACGAAGGATCAAGAGTACCCTTGAGAACCACACATAATTGAGCATCAATGGTGTCCCAACGGTCTTTCTCACACCAAGAGTGAGAGTAGGTGCTTTCGGGGCAAGATGATTAAGATACTTCTGACTCTTAAGTCATAATCTGATGTCTGATGACCATGTGGCATAATTAGGGCCAGTTAACTTGTCAATGGATAAGTGCACATTAACATAGTTAGTGTAGATGGAAGGATCAGATGCAGTACTGACAGAATTGGAAGTACTAAAAGGAGCGGAAGAAGTTATAAAGGGCAGAGGCGATAGTGCCAGCGGCGCGAACCAGTACACCAGGTAAGTTCCTAGGAAAGAGAGGTGGGTCACTAATGGACACGCTTAAATACCAAGTCTTTCCTTGTCAAAATTTTCCTAGACATGCACTTTCACACTACCAAATAACCGACAACGATAGTGGTGGTGGTGGCGGCTTCAATAGTGGTCAAAGGCGAAAAAAAAATGTCAAAATAACCTTAAACTCTAGATACCATGTTGAATATAGAGGAAATAGAATTTGGGATTAATCTCTCTTGTGTATAAATCACACATAGGGTAGTCTATTTATAATAGAGAGATACAACTAAAAGAGTAACTGAAAATAACAGAATAAACAGAAGATATTCTTTGATATTGTGGTTAACAATATCTAACAATATCTTAACAATATCAAATAATATCTAAACAATATCTAACAATAGGGAATCGGGCCAGGAAAAAGCGGACGACCGTCTGGACTTAGTGGACGGCTGTCCGTGTAGTGTGGACGGCTGTCCATGGCCAAAAGTTGTCATGGACGGTCGTCCATAGTCATAAAGTTGGCATGGACGGCCGTCTGACTGTCTGGACGACCATCTGTTGTCTTCGACGAATTTCTCAATTTTTATTGTCTCTAAAAACCTTTCTTATCTTAAATGGAACTTAGAAAAAACTACTAGGAACTTAATAAAGTCTTGACTATTTTCGAAACGAACGATCTTTGATTTTATTAGAGAGTCAGACAAGATTTTGGGTCTACATTGATTATGATGAGTATTTTTTTATTTATAACTTATATGAGTGTGAGAATTATAAATTTTAAGATATTATAAAATAAATTTTTAAAATTGAATTAGAAATGAAAAAAATAAGTTCTAACAAATTAGTTTAACCAATTCTATATTTTAAAAATAAGAGGTGAGATAGGTTAAAATAGAAGAAGCTGACCATTGTACCATGGACCTTCCAATTATGGAGGAGAAAATTAACTATGCATGTCTAATGTGTTATTAACCTAGGGTTTCGTTTTACTTTGAAGTTACAATAATTTGAGGTTTGGTTATTTTCACACTCTTTCTTATTATTTTCAGAAAACAGTGGTAACTACAAAAAGCGTGGAATACATGCCATTCTTGCTTTCGTTTTTCTTCTTTCTAAACGGTGGCGTTTGGTTATTGTACGCTATTCTTGTTCGTGATGTTATCCTCGGGGTAAGTTTGCATAACGACTGGTTTAAAAACCCATAAATTTGAAGAGTAACAATTTTTAATTTCTAAAATAAATTTTAAATCAATGATGATATAAATGTGATTACATATGATTCGGATATTATATATGATTAGAGAAAAGAAATTAGGAAACAATAGAAGTGACTTTTTTCCTTGAAGGTGCCAAATGGTACTGGATTTATACTGGGAGGCATGCAATTAGGGTTATACGCGATCTACAGAAATGGCGGAAAGGGAAATTCAAATAAGAGATTGGAAGAAGGAATGCAACATGAACCGTTGATCTCAGAGCCAAACGATGAGTCACATGAGAGGGAACACAGGGCCATCTAGTTTGCTTCAACTTTTAATGCACCTATTATTGCTTCATGTTTTCACATTAAGAAAGGGTTAATTTCAATGTTCATTTGGTTTGATGATTAGTTGTTCAATTAGTTACTGTTTCAAATATGAAATATTCATGTTTTTGCTTTTATTTATATATCAAAATGTAGGATATTTATTTATATCCATATCAATAAGTATTTTCAGGAAAAATGTTAAGAGTTAAAATTAATTTATATATTAATAAAAATTCTTAAATTTAATAAAAATTCTTTTATAATTAACTTAGTTTAAATTTACAAAAAAAGTTTATGAACAATAAGCAACAACTACCGTACTACTTCAATTAATTTACAGTAAATCGATTATAAATAATAAAATTTTAAAATAATTAACAAAATATAATTTTAATACAAAACTTAAAAGTTATTTCATATTTTAAACTTTGTTCAAATAAGTTGTGAATACAATACAATAAATTTATATACGTACGAAATAATGAAAACTGAAATAATTAATCTTTTATAAGAATCAAATTAATTAATATTTTATTGAATGTGTGATATCTTATTACTATTGTTTTTATTAAAATATTAACGAAATTTAATCTCTATATTCATTTCCATATATTTTTTTTATTTAAAGCATGTAGCTTAACAAAATATTATACAACAACAATATTTATGTGTATACATATTCGTAATATAATATAATATTACTGACAATTTAACTAAATAATATGATACAAAAAATAGCCATCAAATTTAACAAAAACTATGAAAAATTAAATAGAAACTTGAATGGGAGAACAAGACAATGTCTGAAGGAATTAATTGTGTAATTCTTTTAAGATGTAATCATGATCTCATTATAAATCTACATATAACAACATTTTTTTTTATTCTTTTACTTTTTTTTTGTCTAAAGCAATTATTTTTAGCAAATAAATTTCTTGAAATTGTATAAATATTCTTGCTTTTTAACCCTCAGAAAAAAAAAATTAAAAAAAATACAAGACATGACACCATATACCTTTTTACAAGGGATTAATGGAACTGTAAACATGAAAAGAACAGTGCAATTTGAAGAAACACATGGTTTTAATGTACTTTGGTCATTTTCGTAGATTTTGGGCCGAACAAACTAGGCCTTAGACCTATCTTAAAAGTTTGTCCCATCATTACCTTAGCCCACAAAACTCCATGGAAGATTGAAAGTGAGAGAGGAGGGGGCAATGGAAGATTGAACATAGAAGGAAGAAAATTGTAGGGTACCCTTTCAATCAAGTGTCTTCTACATTTGAGATGGCAACATCTGAATCAGAAAAAGCAAACCCAAAACCATCCAAACTTTTCCAACTTTTGTTTCGTTGAATCAAGAAATGGCCCCATCACATTCCACTTGACTTAACCACACCAATACACAAATAGCCTCCATCATCACCATCTACCTCTTCCATTATTTGTGTGTGTGTGTGTGTGTGTGGATGAATGTATACCAGTGCAATGCTTGAAGATGACAATTTCTAATTACAATTTGAATTTGATTTTACTCCATCTGGATGAGATTACAGCCACCTGGTTTACATTTTATGAAAAACAAAATGTTAATTACAGAAACCAGTTTAAAACATCTGAACTGTTACAAAAAGAAAGTGCAGCGCAAGGTAGAAGGTAGAAGAGTCACATCTATCAACTTCAAATCGATGTTGTATCGGCAAGAAAAAATAAAAAGGATAAAGATATTGTTGGATACGGGTGCATTGATTGGTGGGGAAGTCGTCGATCTTCATGCAATTAACCATTTCTTGTTCCCTTTCACTTGATAATGCAGAGTTTGTTTCTGGTATTGGCATATCACTTTATTATATCAAAATCATCACCATATGATATGATGATATGAATAAGCACCACACTTCACTGTGATGATATTATGATCATGTTCTTGCTTTTGTCTTTTGCTTTTGGATGTTTTTCTCAAATTAATGACCACCAACAACACCAAACAGTTTAACCTTTTTTTTTTCTTCTGCTGTGAACAATCAGTGATTAATATGCAGTATTCACTAGCAGCTAATATAGATTTGTAAATAGTAAGATTCCTATCACAAACTTGATTCACCAAATTATTTTATTATGTTATGTTCCTAAATTTTTAGAAGTAATTAATGTAGACATAATTAATAGATAATCTTGTCTCAGATTTCATACAACAAAACTCTCTTTTTTAGACTTCAACATTATAAAACTTTAGAAGTGAATTCCGAAGAATTGAGACATTTAAGATTATGTCGGTTTTACTATATCACAAAAGGTTTGTTTCATATTGTTTACCGTTATTTCTTAAAGAAATGCAATTTTCATATTCATTTCGTAAGCTCTTACATGATCAAATGGTTTTCTTGAAGGACATTTTCCCAGGTGAAAAGTTTAAAATTTAAAGTGAAAAATATTTTAACATATTTCAAGAGTATATAATATGAATCAGAAAAACTATACTATTTGAAAACTAAAACGAATTATTATCAACTAATAATATATTAAATAAAATAACCATTTTTTAACTACAAATTACGAAGTATGATAAATTTGATGTTTTTTGAATAAATATTATAAAATCAAACAAACAATGGCGATATACAAGGTTATTTACTGTATCATTCTAGAATACTACTTATTAATTATCTTAATATTTATAAGGAATAGAACAATCAAATGAGACGAAATAATATAATTCTTTTTATCAGTTACATATTTAAGTCTTGAATCATAAAAAAATTAACAACACTACACTAAGTAAATTTGATAGATTTCACATCACCATTTTAGTTAAGCCAAATTGATCCAATTATTAGTGGATACCTAGTTTAAAAGTTCTACAGGTGGACCAAGTGTGACATCTCTGACAACGAACTACGTTTTTTATACCATGATTCTTCGTAATATTAATTTTCTCCCTATATAAAAATTGTTTTTATCAATTTATTTTTTTTCTTTTTTTTTTATATTGAAAAGATGGTATGATACAACTACAGTAAGTATTTAATACAGAGTGATTGTGTGTGGTAGGGGCCTGGCATGGGTTGTCTCATTTGCACTTTTTTATACATTTTCAAGTCAGTCTTCCACGTGCTTCTGGGGACTCTCCCTACTTCCACTTTCACACCTTCATTACATATCTCTCTCTTCTCTTCTCTCTCTCCATTTTTCAATGCCTCTTCTCACTCCACCTTCTCTCTGTCACCTTTGCAACTGTTACTGAAACCAAACTGTTACTAAAACCAACTTAGGATTCGGATTCGGATTCAACCAAGAGTGGCGTAAATATGGAAGAAGGAGCAAGACTTGGCGCTTGCCACAACAACAACAACAATGAAGTTGGTGATGGAGTGCAATGCATTCACCATCCTCACACCACCAACAACAACGCCAACCCTGGTGCCATCTGCGCCTTCTGTCTCCAAGAAAAACTTGGCAAGCTTCTCTCTTCTTCTTTCCCTTCTCCTCCTCCTTCTTCTTCCCCTTCCCCTTCTCCTTCTTTCACTCCACTCCCTCCTCCCTCTTCCTCTCTTCCACTTTCACTCAAAACCCCCCACCCCACGCGCTCCCGCATCCCTTTCCTCGTACCAACCAAAACCAACAACAACTTCAACAACAAGAACAAGAAACCCTCCACCACCACCACCTCCAACGCTTCCTCTTCATCTAACGTCATTTTCAAGCGCAGCAAGTCCACTGCCACGTCCACGAGGAGCCATAACCACTTCCTCCTCCACGACCACGACTTCAGTCCCAGAAAAAAGAACGGCTTTTGGTCTTTTCTGTATCCTTCTTCGAAGGAAGCCAAGAGCCCAAATGGGAAGCACAGGGACAAGGGCTTGGGACAAACCCAGAGAAAGAGTGATCACGTGACTATGGAGGAGGACAAGTGTTTCAGTTCTTCCTCTTCCAAGGTTTCGAGATCTAGATCTGTTGGGTGTGGTAGCAGGAGCTTCTCTGCTGATTTCTTCGAAAGGATCTCTTCTGGTCTCGGCGATTGCACTCTAAGAAGAGTCGAGTCTCAACGCGAAGGAAAACCTAAGGTTGTGGCTTCTGCTTCTGCTGGCACTGGTGTTGTGAACCATTGCATGAAGGAAAGAGTACGGTGTGGTGGAATCTTCGGTGGCTTCGCTGTGACTTCGTCGTCGTCTTCTACGTCATCTTCTTCATGGGTTTCTTCCTCAGTGGATGATGGCAGAGGAAGGAGTTGGGGGTGGGCGTTCGCTAGCCCCATGAGAGCTTTCACCACAAAAGGGTCTTCTTCTTCTAAGCCAGACGCTTCTGATAAGAACGCCACGCCAAACTTATCAGCCATCCCTTCTTTGCTCACTGTTAGAGGCTGAACTCAAAGTATGGAAGAAAAAGAAGAAGAAGAAAGTGTTTGGAGGCTTTATTTTTTGTTTATGCACATTAGCATGCTCTGGTTAATATAATAATACAATAATGTAATCCTGTTGAGTTCTAATTTTCTCTCCTCGTTCTTTCTTTTCTTTGTTTATGATAGTGGGTTGTTTTGTTTGTAAATTATGATTAGATGAGTGATTTTTTTTATGATTCTATGGAATATGAAACTCTCTCTCTCCATACCCTTTATGGCACCAAATGTAGTGGATGGAGAAGGAAATTAATTGAGAAAAGATGAAGAAGAAATGAACGATTCCATTTATTTTTGCTGTGTTATTTTATATGATGCCTCTATCTCGAAGTTCAATTCACACTATGTTTACAGACAGACATGTAATTTTAGTTTCTGCAGAATCAGTTCGTACACATGTTTCAGTGGTGCAGACACAACGAGAAAGACTACCAGAGCATCTCAAAATCTAAGAAATGTTTATATACATGTCTATAAGTTTTCTCATAATTGTTCTGCTTCTAATTTAATCTACTTTGCCAATCTTTTTCTCTCTTTATTTACTTTATAATAATCCCTTTGGTGGATGGTAATAGGGGCTTTTAAATAAATTTAACTCATAAATGTAATTTATAGATATATATTGTAAAATTTGCTCTTTTATGATTTTTATAATTTCAACAATAATTTATTGTGTTAAAAAAAATGTAATTTTTAGGGTTCTTTTTGTGCTTATTATTAGTAACGGAGCACTCTCATCTTCTGAAATCCGGATCTTACCAAAAAAACGGATCAATAGTGTTCGGTTCAACTGAATTATAGAAGTGTCCTTAAAAAGAATTCGTTAAAAAATAAAAATCTGAAAAACTATCAAAAATTGGTTGAGTGAATCAAAGTAAAATACTTAACACGAAATGCATTTATTTAAAAAAGAAGAAGTAAAAATCAGCTTAAAAATAACCTAAACCTCTAACTTTTTTTATTATATAAATTAATAAAAGTAAAATACAATGAACTATGTTAAGATTTATCACTATTACTCCATATTCTATATAAAAAGAAATTAATTAAGGAGAAAATTTATAAAATGTATGTTATTGGTATAGAAAAGTCAATTTGTTATGGGTATTTATGTTAATTATATTTAATTTCAATCGATTTTTCATTATATCCTTTTTAATGTCTCTTTATTGCCTAATGCTACTAACATAACACCAGAAAAATATCTTGTTTTTTATTCAAATATTTCAATAAACACTATGATAAAAATAAAATAAAATTATGAAGCTTGTCAAATAAAAGTCCATCAACCCTACATAAAATCAAATATTAATTAATGTTTACAATATGATAGTTTTAGCACAATAAAAAATTAATATTTTATTTTACTTTTTTTGAAAATCGTCATTTATTTCTTAGTCATATTTTTTTTCCTGTGAATCAAAATATTTAATAGAAAATATAAACATATTTATAAAACTTAACCAGTATAAAATGTCACTTTGATGACAAAAGCTAATATTTTTAATAACTAAAAAAGTGTTTAAAAATTTAAGTTTAGAGTGTCACTTTTGACAATAAGAATTTGTTGAACATTCAAGGACTTGATGTTGCAAATAATGATCATGAAGAATGTTGATTTTGATGATGATCCAAGAGCTTAAAGACTTAGAGTATTGAAGATTGAAGATTGATGATTTCTGTATTGTAATAATTCTGTTTTAGTTTGATTGAGTCTCGTAATTATAGAATCTAAGATAGCTGATACATAGTCTCGTAACTTAGAAGCTTCAAAATGCTCAAATTTATCATGCAGGCTCGAGCTTTAATCGATTATATAGGTAAATAATCGATTAAAACAAGTGAGAAAACCACTTTCTATACAAAGTCACTGTTTTAATCGATTAAACAGCAAAATAATCGATTATTTTGTACTATTCCGTACAGATAATCGATTATTTCACCAAATAATCGATTAATTCAGAGAGGTTTGGGTTCTGTCGTATTTGGCTCTGTTTTAATCGATTATCACTCCAAATAATCGATTATTTTAGTCTGTTTTTCATTTTAAATTTCAAATTAACCCTATTTTCGAAAACCCAACTACCAAGAACCCTAGTTTCGAAATCCCCAATTCCTAAACCCTAATTTCCCTACTTAAACTCTCCTTTGGCACTCAGAAAAGAAGAACAACTCTTTCCATACAAAAGTTAAGTGTTGTGAGTGCCAGAGAACTGTTTATTGCAAGGAAATGGGGCTTTTGGAACCTGGTGTGGGCTAGAAGCGATAAGAATCACTAAGTGGAGTTCTTAGTGGATTGTGTGTTGTGCCGTCTCTGGGAAAAGCTGTTCTTCATCTCTTGTGGATTTCAAGAGAGGTGTTGTCTTTACTTTATCTCTTTCATTTGTAATTTGTTTTGTAACAATTTGTTCTTAGTGACAGCGTTAATCCTCTTTTGAGTGATTAGCAACTCGGACGTAGGGTCTTTTGATCCGAACCAAGTATAAACCTACTCGTGTAATCTTCTCTACTCTTCTCTATTTACATTTACGCAGCTTTTAATCGGTAAAATTTGGGGAAAATTTTGAAAACCTAATTTTTATTAAGAAACCAATTCACCCCTCTTGGTTTTTGTCCGACCATCGCGAACATTCCATCGCGCGATTCTAACATGAATTTCTACAAATCCACTTAAAAAAATATAAGTAAAATATTGATAATATAGTTGTAATTTGATTAATTAATAGTAAATACTGTTATATTTTATTCAAGCACACTTTTAAATATTGTGATATATTTGTATTCAATGTGATTTTAAATGTAAAAAATTTATAAATTTGTATTTATTTTTTAGATTTTAGTATTATAAATGTAATATAAATATTTTGAATATTATTCTTATTAATTTAATAGTGTCACCAATTCATCAGTTAAATCTTGAGTGACCAATCTGATTCTATGGCAAAGACATCAAATTCTCATAGTTTCTGTGGAATCACCATTCACATGCATTCACATGTTTGTGTGATATATGCACAAGGGGAATATATATAGAATTACTCATGGCCATGTTATGGATGTTTTGTGTAAACTTAATTATAAGCAATACCAAAAGCAAGTTGAATTTTCCCCTTGGATGTGACTTGTGATTTGTTATTCTCTTGGTAGTTTAGTTCATAATCAAGTTTTCTTTGTATATTATTTTACGAAACTTTCCTCAATAGTCAAATGCATGAACATGGTTGGAGATGAAGTTTTAGTGGTCCCAAGATTACATTCACCAACAAGATCTTGCATTCACTGTTTGTAACATTGATTATAGGCTTTTAGTGACACTTCAAGATTTATTTATCTTTTTTTTTTTTAACATTTTCTCCCCAGTTATCCATCTACACAGCTGTATACAAATGCTAATCTGAATCTTTGTTTCTTTAATTCAAAAAATGTGATTCAAGATTTAGAAACACATTAGATAAATTAAAAGACTAGTAATTAACATAATTTTAAGAAAAGCAAATATTTGGAAGAAGAAAAGAAAGGGAGAAAATATTAATATTATTTATGATTTAACATTGACGTGGATTGTTACTATGATGAATATCTGGAAGATAAGATGTGGGAAAATATGATGGAGACAATGGCCTCCATGAAAAAGTACACAAATGGAAGAAGACACACAAAAGCTGCTTCAAGGACACATTTTTCAGGTCGACCAATTTTTATTTATGATATAAATAGAAGATGGAATATAGGTAATCTAATTATGTGTCTAGGTACAAGTTGAGTAACATTAAAAAGAAAAAAAATTAACTAACTTGGATTAAGGTTTTGAGTCCACTTTGATGTTAATATTACGTAGTTGGATTCATGTTTATTATTGTCTCTTCTTATTAAAATGTTTTTAAATTATTCATTAATAGTATCATAGTTGAAGATTTATGTAGTGAAATCTATAGTTTAGTGATTCATATATTAAAAATTGAAAGTTTTATTGACAATAAATCGATAAGTATATTCCATTACGATAAACGATGGTACAAAGAAGATTCGCTTGTAAGTTCGAGAGATGAACTAACATGAAATAAATTTAAATTTGAGAATAATCTAATGTTTTAATATTTTAGACTAAAAGTGATATCAATTTTTTATATAAATTGAGTTCATGTATCATTGGTCTCTCTTCCGTTCAATTCCTTTATTCATATATATATATATATATATATATATATATATATTATCACAATATTATATATTATATTTTATATTTTTTTCTTAATTGGTTGGGTTAAATTGCACATAGTTTAAATTTAACTTTTTTATTTTTTAAGTGAAATTTAACTCATTTAAAATTTATGAACTAAATTCAGAAAGTAGTTGTGGAATGAAATTTTGAAAGTAGCTGTGGAATCAAATCTTCAAGTTTTGAGTTGATTAGGTTTATCAACTCTACTATGATATTCTAATGCTTACTAATCTCTTAGAATAGTGTATGTGGGCCATTGGGCCCAGTACTTTTTTTTTTCTCTTATTTCCTGGTCGTTGGGAAATTGGGCTCAGCAATAGAACGCGACTTTTCAAATTCTATTGTTGGTACTTTGTAGGTCCAAGTGTTTTATTCATTCTCAATTTAAATACTATTTTTTGGTTGCACCATTTTCAATTCTTGTATAAAATTACTTTTACGAGATTTGGCGTGACGTTAGACGAGAGAAGACAAATTGCACAAATCAACACAAGATATTTTCAATAATTTTAAAATTAATATATATTTTTAAGTCCATATTATATAACTGGAACCAGACTCACTTTTATTGCCACGTAAAATAATATTTTGTACAGAAATTAGAAAGTATTATATCCGTGATAATATGAATTATCATGGAAAATTCTATTCTAATTTTCTATTCTAATTTTTAACAGTTTTATTCTTAAATGTGAGATATGAAGTATATATGAAGTATATATTAGATTAATTTTGTAGAATATATT